ATAATGATATAGGGGAAGTTAGCATCTGAGACGAGTTTTTTTCAAACCGATTCGCCTACTCAACTGTGTCATGTCTGATTTCTCATGTGCCAGATAGAGCCCGACATACTCTATCATATCGTAAATTAAGAATTTCCGCCAAGCTCAAAATCAACGAAAGATAAAGCAAACTATAATTTTATACTATAGGGAAAATAATAAAATCTAAAATTCCCTAAAATAATTCGAGCCAAGACCTGTACCACTTTTCAAATTTACATCATTTGATGCATCTCAACCTCCTGCATCAGATCATATCAATAAAATCTTAATCAAATCAAATCATGAGATCCGGAAACTCTGAAAAAGTTTAAAAGCATCATATTATGATATAATTCCCGTAACTATTCGTTCAGTAACTTGTGCCACATACGAAACTGATCCTATTCGATTCCTGCCGATGAGCTCTATCGAATGATGTGTATTTCACCTGTGTTGAGTAAAACCTCGAGACTCAAAGTTCTTCAAAACCATAGATATATAAGACCACAGAATATGTCCATTACTCAGTAAGAAAATATCGTATCACATAAACAAAGTTCCCATTTTTCAATGATTCTGAATTGGTTCGAACGATCAATGTGAAATGGAGTATAAATATTAACACTTTAGAGATTCTGAGATCTCTGAAACCCCTTTCATTACTTTCATCCACATAGTATTTCAACGACATATTCATTCTACAGTTTGTGCCAATTATGAAACACATGTCATTCGATTCGTCTTGATTAGTTCAATTGATTGACATATAATTTGTGTAAATATTTATATTTCACATGTGTCTAAGGGCTTAAAAAATGAAAATAATTTCATGACTTTCATGAATTTTATATCAAAAACATGAAAAAATGATATTTTGGATAATGAAACGGATAAAAACATGCATGTATTTCAAAGTCATTGATTAAAATGAACATTTTCATCAATTTTATTTCATGACTTTGATTTGTAACTAAAATCACGGCATTAAATTGATGAAAATGTTCATTTTTAATCAATGAATATGAAATAAATGCATGTTTTTGTCCGTTTCATCATTTTAATAATTTTTTTTTCATTTTTTAATTTCTTGGGTCGTAGGACTCCAAAAAACTCTTCTACCTAGCCTCCCTCACGCACTTTTTCGATGACATATTCATTCTATAACATGTACCAATCGTGAACACATATCATTTGACGCGTCTCGGTTAGTTCTATCGATTGATATATAATTTGTGTATATATTTATATCTCACATGTAGTGGGTTCCACAAAACCCTTCCACCTAGTGTTATTTGCATAGCATTTCAATGACATATTCGCTCCGCAATGTGTGCCACTCATGAAACGTATTAGTTTATCCGCCTGGATGAGATCTATCAATTGATGTGTAATTTGCATGCATTTTAGCACTTTACTAGCTTTTTATTCTTCAAAATCTGTTCGATTGGTGTCACCAACAGGTTGTTTGGATAATATATTCATTCGACAATGTGTGCAAAACATAGGTCATATATAAACTGATGCATGTTGATCAGCTCTTTCGATTGACTTTTAATTAGTTTCAATACCGATAGTTCGGAGACGCTGGAATCACCACAATCTGTGCGGTTGCAATCATCAACACGCTATATTAATAATACTGAGTCTCCAATGTGTGCCTAATATGCAACGAATATCAAACAATGCGTCTTAATGACTCCTATCAATTGATATGTAATTTATTGTTAACATTAATAGTTCACAGGTGTTTTAATATTTGACATCAGTGAAATAAGATAAAAGTCACAAATCTGTCTTCGTTTGATTCTTGCGACATTATTTGTGAGTGATGGCAAAAGGGTTGGTTTCGTTGATTCTCACTGGGCATACATCAACCGATAGAAATAGTTGGGACCTATCGAATGACATGTGTTTCATCATTGGCACAAACTGTAGAATGAATATGTCGTTGAAATACTATATGGGTGAAAGTAATGGAACAGGTTTCAGAGATCCCAGAATCTCTAAAGTGTTAATATTTATACTAAATTTCACATTGATCGTTCGAACCAATTCAGAATCATTAAAAGATGGGAACCTTGTTTATGTGATACGATATTTTCTTATTGAGTGATGGACATATTCTGTGGTCTTATATATCTATGGTTTTGAAGAACTTTGAGTCTCGAGGTTTTACTCAGCAGAGGTGAAATACACATCATTCCATAGAGCTCATCAGCAGGAGTCGAATAGAACCAGTTTCGTATGTGGCACAAGTTACTGAACGAATAGTTACGCGAATTACATTATAATATGGTGCTTTTTAACTTTTTTAGGGTTTTCGGATCTCATGATTTGATTTGATTAAGATTTTATTGATATGATCTGATGCAGGAGGTTGAGATGCATCGAATGGTGTAAATTTGAAAAGTGGTACAGATCTTGGCTCGAATTGTTTTAGGAAATTTCAGATTTTATTATTTTTCCCTATGGTACAAACTTATGGTTTGCTTTGTCTTTCGTCGGTTTTGAGCTTGGGTGATATTTCAAATTTACGATATGATAGAGTTTGCCGAACTCTATCTGGCACACAAGAAATCAAACGTGGCATAGTTGAGTAGGCGAATCGGTCTGAAAAATACTCGAATCAGGTGCTAACTTCCTTTACATTTAAAATGGTTTTATACCTAATGCAGTCTTAATGCTATCAATTACAATCATTCATAATTATATTTTATATAGAAGAAAATGCCTTGTATAATATAGAACAACAAGAAAGCTTAAAAAGTTATGAACATTTATAACGCATAGACATGTTATATAAATAATGAAAAAAATTAATTGATTTTCTTTTTACGGCTTTGCTGTATTGAATCGCTGATTGTCAACCTTGATAATTAAGTACATGTGCATTATAATGTGTAGTTGTGAATTGTGCGTCACTTGTGGTTCGTTTCTCATATTCAATATGTGTGTTTTAATAATGATCTTTAACACATTATTTGGTTTAAGCCGGATTATTATTTGAGGAAACGTTTCTAAGTGTCAAATCGATTTTTGAGTCGAGAATACATGTATCACGTATTTTTTAATGAGTTATGAATTACTCTTGAAAGAATTCACACGTCTCTCTCGGGAACACCAAGAAAACGGGTTCTTTTTTCGACTTGAAACTTTGCATAGAGACAAGCCTTAATGAGAATAGTTTATTGTAAAAGTTTCATTTGCAAGTTGAAATTCAAGATTCACTTTTTTTCTGTGTTGCTCAGAGGATTACGGCATTCTGATAAAAAAAATACAGCACACTGGAAGTAATAAGCTATTGCTTGAACTCTGTTCAGAGTATTCATAGCTCATGAGACATATATGATGCACATAGTCCTGACTTAAAAGCGATTTGACACTTAGAAGTGTTTCCTCTTCAGTATGGTGTGTGTCTGTAAATTGCGTCGATAAGTGTAGCGATTGTGTTTAAAGTAAACAAATATGATGAGTTGTTTAAATAACTAATTATGAACATACGTGAAGGTTTATCATCTCATTTTAACTTGATGAATCTTGATCTTCACTTGCCTCGAAACTCTACTTAAAAAAATCTTATTTCAGTTGCATAAATGCCTTTTTTTGGCAATTTCAAAGAGCTTTGTATGCTGATATTCAAGTAATCTTACAGCACATATGATTGAGAAAATATAATACTAATTTTAATTATTTGTAGTCCAGTAATCGCAAATTCTGTATCCAATAAAGCTATGTTTGAACAAAGAATACACATAGATGTTGCTTCACATTACAACCATTCAAAACTCTATACTTCCTGTAAGAAAATCTTCAAGATGGTATTGAAAGATTCAAATATCATTTAACACAGTCGAGATTCAATATTTTTGTTTGAGACTCATCATAAATTTTTTTCACAAATCTTTGTGACAACTGAGGCATTTGATCAAAGCGAAGTTAAAAAAAGATTCCAAATGAAAATATGGGGGTCTTATTCACTTCGCCGTGTTTCACATCAAAATTACAATTTACAGCACCGATATAATTATTGGTAACTGATGGTATCGGTAATAATATATTTATGGCTTCAGAAGTTATCGCCGAATTAGAAGCTGTTATGAGTTAATTCTTAGCACCTTGAAATCTATTATCGATTCCCTCTAATATAGAACATCTGGAAGACATATAGTATTTTATTCAACTGAACTTATTAATATTCAATGAATTCATAGTCAACTATTCTGTGCTTAGTTTATGAAACAATTCGGCTGCTTTGAAAATAGCTTAGTCTTATTGTTTCGCTAATATTGTAAGTTCTCTTCGATCATGAGAAACATTGGATAGATCTTTTCTCAATAATCTAGTCGATATGTTATGAAGAAAAACACTTCTGTGTGAAAATCAGAGATCGTCATCCTGAGCTTGTTCTTTGCCATATCTTGTTTAAAATACGATAATAGATTGGTCAGTTCTTTTAGCTAATTTTTAAATAATTTCAATGCCCGTGTAAATCAGTTGGTAGATTGCCGTGCTTATAAACAGCATTGAGTAACGCGGAAGTCGCGGGATCGAGACCCGCCATGGGCATAGTTTTTTTTTTCTGTTTTTACTAAAATTAATTATTTAAACAATAAATAGATTTTTATGAAAAACGCTCTAAAAAGTGTATTGAAGTATAGAGATAAAAATTTGCACTCTCCACAAACTCTTATAGACGTTGTTGATATACGATCAAAAACCATATATCAATAATGTCTCGTTCTAATTACTTTCGTGTTGTATGTCTAGATGATTAAATGAAAGAATGATGAAGAAAAATGTCCCAAAATAGATAGAATAAAATAATCTCTTTATGATTAGTAACAGCAACTACATCGTCTTTTACATTTTAATCCTTCAGGGATTACGTTAACAATTTTATTTTCTTGCTTAATAATTTCAATAACAAATTCATTTTTCTTTATATATATTTTTTTTCAATTGAAAAAAAACAAAATACATCATGAACCATCATCTTTCTTTTGGTTGGTAGCTTTTTCTTCAATTGTTAATTTATCAATAATTTCATCTATAACAAAGAAAAAAAGATAAATGAAGACAAGAAAAGACGCACTATAATTATACACTTACTAATTGTCATTGGATCGATATTACATAATGCAAAATAAAATTTTCTTGATGAATGACTTACAAATGGTCGTAATGAATTACGACCACGCCATGAAACAAATATAATTGGTATATCAAGATCATGTTGTTTGATGTTATATAAACAAATTAGACTGCCTAAATCTATTAAAGATACGTAAAAGAAAAATGAAAATTTTTCTCTATAACTAACCATCGGACATATTTTGTATTTGATTTCGTACTGATTCTGATAGATTAGCAAAGTGTGTATGCGCATGTGATAATAATAATAATAGATCTTGTTGTTCTAATTGAATGTGACGCTTGGAAAAATAGTTATTGATAATTGCGATTCCCTGAATAGAAAATGAATTAAATAAAACAAAAATATTCAACAAAATTTTATTTACTTCTTGTGCAAGTCTTAATGAACGTTTATCTTTATCATTACGTAAATCAGTTCGAACAAGTAAACGAACACCCATGTTAATAAACTAGGAAGTGAAAAACGATAATTATGAAAGAAAAAAAATAAATAAAAACATATATATATATACTTTAATACGATCTTGATTTAATGTAACTATTTGTTTAAGACTATCAGATACGAAATAAATATTTCGACCACTATCACTTGCAATTCTTGTCATTAATTGATCAGCTGGAAATGATGGATGAACACCAAAGAATTCACTAAAAGAATCCAAGAAATTTGGTTTTTCTTTTTCAAAATAAATTTAAAACTATATTTACCTAATTTCTTGCCAAAATCCTTTTATATCTTTTTCTTCAAAGAAAATAAATGGATTTTCACGATGATATCGAGCACGTTTGAAATTAGCTCTAAATAAAAATATTTATAATGTATTTTAACTGTATAAATCAATATACCCATCTTCATTGAATACATTTTCTTCTACTTGACGTTTTTGAGATGTTTCTTCTTGAATTGATAATGATGAATCAACTATTTTGTCAATTTTTCGAAACAGAGCAACAAAAAAAGCACCTGTATCTTGATGATGTGGTAGTAGACGAATACTACAATAAAGAAAAAACAAGTTCTAAACTTCCTAATTCAAAAATTAAAAATTTCCAACATCTTTCTATACATCTCTATGAGTTTCAACTAGGAATCATAATAATCAGATTATATATGGACAAGACCAAGATCAATACTTTCTTATTAGGAATGATATTTGTTATGATCGTGTAAATTCCTCATCAAACACTTATTCTGACAATCTCTCTATTATTTTCGATGATTTACATATTCGAAATTTCAGTTGGTTTTTGCAATAATATACTTAATTACTACAACAACAAGCATTTTTTACATGGTTTTTAATGATTCAATAGTTGATATGATCAAAAGGACAGTAAAAATTCACAAGAAAGTGAGAGATCGACTACTTGTTCTCTTCTCTTCGCATCAAGGCTATCGCGAGTCAGTGAGTGATCCCCGATCTAGAAGAATTTTCTTTTTGTTTCCAGCGTTTTTTAAAATTGTTTACCGATTCCTCAACCCACTTGACCTCAGAATACCACTACTTCGTATTCATCTATTTTCAATATGTGTTCGCAGTGAATATAGGAGTACAAAATCTTTGATATTATATATTTCTATTTAATTTTTACTATATTCTGAGATATCAAATATACGATGAACAAAAATATAACTTACCATCGTTCAAGATGTAATTGTTCTAGAATATCATTTGAAGGTGGAAACATATTTGGTCGAAATAATGATTGCATATTTTTTGGTACTTCTTCAAATGAATTATAAATTTCTTGATTTTTTCCTATGACACACCAACTTTTTAGACCAGGTTTAGTTCGTAAACCTGGTAATTTATCACTTATATCCACAAGTGAAATTTGACCTTCAAATGCTTGTAATAATTGACCAACAACAGCTTCATTTTCAATAGGATTCATTGAACAAGTTGAATAAACCATGAGACCACCGGGTGCAAGAAGTTGTATACCACGTGTTGCAATACGTAATTGTATTGATTGTAAACTAGATGCATGTCCAGGATTCCATTTTTTCCATAGATCAGGATTTTTTCGAAGTGTTCCATCACCAGAACATGGAACATCACATAGAATACGATCGAATAATATATTTCCATCCTTTCATATATATATTAAATTAGATTGAATAACAAAAAAACAAAAAAGAAATCAATAAAATAACTTACATTGAATTTTAAATTTGGTAAATTTGATGCATCATGATTTATAATAGCAAAACATGGACTTTCTAATCGTTTAACTTGATGAACAAGTGTATAACATCGTTTATTATCAACATCATTAGCAATAACAAAACCACCTTAACATAAAGAACGATAAATCATGGTTAATTATGAAGAACATATATTTACTTGGAATTGGATTAGATTCATCACGATGAAGACATTCAATTATCTGAGCAGTTTTCGAACCAGGTGCAGCACACATATCTAAGATCTAAATTTGATATAAGATATGTTATGTGTATTAAAACTTGTTTTTTTTTTGGGTTATATACTTTGTGATGAGGTTGAATATCAAGAACCAAAGGTGGAATCATCGATACAGCTTCTACAAATGATATATATATATATATATGGGTAATTTCATTTGTTAGTGGAGTCATTTCGCAAAATAGAAACCCTTCATATTTCTCGATTTGAGTATTTTACTTAGCCAATTTTTATGTAATAGATGTATTTTGAGTTATTCTAGATATCTTGGAAAACTCTCTCTCATTGAATTTGGTTCTGTCCCGTTATTATTGAAAAATTAGCTTCTAGCGACGTGACACAAAAAAGACAAGTTTTTTTTTTTAGGGTACGTTTACAAACTCTGTAAGTTGAATCTATATTTTTGCAAAATAAATAGTACATTTCGTTGAAAACTCCTAAGGATCAATTCTAAAAAAAAGCTAGTTTTCAGATTTCAATCCTGCTGAAAATTTTACCATAGATATAATTTTTAGCGTGGTACCTTTCCTAAGATTCTTGAAAATTTCCATTTTAAGTCTTAGAGTGTTAGTCACTAATTATCTTTGAATTAATCAACTAATTAATAAATGCAGTTTAATTAGGTGTAAGCTAAAGGAGCCAATATTTTTACATGTATTCATGGGAAAAGAACTTCTTCAAAAAAAAGTAATCTTAATAAACAGTCAAAGTCAAATTCTAAATAGTCATATCTCGCTTTCGTTAATTTGGCTCATGCATACAGTGGTTTCAAAAACTGATTATAAAGAATACAAATATTGATTTGGATGGAGAAATCTGTTTATGACAAAGATTTCAAAGAAATAAAATCCATAGCCTAGATTTTTAATACTCAGATTATCAAAATAAACTTTCTTTTGATTACAGAAGATGATAGAGCAACTAATTCTTTAGTAAAAGAGATGTTTCCGAACTGTCTATGATACTTTTTGACTAATCTATATCAATTTTAAGAAGAACACAAAAGTTCTTTTTTCCGCATAGGAAACGGCTAAAAAATTACTTTTCAGCTTTTCTTAAAATTCATGAAACTAAAAAAAAACTATTATTTGTAGGGTTCGGCGTGTTAAAAATACTAGATAATGGATTTTATTTATTTCAAATCTTTGTTGATAACAGATTTCTCCATCCAAATCATTATTTGAATTCTTTATGACAGTGAGCACTAAGAAAAAATGATCGAAATTAAACTTGTATGATAAATTTTAGAAATCACTGTATGTATATATCATATTTCTTTGAATATATTCATACATTCATGATTAATTACCTTGACGACTGATATTTCCCTAAAATGAATAAACAAAAGAAATAAAAATAAATTTCATAAATTAAAATAATTTACATGTTCAGTTTGTTCATAGAGAAATTCTTTAAGCTTTTGTAATTCTGGAGAACTACGTAATTGACTTCGACTAAGATTTAATTGCCATGCTAAACTGCCTGGATACCTGTAAGAAAAAAATCTATTATAAAAAATTGAATATATATATATATATTGAAAAACAGACCAGACAAGTTCTTTTGGTTTATCAATTGTTGTTGATGATTCAAGTGGTTGAAAATATCGATCTCGAATAAGATTCATTACAGCAAAAGCATGTGTACGAAAACCTGTTACACGAAAAGTAACTGGTAATGGTTCTTTTAATGCTGCTAAAAATGCATCCCATTCATCATCAGGTACGAGATTCATGGCCTACATATTATAGATATTCAAAAGAATTCGAAATATTTTAAAATTTTTGTTTTCTCTACCTTGTAATATTTTTCGAGTAATGCATTTTCTTTAACAATATCTTCATATTTGTTAACACGTGGTTGATCATCTTGTATTGTTTCGTCTTTATTATTTGTTGATTGTCCATTGTTTGCTTGTTGTTTTTCGAGACGAGCTTTACGAATAGCATCGACTGTCTATTGAAATTAATTTTTTAATATAACAACAACAAACAAGCAATTAGTAAAACACGCAACTTACAGCACGACGAAACGCTTTTTGTTTTTTATGACCTCGTCGACCCATCTACAAAATTTTTAAGAAAAAAAGCCTAAATAGAATAACTGGGAATTATAGTGTCTAGTTTATATATGACATAACAAAACAGGAGAAGGATAAAGTGCAAAAAAAAATAAAACAAATCAAGCTGGTTTTATTTAAATAAAAATATAAATAAAATTCTCCACTTCTCTTTATATAATTTTTCGTTCGTGTTAAACATTAAACGATTCTCCACAACCACAAGTTCCTTTTATATTTGGATTATTAAATATAAATTCACTTGCAAGTTTATCTTGTACAAAATCCATTTCAGTACCTAATAATGATAATTGTGCTTTCGGATCAATTAATAATTTCACTCCATCTTGATTAACTTCTTCATCCATTTTCTTTTTTTCTTTTGCATAATCAAGTGTATAAGATAAACCATTACAACCACGTGTTCGAACACCAATACGAAGCGCTAATGAATCAGGTCTAGCATTTAAAAGTTCTTTAACACGACGAACAGCTGATTCAGTTAGAATTATTGCAGCTCGACTTGAAATATTTGTTAAACGTCTACCTTTATTAACAGCTCGAATAGAATTAGATACAAGTGTTGATGATGCCATTTATTTTATTGAAAATGATGTACCACAAGAACAACCTTGTTCAGCGTTTGGATTATTAATTATACGAAAACTTGAACGAATTAATTCTTCTTGATAATCAATTGTTGAACCTTTTAATAATTCTAAGGAATCTTTATCAACAATAATTTGTACACCGTCACGTTCAAATATATGTTCTTCTTCTTTATTTAGATTATTATTATTATTATTTGATTCAATTGTAAATTTATATTGAAAACCGGAACAACCACCACCTTCAACCAAAACACGAAGTCTTTCTGATTTATCTTTGAAAATTGTTTGAAGACGTCGAATACAATTATCACTTAAATTTAATTCTGATGTTGTTGTTGATGTAAGAAATCGTTTTGATAATAGTAAATAATGACGGTTAAATATTGTTCGATGAAAAATGCTCATCAAAAACAGAAAAAAAAAGAAAACATATATTTCTATTAATCTCATGTGCTGATTTTTTTTTTTTTTGTTGTTTTAAAATGAATATCTGTAAGAATAATAATAATAATAAAAACAAAGGCGAAACAGAACGAAAGAGAAACAAAAAGAAAAACAACATGTAGACAGATTAGAATATTGCTAAAAAGATGACGATTGTAGTTCATTATTGATATTTGGATTACGCCAATCATTAGAAATCGAATCTAAATGATTATCAAAATCAATTAATTGACGATGTTGCTTATGATTAAGAAGATTTAATGCAGCCAAACGACATTCATCAATGACGATATGTCTAAAAAAATTATTATTAAAGAATTATTTTTGTACTTCATGTACGAGATACAAATTTGACGTTGATAAAATTTAAGAAATCTTACTCATTATATTATTCTATGATAACATTAGTTCTTCATGTAGTAAGAAATTTCTAAGTGTATCGAAATCGTCTATGAATTTCTTCAAATCACTTTAAGACAATGCTGTTTGCTCGTAGGATCCCTGCTTGTTTTTGAAGGTTAGAGTCAAGATGTAAACATTTTTGTAAAAAGTATCTTTGTTAGTCTTTCTAACAAATATCGAATAGAAAATATTGAAATTACTGATTGTCTATGGTATTTCATCTGAGAATAAGAGTCTTTGCAACAATATCTGTCGAAAGCAAAGCTAAAATTTCTTTTCTGTCACGATTTATCATGAGACTGTAAAAAAAAATTGACAGAAATCTCGGCGTTTTCGAGAAGGGAAGCCTGCACCATTCTCTCCCTAAGAGTGTGGGTTGGGGTGTTGGGTGCCTGGAAAACATCGACATCCACATCCATAGTGACTATAAAACCTATCTATGGATTTAATTTCATCTCAAAATTTGACTATCCGGATTCTCAGCAATCCAATGTTCGTAAGGCAAAAAATTAATAAAATGTCAACAGCTCAACAAGCAAAGACTGAAAAAAACAACTTTTTATGCAGCTAGAATTTAAGCTATTAAATAAAACTTACGAATCATTGACATTTGTCAAATTTTTATCGGCCAATGTAAATACATTATAAAACCGATCATTTTCACTTAAATTAACAAGACTATTGTCAATCTAAATATTATTAAAAGAAAAGCATTGATTAGATAAATTTTTTTTGTAACTGTTTCAATCAAAGTGAAGTTATTTTTTTTTTTACACAAATAAATTTACCTGTATACTGCAAAAAAATATCATCTTATCAAATATACAATAAAAATCTTACCATAAATAAAAGAGTATTTGGATTATTTTCTTTAATTTTTTCCATTATTCTTAAAGCCGTAAAATTAGGACTATAATTTAAAAACCGAATTTTTCATCTATCATATAAAGAATCTGTTTTTTCTTTACTTTGTATCGGAATAATTTTCATTGGCATGATAATAACCGGCAATAGTTAAATTTTGTGTTGAACAATAAGCATCAATCTATATAAGAACGAAATATTATATTCCGTATTCTTTTCATATTTTTATCTAAATTACTTGTGATAATGCTATTTCAAGCATAGGGGATAATGAAAGAACACCATGAAATAATGGAATACAATCAACAAAATGCAAATATGATGATGAATCAACTTCTTCATTTGTAGAATCAGTTCGACTACTTAATAAAACACCATTCACAGCCAATTCAGGATATTTAGCTAGATGAAGAAACATTTTAACAAATGCTAATGCATTGATTTCTGACATATCTAAAAGAATAGATAACACATAACATTAAGAAATTTTTATAAGTACAAGTAGAGTTGATGATGCAACAATAATATGATCATTTTTATCAAGTCCATATGCATAGCTCTTGAAAGGATTGCCATTGATTGACTTGACTTAAGCAAGGATAGAAAAGAGGAACCAATAGATTTTTTTAAAATAAATTTATTATTTAATTCAGAGACATCTTTCATGATGTCAGTAAAAGTCGACATTAATTGAATTGTTTGATTTAGCTTTCAACATTCATCTAGTAGAGGAGTGGCAACGTATCGCCAAATTCAATCCTTAAATAATAATGATCGATGCAAAAGTTATTAGGAAAATATCACTTCATTGTTCATTAACGAAAATATATTTTGAAAAAATTAGGAATATCTTTGTTCAGGATTTACATTGAATATTCTTTTTAATTTTATTTATGAGTACTGAGCAAATCTTCAAATGACAAGCAGTTTGCAATGATTGTTGCAAACATTTTTCTTCAATTTTTGAAAAATTACCCTGAAATATATTATGGTATTGTTTCAAATAACAATGGAAGAAATTAACTGCAGAGCTGTAGCTATTGTTTTGTTATATTTGATATTCGTACTCATCCTTTCTGCAAATATAGCGGTATATGAGTTTTGATATCTTTATATCGATAGTAACCCAGATATCTCTTAGCTATCATTTTATAAGACGGCTTTATTAAAATCAAATGAATAAAACTAGAAACACAATACAATCAGTACGGACTAGATATATATGCGGCTAAGAGGCGTGCGTTGTTTCACTAAATTCATAAGACAACCTCCTTAGATCTTTCCTTTCGGTTTCAATGGTTTTTTTTACCTATAAATGTTACATCCTTTTGAAATAAAAACTTTAATAAGATTTGAGTTCCTATTGTGATTTGACTAAACTATCGAATTTTCAGTATATCTATTTTCTAGAGACCTCAGCTTTTCGAACTTTGATTTGAAACTTTGAACTAAGATTTTTTGAGATATGAGACTTTCAAGATACAGATCCTTTAGCCATGGATAGTATATACAACATACACTTTTAAAGAGCTTCATATCTTGAAGGAAGTTTGTTCAAAATTTGAGAATTTTTTCAGACGCTTAATCTAATTGAGTCCTCCATATGCACAGAGCTTCAGATCAAAATTTCCAAATATGAGTTTTTCGAAAATCTGAGATTTCTAGAAAATAGACATATTCAAAACTCCATAGTTATCTCAAACCTCAATAGACACTGAAATGCTCGTCGACTTTTTCTTAGAACACTATGCAGTATCTATAGATAACAGAAAACCATTGAAATCAAATAAGAACATCTGAAAATTAATAATTTAGAAAAAATTTTTATTTTTATTTTTTTCATAAAAAGCCATACATTCTAATTAAAAGAATTCTTTGATTATTAATACCAGACGAAATATAGATTCAGAATATCTACTATGTCTACAGAATGGTTTAATTTTGTCAAAAATTGATTTTCCGACTGTTACTAGTATTTCTAAGCTAATCTTTGAATTCCGGTTGTTACGTTATACTCAAAATTTTTATACCATTAGATGAAACATGTCTCAAAATGTATATATCACTATTTTAATCGATGAAAAGATGACTAGATGATTACTATTTTGTAATTTAATTGGAATTTTCACGAGATTTCAGTTTCTAATCTTTTCGAATTGATTCATTTTTTTAATATCTATGGAAAATTATTTTTTCTTTTATTTAATTATTTGACATATAAGCAATAAACAAAACAATAAAAGCAGACAAAATCAATGACTAGAAAAAGCAAAATTGGAATGTATAGACTATAATAATATTGAAAATAATTAAAGATCACGAATTTGCATTATAAGTGAAAATAATGCTTCACGAACAATTTGATTTTTATAAAAATTAGCAAATGGTAACAGAATATACTAAAATAAAATAAAATAATTCAAAAGAAAGAAAAATAAATAAACTTATGTAATAAAAATCTTACTTGAAAAAGAATACTACGTCGTCTTGTATAAACTGTCCATTCAATACGAGTTGAGTTTACACTTGATAGACTATCTTTTAATTCAATTGAATTTGTTTCAAGTAACCATGAATCAACTGAATAGATGAAACGTTTTGGTCGATCATCCGTATGAATAATTAAAGACGATGATATATCACCTAAATATTAAAAAAAGATTTATCTATTGATAATTATTTTAACAAAAATGAACTATTTACCAATTAAAGGTACTTTAGTAATTAATCGATATTTTTCACCTTCATGATTATGTACTTGTGATGGAATTAATTGAATATGTTCAACACGAGCAACATTTGGATACCACTATAAAATTTCATAAACCAAACAACAAAATATTTTATAGTTAAAGAAAAGAAAAAAACAAACCAATGCATATTTTTCAACATTTGTTATAACTTTATATACATGTGCTCGATCATATTGAACTGTTGCTATTTTAGTTAACATTAAAGTTTTTGTGTCAGATGATGATGGATCAGATGGAACTTCATATTTGTAAAGAACACCAAAAAACATTACAATTAATGACAAATATTTCAGATAACGTGGTAAAATTATTGCCATAGTTTTTAAACTGAATAAAAACAACTGATTATGCAAAAAAGAAACAATTGATTCCTCGAAATAGATCCCTAATGTGTGTGACTTCTATTTTTCTTTTTACAACAAGAAAAAAAAAAGAATACTCGATTTCCCTGTGGACATTGTAAAAAAACCAATGGAACATAAACCAAGTTTTCCTTATGCAGATGGCACTGAATTGTTAGCTATAGAGAGACATCTTGATTTAAATAATAGCTAATGCTAGGTATGAAAAATTCTTATTAATTAAATTCTTTTTATTGAAAATAGATTAAATTAGAATCTTAGATTGAAATAAAACATTTCTTTATTTTCTTGATAATTGTTCGTTGATACTGAAATGACTGTTTTTTTTTTTGTAGTAAAGTCATAGAGATCATTTTAAAATGTTGTTTGATGCTGTCATTGAATATGTCAAGCGATAATTTTCCGGATAAGTCGATCCAATAATACATGCATTTCTTTGGTATTATAGAGAACTCATTGACAATCATGTTTGATTTGATAAGATCAATTTGTCATAGAAATCGGTTTTAATCAAAGCTTCAGCACTATTCTGGTTTATGTCACGAAAATGAGAGACAAATGATGATCTATTTGGTTATTAACACAGTGTGTGTTTTATTGTGATCCATAATGACCAACTGCAGAAGAAGTGTTATCGCTATCCCCAGCATAGATGTTCACTACATTCATTCATCACTCGAGTTGCTTCTAGTTTATATAGAACATGGGCTTATATAAACGAGAAGACAAACCATGAGTGAATCCTCGCACGTCATCGAAAAGATAAGAGATGGCAAGCCCTTATTATAGGCACAGTCTGGTTCCGGCTATGGCCGCAGTAAATCTAATCTAGTTACGGTTCTTGTCTATAGAAAACTAGTCCAGAAATTATTCGTATCATATCTAAAAAGATTCGTCAATGCTCATTTGTTGTTTATTTATTTATTCAACGACTATAGTACTTTTTTGACTCATTTCTCTTGAATTATGTTCTGATTGATATGATTTATAAGATAATTCGCTCAAAATCATAGAATATTTAACTATAGTCGTTAGAGCAAACTCTGAAACATTTTATTTTGTTGGAATAATAGCTATCTCCTATACAAACTATTTAACAATATGATTATTTTGATTTTATCAGTTATTAGGTCTTCGTATTTATAGAACTGTTTTATATAACATAATTAAAACTTCAATGTATACTTTTATGAAATAAATTTATTTTTTGATTTTCAATATCTGAAAATGTTTAACAATAAAAATCTTAACGTTAAATAATTATTCATGATAAATTAGCTGTTCGTTCTCGAATAACTTTTTCTGTCCATTCCCAAAATGTATTAATATCATTATCTGTCCATTTATCCGCTAAATTCGTAACAGTAGAATCATTAAAATATCGTCCAGTTTCATTTTCTAAATCAGGCTTTAATGCACAATAAACCGTAGTAGCTGCACCTTGTTCTGGCGTTTTTTTCTTATAGAATACTTGAACAACCGAAGCCAATGGTATACGCGAAGTTAAATTTGTAGCAATAACACCTGGATGAAGTGAATAAGCTGTAATTTTTCTATCATTATATCGTGATGCAATTGCACGAGCAAAAAGCATATTAGCTAATTTACTTTGTTGGTAACTTCTCATCATACTCCAACCTTTTTTTGCATCATTTTCTCTACTATTCATATGATCCAAAGCTTGATAATTTAAAGGTGGACCTACATGTAATTTTGATGATAGTACAACAATTCTTGATGGTGCATTACTTATCAAAGTAGGCATTAATAATTGTGTTAAATATGCATGAGCAATATGATTAACACCCATTACTTGTTCGAGACCATCAACAGTTTGAGCGAAATTATAATTAAATACACCAGCATTAAGTATTAAAACATTCAAAGGTGTGTTTTCTTGTATGAACTTTTCTGCAAATTGTTTAATACTAGCTAAACTATTCAAATCACAAATAACACCTTGTACAGAACCATTCGATGATTTTTCTTGTAATTCTTTGTTTATATTTTCAAGAACGTCTTTCAGTTTTGTTTCACTTCTACCCATTAGATAAACTTTTGCTCCGGCAAGTGCTAATGTTCGACCAGTTTCAATACCAATACCAGATGTTGCGCCTGTAACAAGAATATGTAAATTTTTAGTGTTACTATTTTCGCCACATTCATTTACAATGTCTTGTGCTGTCATATTAAAACGAGATACTAGATGAGAATCACCCGAACCCATTATCAATTATAATCTAGAAAAATAATTCACGATGTAATGACTTGGGGATCAAAAAATTATGCCAGAAAAAAAGCAGAGTTGTGATGTCTACTATTTGCTTTGCTGGTCATTGAAGATATCTAACCTTGTTCTTTGATCATTTACAGTGGATTTACTGTTGATAAAACAAAAAAGTATGATGACAAAATGTGAATGGATACACACTCGTTTATATCGAAAGGAAAAAATAAAAAGACGTATAAATTCAGAAGAAATATGAGCTTAAGTCAAGAGATTTCTTATCAAAATGAATCGTTAACAACATTGAAATATTCTATTAATGACTTTTTCATATTAACATGCGTGCAGAATAAAGTTACTATTTAAGATAAGTTGACCAAATTTGGATTCACTAGTCTTTTGTTAGTCTTTAAAGTAATATGATTCATGCTTTTGGAACTGCTTGTAGAAGTTCTAACTAAAGAACATTACACTTGAGTTTTTCTTCATCATCATAAAAGACTTGAAAATAGTAAAAAAACAATATACCATGAACCACTTTATACTCGTGCTCCACCTCATCCATATGACGAAGCAAAAAATAAAAACAACGCAACAAATATCAGCAGCAACACATGACATATCGAGAACATGTTATTCAATGACTCATCTTCTTTTCATACAAGGAGTACAGGACAAAATTATAAATAATTAATCATAACGATACAGTTTAATATAATTTTTCAAGTGGTTTGAAATTTTCGACGTTTTTCTTATTAAGTACGGTCATCATCGACCATAAAGATGTCGCCTATGACTTTAACTTCTTATCATTACAAAACAAAAACTAACAACTAGCAATTAAAATATGGCAACAAAACATCAATTTTAATGTATAACGTAAAATAATTCATAACTTTATACATATAAATTTGCGCAATGATGATCCTATTCATCGAATACAAGAAACAGAAAAAGTATCTCGTATTTCCGGCATGACTATCCAACTCCGATTAAAAAATTTCATCGAAATTGTCAAAGTATGGTTCGATCGGTCCGGGTCAGAAAAATGTACCGTAGTTTCTGATATAGTTGCCCAACTTCAATGAAAGTTGGACTGCTAGTAGAAGTAAATAAGATATATTTCTCATAAAGTTTTCAGCTCTATATGATTGTTTGAAGAGAAGTAATAATGAAAATACTTCTCTATCAAATTAATGTAAGAATAGAAGAAATTTTGTTTACTTTGATTATTAAAAGGATCACCGGTTTCTTCGATTTCATGGTATTAGAAACATTATATCATATACAGTTGTAGAGAGCGTGGCATACTTTACATTTTATTCTTGTTTAACCATTTTCTGGTATCCGTTGAAGTTTTTTAGAAATACGAACAAAATGCAGGCCTATGTTTTCTTTTACTAAAGTTTTTACTTTTTCAAAAATACTGAATTTTGGTAATATCACAATGAATTTGAAGAAAAAAAAGGGTACTAAGAATTATTCATTTTTTGGTTTAAAAAAAATTCTCCCATTGGGAATTGACATTTGTAGGATTTAGACTAGATTTGAAGTCTTTATCATCATCAACAGACAAACCAATATGTTCCACTACTCGAACAATGAATTCGAACTTGAACTTCTTATAAAATATTTTATCCTTTATTTCTCTTAAAATAAAAAATGACTAATATCGATCCCAAAATATAAGGCAGGTGGTTGCTTTTTGAATAACTCAAAAAGGGCAAAAGATATCGACCTGCAGTTTTCAGCAATAGAAAGAGGAGACTCTAGACTACATTTTTACTAGGAAACTTAATTTTCAAAAACTTTTCGATACTAGGTTTTGTGCGGGTTTTTTGGAAAACCAGGATTTTTCTAAAAAGTTTCTGGTAGAAACCTGTCGTTTTTTTTTCATAGATAGATAGCCCTGGGCATCCTCTACAAATCTATATTAGATAATGTGCGGTTTTTTTTGGTTTTTCTGCCAACTGCAGGCGATTTTTCCGAAGCACCAAAATACCAGTAAAACACTGTGTTTTAAATCCGATCGAACTAGCATGGTCCGGTTTAAAGAATTATGTCCGGCAAATGAATGTTAATTTCAATTTGAATCATGATGCACAATTATGCAATGAATGGTTAGCTACAGTTGGTCCAGAACAGGTGGCTAAGTATTTTGATCATGTGCGAAAATGTGAAAAAGAATTTAAAAAAGCTGATCAAGTTGTTGAAAGGCTTGAAGATGATCTACTTGAAAGTGATACACACGATTCTATAAGTTCGGAAGATGATGGAAACGAAACTGATAGTTGAAAACCTTTTCTCTTCAATATCATTTTTCTCCATGTTTATAATATATTCATGGAAATAAAATGCATAAGAAAGAATAAAAGAACCATTTTATATAAAAATTTCACTTACTATGCATCTCCATCTACCATAAATCAAGAAAGTATCATCCAAAGAGTAAAATAAACATTGCCATAAGATTCAGCATAGCCAATAACCTATGTTTCCAAGTATTCTGGCAACTGCTAGCATTAAGGATACGGGAATCCTAGTGCTTCGGAAAAATCGCCTGCTGTTGACAGAGAAAGCAAAAAACCACATATGATCTAATATAGATTTGTAGAGGATGCCCAGGGCTATCTATCTATGAAAAAAAACCACAGATGTCTACCAGAAACTTTTTAGAAAAATCCTGGTTTTCAAAAAAAACCCGCACGAAACCTAGTATCGAAAAGTTTTTGGAAATCAAGTTTGCTAGTAAAAATGTAGCTTAGAGTCTCCTCTTTCTATTGCTGAAAATCGCAGGTCGATATCTTTTGCCGTTTTTGAGTTATTCAAAAAACAACCACCTGCCTTATATTTTGGGATCGATATTAGTACATAAAAATAACAGTTCAGTTTTTTTTTTCTTCAAATGGTATGATGCTCTATTCTATACAAAAATATTTTATATTTTTGCAATAGAATTATATTTGTTAATAATAATGAATATCAACATTTTTCAGGTTATGTTTTTGTTTAATGCATTTACAATCTGCTTAAAACTCTATCTTAGATTTCCTAACATTATTTAACGTACTACATAATGTATATGTACAGATTGATTCTCATACTTTTTTGTCTAGAACTTGTTTCATTGCGAATCTTGTATTTTTTTTGTTTTGCTTGATTTATCATTACATAGCCAATAAAACAAACGTCATTTGAAAGATAAAAATGAAAATAAAAGCTGTATTGTGATGACAAAATAAATTAGATATATTTATATACATGATAGAAAAAACCAAAAACGCTTATTATCCATCGCTACTACTACTTCGTACAACTATATTAGCTTTAACATAATTAGTTCCTTTTCTTTGAGAGGCGAACTGTACGGAGAGCGTAAAAATATTTTTTCAGAGGCGTAATGCTATAATTTCAAATAGCATCCATAACAAATTTTATATCAAATTAAAGCATGTGAAAAATGAAATTTATCGATGCTAAATAGTAAAGGATATGGTAATTTTTAGTGTTGAATTCAAGAAAATTCTAGAATTTTACAGCAACATTAACATTGCAAAATTACTTACATCAGGCAGTTCAAACTGGATCTCAATTACAATGAGAAATATCACGAAGTACTATTTATCTCTTAAGATTTGATGAATACAAACAATAATCAGAATAATGACCATTAGTTGTTTTTTTACAGCACGAAGATGAGACCGAGACGAACATGAAATAATTTCAAATAAGTCCATGTTTGTTTCCATGTTTCTCAAAGTTTCTTCATCGTAACGATTGTGCTCAGTCTTCGATAACATTTTGTTTCAAGTTTTTGTTTCGATTATTGATTCAATATTTCAGAATCAGGTGTCGAGTACTTTGTGTTATTGCTCGTTTTCAATGAGATCTAGTTTGAGCTGCCTCACGAAAATAATTTTTGAATATTAATACGCTGTAAAATTGTAGTAAGTTCCTGAATTCAACATTAAAAAATTGTTATACTCTTCATTATGTGACGTCGATGAATCCCATTTCCAACGCGCTTTTATTTGGTATACACTTTGTTATGTATGTCACTTGAAATCATAGCGCTATCCATCTGAAAAAATACTTTTTACGCACTCTGTACATTGAGAACATGTATCTCCCAACGGAATAACAAAGTCTCGTAGTGAATTTGGATTTCCAGTTTCGGTGAATATAACTTATTTTGAAGTGTCATTTGTTGATTGATAACTCAACCATGATTTAAAATATTGAAAATAGTCAGAAAAGGTTTTTACCATATCATCATGAGAAGGAATCATACTATCTTTTTTTGAATTAAGAAGAGGAAGATAAAAATTTAATACCAATAATATCAAGTTCGGTTTTTTTATTTCTATTTTTGATGTATTTGTTTTATAAGAAGGAAATGGTATATTTGAATAAGCACGCTGTTTCTAAAAAGTTTTTGTTTTTATAATGAACATTCACGATTGGAGGAGAGCATTGATGAAATTAGTGTCCTGCAACCCAGTGGGGTACGTGAACCAAATCCAACTGGGAGCATGGATCTGGATCTGATCTAACAGTTAGATTCGATACAGAAACTAATGAAATCTTGATGTTTCAAAATATTTTTACTTTTTCAAACTGCTAAATTATATAAGAGCATATGAGTAAAAATTGGTTCGATCATGATTGAGCTATTTACGGTACTTGAGAACAGGCGACAAAAGTGAAAAGCGATACTATTAAAAAAGTTAACATGTGCTATTATAATGGAAAAAGCATTTATGTATGGATCCATGCTTCTGACGTTCGACATTAGCACAACGTCATCAAGGCAGATAAGAAGAAAGAAGAGGAATGAATCACAAAATACGATTATTACCTAGATGTCTATTATGGATAGATTTTAATAAGCCTGGATAGCCTTCTTTACGAGTGGTCTTAATTAAAACTCTTCAATATGATGTATATTTTGATTTAGATAGTTTTAATAATTCCAATTCAATTGATAATATTTCAACATGAAGTTCTTTCGCCATCATTGATAAATTGTAAATGACATGTCCATAAGTAGAAAATCAACATGTAACATTTGAAAAACGACTAATGGGTTACGAAGGACATTTAAATTGTATATATTACTTTGTGAAATTATAAAATTCATAGCAACCCAATTACTTCCAATAGATGTTATCGTTTTTAAAGAATTTCATATATCAGATAATATTAACGACAATGAATTATACAAAAGAAAATTCAAATTATGAAATTTCGATTGAATACTAGACAGATGTAACAACAATAATGAGAATATATATTTTGATAATTTGTTTTTACATACCCATTATCAAGCATGACGCATACGCTACATAAATAGTATAATGTTTATAGAAGAACGAAACAAATCATCATACTGCACACGAGGTGTATTAGTGCACATTATATTTGTACTTAGAGTGCGTTTCTCGTGAACTTCTTCTACAAAAGTAGACAGCATTGATGTTAAGACCACAAATCAAACAATAGAATATATTTTTAAGAGGTAACTATTATGCACTTCACACATTTCTATAGAACAAGAATATCTCGCCCTTGAGATACCTTACAATATAGAGTTCTGCTTAAAGACAGTCTTGTTAGCTCAATATTTTTATTTAAAATTATTTTTAGTGTACACGATAGAATTAAAGAGGAGTGAGTGTAAGTTCAATAACTCAACAACGCCAACCGTTAGTCATCTGTGATTTTCCATAATCAGAAAAATATTCAAAAATGTTTCGTTTTGATGAAATATTCATTTTTTACATATGTTTTAGATATATAGTTTAAGATACGATTCAAGTGGTTATTGTCTCACATCTTAATATTAAACAAAATTTAAACCATAATATAAAATAAATAAATCGTTTTAGATTTATGAAAATCCCATGATTGATCTTCAATGAATTACTTCGATTTGTGGAACATGTTCCATCAAATGCTTCTGCTATTGTACATTCAGCTGGTTTACCACGAACTGTCCATGAACATCTCCAATAATTTGAATCTTTTTCTTTATAATAATCCATAGAAGATGGATTATCCCACCAAAATATGATAGTACCATTACATATTCCTTTATTCTCATCAAGAGCTTGAAAAAGTGCTTTAAAAGCCATGTCTTGTAATGTAAAATTAGCACTATAATTACCAACACATTGAACAGCTGGATTTCCTGATGGTAGAGCAAGTCCAGCTAATGAACTTGGATATCCAACTTCAGTCAAAACAAGTGGTTTTGATGTAACATTTATGGATTGATTACTTAGCCAAAATTTAAAATATTGAAAATAATTAGAAAATCTTTTAATCATATCTTGTTGTGAAGGTATGTTACTATCATTTGTTATATTAAGAAGTGGTAGATAAAAATCCATAGCAATAAAATCAAGTTCATCTCAAAATTGAATTTGTTGTGTTTCTAATGGATAGAATATTGAACAATAAGTTAATAATCCTGAATAACCTCCTGATCGAATAGTTCGAATTAATGTTTTCCAATAGAGTGTATAATCTTGATTAGAAATTTGTATTAATTCTAATCCAATCGACAAAGCATCTATTTGAAGTTTCTTTTGTCATCATTGATATATTAGAAATAATGTTTTCATAACTCAAAAACCATTTTGTAATATTTTCAGGTAAAATATGAATAAATAGACAATCATTACCACAGACTACAAGTGGTTTAAGAAGTACACGTAAATTATATTTATGTGCTTCTTTTATAAAACTAGACCATACATCTTTAGTTGGAGTTCTTTCATCAAAATATATTTCATTTGAGATATTTTTATCTTGTCGAAGAAAAAAATTAACACCAATCCAATTAGCTTCTCGTAATGAAATTATTTTTAATGAATCTAAGGTATCGGACATTTAAAGAGCTGTAGAATTAAATGGAAAAATATTAAAACCATTATAATTAGCTTGAATACACACAAAATAATACAAAAATAACAATAAAAATTGTTTCATAATAAAACTTGTTCGAATTGAAAAACTGTACCTTAGTAAATTATATATTGTAATATGAGTTTTTATCTGTCAATATGAGTCATAATAATAACGCAGAAAAGAATAAAAATAAATATACGAATGTATATTCTTTGCCTAAGAACTACCAGGTATGTTAGATTGAAAAGTAAGATTAAAATGATAAAAATAACCGGTGTTTGAAAATTTTGCAGACTCTAAAAAGAGTCCGTAGAAATTAAGTTTGGACAGAATTCAGTACGCTAAACTTGTATTCAAAGTAGAAGAGAAAATAATTTCAAATGTAGCGAATGAAAGAGAAAAGATTTTTCTAAAAGTTCAAAAGAAATTTTCAACTTATCTGTTCAGAAGCAATCCAAAACTTTGATTTTAACCATAATATTTTCAAAGTTCTGCAAGCTCTTTTAACAAGCTCAAAAGTGAATGAATATTGTGTCAAATTGATTTTTGATAATCTGTTACTAATGCAAAAGATTAAACAATGTAACGGTTATATATAGACTTTTAAGAAATCATTCTCATGAAAGATTAGGCATTATAATCATATAATAATCTCATTCTCGATTTTTCTTTCTTTCATCGGTGTCAGAAGTTGAAGTGTAAAATTCTAAATATAGAATCTTTATTTTACTACAATAACCTTCACATATATGGCTTCAAAGATTCTACAAAGGTCGAACTATTATTATATTACACTAAAAGATGAAAAATAGGTCAAATGAAATAACATCAAATAGAAATATCGTTGATTATACTTCTTTCACAATATTCTCTATCTCATAAAGACTCTAATAGTTAAATAATGTCTAACATTTTTTTTATATCTATCATCTTTATCAAACAAAACGATGTCATACTTGTTAACCTCTTGTTTGTTGAAGGTGTCCTATTTCGGAGAATTTTGACTATGTATAAATGTTGCATTATTATTATTTTCAAATCGCTGTTATTAAGATATCATAGGTAATAGATCATTGTGTACTCAAATCAAGAGAGACGACAGTCATATTTTTGATATAATAAAGTAAGTATTTCTAATAATTATTATGTTAAAATGATAATTATTATGGAGCAGAAAAATCAGCCGAATTTTTAGAGTTTTTATGAATATTTAATTTATGTAACGATGTGACATTCTTCTATATTGCATTTCTCAATACTCATATTCTATTTTTGTTTCCTTCCTATGACGTTCGAGAGCGTAGGTGGTTCTTTGTTATTCTATTTTTGTATTAGAAAATTCTTCACTGCGACATTTCTTTCTTTTTTTCATAAACATTTTTACCGTCGGAGTAGAAAACTTAATATTTTCCAATGTTTATGAATGAGAGTTTTTGTTCATTAAATTCCACAATATCATCTCACTGTTCGTCATGTTTCTATGGACCTGTTTGTCAATTTAGTACAACATATTATAGTATTATATCATTACAAACTTTATTATGTTCATTTGAATATATTCCAACTGGTATACTTATTAGTATTTTTTTATTCAGTAGTATATGTAATTTATTTTCTATTGGCACATTTTGTCAATCAAATGCACGTGAAATGGGTAGTGGTATCTATCGTCTTTGGATTTCAATTATTGGGCAATGTGGTCTGACAATTATTGTTATTCATATACTTATAGAGAAAAATAATAGTGGAATAATAGGTTGTTTTATTTTAGAATATCTTCGTAAAGCTCTTCATGCTTCATATGATTCATTAACAGCATGTACAACATTAGAACGAACGATGGTTATCTATCAAGGTCTTGCATTTAATAAAATACATAGTCGACGATTAGCTAAATTGATTATACCTATATTAATAATATATCATTTTCTTAATATTTTTTATGAACCATTTTATCGTCAATTAATTTATTCATTGAATCGATATTGGTGTATATTGAAATTTTCTAATCATTCAATTATTATTTATCAAAGTGTAACAAATATATGTCATTTTATTTTACCTTATTTTATTAATTTAATTTTACCTATTATATGGGTTTTGGCTTTAACAAAAAAGAAATTAATATTAAATAAAAATCTTTCAATTTGGATCAATTTAAAAAATATTTTATTTACTTATAAGTATACAATCATTAGTTGTTATATTCTTGTTCTTCTTAATACACCTCGATTGATTTTTACATTTTATTTAACTTGTATTAAATTACAATGGCAAAATACAGTTTACATTATTGCTTATTTTCTTTCATTGGTTCCATTAATGGCTAATCTATTTATTTTTGTTTTACCATCACCAAAATATCGACCAGAATTTTTTAGTTTAGTTCAACGTATCATAAAATATCGACATAGAAGTCAATATGCTTCAACATAAATGTTTTACTTGTCTTCATATTTACATTGTGCAATAATCAATTTTATTTAAAAAAAAAAAATAAAGTATGAAAAAAATCTCATCGGAAAAAAACAAAAATAATCAATACAATCTTATCAACAATCAATAACAGAATATGATACTTGATAGTATTTGATCAAAATTTTAAAGATATGATGTAATGTATCAATGAACATAAATACGATGCCGAGATCTAACAGCTGGCTACGTACAATTGTAACTAGAAAATAAATCAAGCTGGCAACCAAATTCTGGGGTATCGTATTTATGCATCTAAGATTCGAACATTTTTCGACAGGAAATAATGGCTTTCCAGTCGAAAAATTCATTAGGATTATGTACGAATTGACTGACTTAATTTATGATCGATTTGATGGTATAGTGAATGAGTGAACTATCTTAAAAAGACGAAAACTTCAAGTTCATTCATTGAATATCTACGTCATTATTTTCATTCAAACATAAACAAATAATCTTATAGAACAAAAGTCGAGCGAAACAATATTCTGTACATTTTGTAATTGTGATTCCGAAATCCTTGTTTTGAGTAGAGAAAAAAATCGTTGTATCCTCACAACACAGAGATATATCATAATTGCTCCGATATTTTGATCATTATATGATAGAACACTTACAAAGGAAAACTTCTTTGTGAATCTAATATAAGCTCAAACAGCGGGTATCAGTTTGGATAGAAGTTCCTTCGTAAGATCAATCAACATATTCAATATCTAACGCCATCTACATCCAATTACGGTACTTGTTTGCTAAAAATACTGGTGATCAGGAAGTCAGAATAATAACTAAGTTTTTTTTCGTTCTTAAAATAATTTTTCTTGTTATTATTTGTACAATGAATTGGAATCACTTGAAATTATTTTTCTTCGTTTTCAATAATGTACATATTGCACTCAACAGGTTGCTTAACGTGATAAACTGTACGTAAATGCCTGGAAAAAATGTTCGTAAATAATTGGATGATCCCATAGTATACCAAAGTTGAGATAATATTAAATAAATAATATTTGTTTACTTTTATGTTTATGTTTTTTTAATAACTTGTTTTTGTTTCTTTTCTTTTTAGATATCTCATTGTTTTAAAACTTTTACTTTTTTCTTCTTTTTTCTATTTCACATTTGATTTCAATCTTATCGACAATAGAAATTTTATCTGGAGTGTATCGAATATACAATTTTATATGTATTAGTTAATATCTGATAAATTATGTCGATATCAAAAATTAAAAATGCTGCAAAATCTTTAAAAACATTTCAAGGTATTCACTTTGAACAATGTTTGGATAATGGCGAAACAGCTGAACAAATGAATAAATGGCTTTTAGAAGTATCATGGGAAGTAGCTAACAAAGGTTAAATATAGAAGTCTAAAGTTCATTTTTTTTTGTATTTTAACATATAAATTTTTAGTTGGTGGAATTTATACTGTTATTCGCTCAAAAGTACCTATAACAAAAAAGGAATATGGGAATAATTATATTTGTTTGGGTCCATATAATGATTCATTTGTTAAAACTGAAGTTGAAGTTAGTGAATCAAAAAATGAGGCTATACGTGAAGCAGTTAATGATATGAAACGTTATGGTGTTCATGTACGTTTGATAGAAATGGAACGAAAAAAAAAACAAAAGATTTTTGTTTCTTTTTTTTTATGAACAATCTTATAGGTTGTAACTGGCAATTGGTTGATTGAAGGTTTTCCTCAAGTTGTTCTTTTTGATATTGGTTCAGCAGCCCATCGATTAGACGGTTGGAAAGGAGATTTTTTTGAATATGCACATATTGGCATTCCATATCATGATCGAGAAGCGAATGATGCTTTAATATTTGGTTTTTGTGTTTTTTGGTTCATTGGCACAGTAAGTTAAAATAAGAAACATAATGTATATGAAAGACAAATAGATATACATATTGTGATAATTCTTCTTTTTAAGTTTATCGAACAAGTAAAACGAATAAAAAAAAGTTATGTAATTGCTCATTTTCATGAATGGTTAGCTGGTGTTGGTCTTGTAATGACACGTCTTCGTAATTATGATTGTGGATTAATATTTACCACACATGCAACACTATTAGGACGATATTTATGTGCTGGTTCAGCTGATTTTTATAATAATTTAAGTTATGTATGTATATTGTCATTGAAATATTCAATAAAATTTCTTTCATCATAGTTTAATCTTGATAAAGAAGCTGGTGATCGTCAAATTTATCATCGTTATTGTATTGAACGTGCTGCTGCATCATGTGCACATGTATTTACAACTGTTTCACAAATTACTGGTGTTGAAGCACAATATTTATTAAATAAAAAACCTGGTAAGAATAATATCTGCTAAATTTTCATTATTTTATTTTATTTTTTTGCTATAACTGTTATTATTATTTCATATTTTGCTATCAGATATATTGACTCCCAATGGGCTTAATGTTCAAACATTTGCTGCATTGCATGAATTTCAAAATTTACATGCACAAAATAAAGAAAAGCTCAATGCTTTTGTACGTGGTCATTTTTACGGGTAAATTTTCTTTATTTTTTCATCTATAGATATTTTAACACCTAATGGACTTAATATTCGATTATATCGACGTAAACCACGTTCAATGTGGTCATTAGATCCAATAATTATATCACATGAAAGAATATCAAATTTTGTACAAGGACATTTTTTAGGGTAGAAAGAGCAAAAAAAAACAGAAGATATAATTTGTTTTTTAATTTGCAAATGAGTTTAGTTTGTTTCTTTATTTGCAAATTTTCAGTTGAAAATTTAATTTTTTAATTTTTAGACATTATGATTTCGATTTGGATAAAACATTATATTTTTTTATTGCTGGTCGATATGAATTTTCAAATAAAGGTGCTGATATGTTTATTGAAGCTTTAGCTCGTTTAAATCATATGCTTAAAGTAAAAAATTTCTATTTTTGAAAAATATTCTCCTATTTAAATTCTTTTCTTTTAAAGGCATCCGGTTCAGATGTAACTATCGTAGCATTTATGATCTTTCCAACAGCAACAAATAATTTTAATATTGAATCATTACGTGGTCAATCTGTTGCTAAAATGCTTCGAGATACAGTACAAAATATTCAAAGTGAAATTGGTAAACGACTTTATGAAATTTGTCTAAAGTAAGTTGATTTTGTGCAACTTACATATATTTTACTAGAAAATAATGAGAAAAAATTATATATTTAACCTTCCTATTACAGATATTAGCAATAGTAATTAAAGATCATTGAGTATGTTTCTATAGTCATGACAGGCATAAATCAATCATTTTAATGCTGTTATTACTGATGGTTAATTATCCTAGCAAAAAGAAGTGGTTTGTATAGGGAATAATGTTGATTGAAATTTTAAAATTCTTACGAAGTGCATTACAACGATTGTGCCAAAGTGAATGGCGAAGGCACTTTGATTCCTTATGAAAAGTTTATTTGTCTTCGAGATGTATCCTCTTGATCTGCGACTCTCGTTTTTGTTTTTCATTTCCTTTGATATCTAATTGTCTATTCATATTAGATTGAAATAATGCTCGTGGTTATAAATATACAAGTGCAGTTGTTACATCTATTTATTGAATCATTGTCTATGATTTTTTTTTATTCAACGAGTTCATGAAATTGGTTATATCATGCTGCAACAATTTAGAATCGTTTTGATCGCTTCGATTTTGTTTGATTAACTCGAATAACTAAAAATCATATGATGTCAGATTAAGAAAAATAAGAAGAGAATAGACCTCGAAAAAAAAATGACGTGATTTTATCTTCATATATCATAACAAATAGCTCTTATCAAAATTTTATTATCAGAATACTTGTTGAAGTATTATGTAGTAGTATAGAAAAATTGAACATTGTTTTTATTATCAATTCTTACAGAGAAAAATTTTCTTTATAAACCTAAGTATTTCGTCGTATACTATTGTATCTAGATGCTCTTCTTATTCACAAGGAAGAGATTTTCTTCTCTCATCAATCTAAATAAAACTAAAATTATTCAATTAAAAACAAATGCTTATCATTAAATTTGTTGCCAAGTTTAAAACAATAAATTTATGTACTCAATACGTTTGCATGCTTGTTTTGTGAATTTTACGTCAATACATTGACGTCACAAGAATTTAATTATTAAGAAAGTTATGTTATAATTTATATAGATATTGGTTTGAGTAATCGATTACTATCTTTGAGTAATAGAAAGAGAAAATAATGAATGATGCTATTAAGGTTTTATTTATAGATAAATTGAAAATAATTTGTTTTATATTAACCATCCAATGATTTTTTTAATAGGAACGTTTGATTAGATTTTTGCTCAGTGAGAATTCGTTTCAATAGAAGATGCACTATGATACATATGTCAGTTATCTTTACATATAATTTGTTTAAAAGACATGATTATGATTATTTGTGGTGATGTTGTATACTTAATAAAAAAAAAAAAACTCATTGTATTGTAATAATAAATGTGCTATAATTTTGTTGAAAAAATTCGAAATCGAATTGATATTCGATTTCTACTGCCATTTATCAAATTAATTGTGATTAAAAAGACAAATTCGATATTGAAGATTTTATTTGAAATTAAAAATTAAAATATTTAGAAATTGAAATATTTTAGAAATCGATTAATTGTATAATACGTGTATGTTAAATATAAACAGTGTTGACATATTGTTATATTTGATTTATTTGTAATATATTTATTTAAATAAATATATTATCTGTTATAATTATGAAACAATAGTTTAAAAAAGAAAATTCAATTTTTTTTTCTTTTGTTATTGCTTCAGCATCTCTATCTGTAACTTCTTCAATTCATGAGAAATATCATTATAGTCATCTATTACTTTACTCATTTTGATTATTATCGTAAATTTTTGCTTTCTTCATCATAAACTAATTAACATTCTATTTAGTTTTATATGGTTCAGAATTTATAATAATTAAATCGTATCGAAAATGATTAATAAACAAATATTTTAATATTTGGTGGGTAATGTTGATCACTATTTAATAAGCAAATAAATCATTCATTTTACTCACCTTTGATTGTTTCACATCACTTGTTCGAAACTTAAAAATATATTTCATTGAATTCATGATTGTTCCTCTTGCGACACTTGCTTTTTATGAATACTGAATAGAACTCTTATTCATTACAAGTACGATAGATAAATTTATTGAAATTCAGCATTAAAAGGGCTGTACTAATAAGTTTGTTTTGTTTTTGATTTATTACTTAATAAAAAATATTCATGAAAATATTTGTTACGTCTACAAAGTGAAAAAAAGAAACCAAAATGGTATGTGATAAGTTCAACGAATAAAACAGCTTGTTAAATCAAATATTTATATGATAAAATCTTGAAAATCTTCGTTCGATTAAGGACATGTTCATTTAGTCACGATACTTTATGAGTAAATTTCAAAAGTTAAGACTTGAAATACGACTATATGACAGAGACGGTTCTTTGTCATGTATTGATAAGCTATTTGTCCATTTTAAATTCTAGTTTGAATCGATATATTATCTTATTCATCCCATAAACATTCTTGTTTCATTATTCAATAGAATATATAAAAAGAAAACGAAAGAACATTTACTGGAAGCGAAAACATTCATCTACAATTTAAGTTGGATGAATTCGTGAGATGTCGAAACTCGAGAGTATCAAAGAAACAAAGTCATGTGTTTAGTAGAGACTGATTTTAGACGTCGATAGTTTATGATTTCTTTTATCATCATTCTATCGGTTTGTATCTGTAATCATTAGCGACAGTGTTGATTAATATATGCTAGAGACTAACCAAAAATACCCTAAAAAACAGCTATTATATAACAAAAAGGTCTATCATCATGGTTATAGCTGTTTAGTCTTCACAAAATGTAGGCCGACCATCATTGATAGTTAACTCATTTATTAAATCACAAAAAGGAAGATCTTTACTTTTATTAGATAATTATACTTTCAAATTCAACAAAAAACATCAACCATTATAAAATATTGGAAATGTGCACTTAAGAAATGCTCAGCAAATGATCATAATCATCTTGCAGATAAAAATAAAATTGAAGTATAAGAATATTGTGAAAAACATTTCTTTCTCTTAATTTGTCTATAATTTTCGTTAAAATTTCAATATTTTCTCATACAATAAAGAATATTTCTTAGTAGTTACGATTTTCTGAAGTCTTTCTACAATCAATTGATGGATTCTTGTCTCGTTAATCTAGATTGAAACTAATCTTTCGTTAATAACTATCTGATGATGACAATCCTAGTAAATAATAAATTCGAATATAATTATTAATCTCTCCAGTAGAGGACTTTGATAGTTGTATTTTTGTATATTCATACTTAATTTATAATTTAAAATAACATATTTAGTAGTAGTTTATGATTATCTAAAAAACATGTAGTTCATTTTGATACTTGCATATACATAAAATATTTTTTTTTATTGATTTATTTAAGAGGTAACCTTCCAACATCGGAACAAATCTTACATCCAAGTGATTTAATTGAATTAAAAAAGTGCATATATGCTTCACAAGTAAAATTCATATTTCTTATGTTTTAATTGCTTTTTTTTCTGTTTCGTAGCGATCATCATTACCACCAATTTGTACACATAATGTATGTGACGATGTCAATGATCCTATATTAAAAGCATTACGTCGTTGTCAATTATTTAATGCACGTTATGATCGAGTTAAAGTTATATTTCATCCGGAATTTTTACGTTCAACAAGTCCATTATTACCACTTGATTATGAAGAATTTGTACGTGGTTGTCATTTGGGTGTATTTCCATCATATTATGAACCATGGGGTTATACACCAGCTGAATGTACTGTTATGGGTGTACCAAGTATTTCAACAAATTTAAGTGGATTTGGATGTTTCATGGAAGAACATGTAAATGAACCACAGACATATGGTATCTATGTTGTTGATAGACGTTTTAAAAGTGGTGAAGAATCATGTCAACAACTTTCACAAGTAAATTGATCAATAAAAAAAAAGAAGATTTCTTTGTGTTTCTTTTCTTTTAAATTATTTTCTATGTTATAGTATATGTATGATTTTTCACAATTAACTAGACGACAACGTATTATCTTACGTAATCGTACTGAACGTTTAAGTGAATTATTAGACTGGAATACATTAGGCATTGTAAGTAGAAAATAGTTTTTGAAATTTTTCTGCAAATTATTATGAATCAAATTTATATGATAGCAATTGAAATAGGTTCTTCGTAGCCCTATGTGTCTTCAGTATATAAGAATTATAAATAATAGAAAATATTGATCATTACGTAGACAATAGTGTGCCGATATATGCGTCACGGCTCGCTGCTCTTCTTCTTTCCTCTTTCCTCTTTCTCTCTCTATTGTTCTCTCTGTGTCGTCTCTCTCCCATTGTTTCTGTATCATATATAAGTGTGTGTTGAATGTGCAATAGACACATTCTGGAGATGTGAAGTAGCTAATAAACATCATTATCGAGGGTGGCGGTAAGCTACTCCTCCAGTCTGTCATTTCATCATCTCTCCTTTTATCGTTACAAATAGGGTTCAAGTTGTTTTCTCAAAAGTATTTAGCTTGATTATGAGCAAAGAGTTTCAAATGAATTGGATTGAGTCCAGCTCCGCTCATGGATCGATTTTTGAATAAAAGTTTAATCGTATCGACTGATTTCGTGCGAAAATATTGTACAAAATTTGTTCTTTTCGTAGTCTTAATTTGTACTTTTATCTGCTTGCCTACCTCGGAAATAGCAAGCAGTATACAAAAACGAGGATGGTCAGTCGGTAGTTTTTCTCATTCAGTTAGACTTGTATCGAAATACGATTAATCCTTCTATTACTATTGAAGCCAAAAAAGAATGAACATACATGTTTTTTTGTTAAAATTTTTGATAGGAACAACGTAGAGATCTGAGATTTTCCTAATTCAAGATAGAACATCTGTGTTTATCAAAAAGAAGTCCAAAGATGATTGGTGAGCAATCGCTCAAACTGTTAAAATCTTGACGAAGATTTTGAAAACGATATTCTGAAGTCATTTCTCATCAGTTTTCAGCTTATTATATAGCCAATCGATAGGAAACAGTCTTCTCTTTTGATCTTCACAAACACCAAGTGTTCGTAGCTACTTCTATTCAAAAGTGTCAGGGCTTTTTCTAACACATTCGATTCCAACAATTTAGCCATGGAAGACTCTAAAAAAAGTTTCAGACAGAATTATTTATCACACTAAGTCGAACACTGATGTTTACTTTGAGTTGCGAAGCGATCTGAGGCGACTATATAAAGGTTTCTGAAAACTTCGATTTTTATACAGTGTAGAAAAAATTTTCAATTTTAAAAATACTCAAATAACAATCTCAAGTCGCTGTGAAACTGGAAGTAAACATTAGTATTCGACTCAAGGCGATGAATAATTCCTGTTTGCAGATCTTTGAGTCCCATGGTCAAATTGTTGCAATCTAAGGTCTCAAACAGAACAAAAATAACAATTATAAATAGCTTCAATCATTACGAAAAATAAGACTATTTTCGAGAAGAGTTCTTAACATATGGATTACTCGTAGGCGTTCATTATAGGCTGAGACTCTTTTGCTTGAATTCGATTGAAAAATTTTTTGAAAGTCAAATAATAGGTTGGGTCACACCAAGATCATGATCATTCATAGATCGATTTTCATTGATCCGACCTAGCTGATTCGGAGTTGTGATCGTGAATTTTTGAGTATTATTTAATTATTTTTTTCGATGTTACATGAACATTGTTATTTATAGACATGTATCTATTATTTTTTAGTATTATTATCGAGCTCGTCAAATGGTTCTACAACGTACTCATCCCGAATACGAAGAAGAACTGCTCAAAATTGTACGTATCTTCTTTCAATTAATCAAAAATAATATTTTATTTTGTAATTTATTTAGACAAATGAATCAATTTCTACTCCATCAACACCAGCTGTATCTCGTTCATCAACACCCGCACCACCTGATCGCGATGAAGGAACTGATGATGAAGAAGAACACCAAGAAGAGAGTTCATATGATAAGGTAAAAAAATTTAGTTATCAAATTATTTTATTTTATTCATTTATTTTCTCATTACAAAGAATCGGACAATTTTTAAGCCTCGGTCCTTGATTAAAAACGCACTTACATCTTAGAACGACAGACCTAACTAAACATTTCAGAAGATTTAGGCCCCAAACCTAGAAAGTTTAGAGTGCAAATTTCGGCGCAAAATATACAGTTCTTCAAGAGTGATCACGATGCTAAGAATCAAAGACTTGGTCTCCGTTCGTCTCAGATTTTTCCCCAAATTTAATGATACAGGTCTCAGGTTAGCGTTAAAATGTAGTCGAGACTTGCTGCTGCAACTGACTATTAGTGTAGTTTTGTTAAGTTATGGAGCACAATTTTCTCCGCAATAAAAAAACTTTCTGAACTTCTTCGCATGTAAAATGGTTGAAAAATCTTCGACACATAATTAGAAAAAAAAATTCGCTTTGAGAAAAACGCAAAACTTAGTTTACGATTGAATAATCCATGTTTCGTTTAATACAACATAAAGTAAACACATCGATTCGTAATCTATCATGTGTTATCAAATATGGCGGATCAAATGAAGACTTGCACATGCTTTTACATCATCTAAAAATCTGAATCTAAAAGAGAAATACCATATGAAGCGTTAGTATTAGTTTCATCGACTCATATCACCAAGACGAGAATATGCACAAATACTCTTAATCATGCTCCGTTCAATGAGAGATTCAGTTTTCTTTTACTTTGTGTTCGAGCCTTCGCTATGTGTGAGTGATCATTAGATGGTCACGTCCTAACGTATTTCTTCGTCCTCATAAATCATATTTATATATTTTAATTGACTTTTTATTTTTATATAGGAAAATAATTTCATTTTAAAACTAATAAAAGCTTTCTTTTTTGCATAAATTCAGACACACATTGAACCGAAAACACCACCACTGACTCATGAACCAGACGACGAACCACATTTAGAACGTGCTGATTCAGTTCGTCTTCTTCCCATGAGAAAAAGAGTTCTAAAAGATACTGATCATACTGCATCTGATCATGGACCTCAAACTAAATCAACGCTCAATGATGCTAATGATGATGAAGTTCGTGAAATAATAGGTGGAATAGAAAATCCAAGCAATATTTATGTTAGTACAAGCAATAGCAAACCTGGATTGTTACCTGATGCTCAAACAAAAGCATTAAATGATAAACTCAATTTAGGTTTACCAGATCGTGGTACATTTTCAGATTCACATGATGGTCAAAAACAACCATCAGATAGTGATAGAAAGTCATCAACACCAAGAGATTTATCATTATCTGATGCATTTCATGGTTCATTAAGCAGTGTTGGAACATCTTCATTTGAACCAACAAGTACTACCGGTGCTCAATATTCATCTGCTTTTGTTGATCAACAAGCTGCAAAATCAATTGGTAAAGAACAAATATAAGAAAAATTAATGAATTGGTAATCTTTCAATATGCTCCCAATGATTTTATTATTATACATCAATATAAAGCTTTTATAGTGTCCCTTAATTCAGCCTGCGAGTAGATTGTATACATACTGTCCATTATTTTTTTCTTAGTATTATCTGTAGTTTTGTTTGACCCTATATATTCAATAAATTGTAGTATTCAAGCAATACCAATAAAAAAAAAAACAGTAAAAAAAAAAAGAAATGAAATGACACACTACATGTAATTGACAATGTTTTGTACATTTATTATTTCGTTGAGCCAACACTTTTATAACGACAAGCAAACATCATCCAAGTAGCAAGAGCATTTTCTGGATAAGTAAATACACGTACACGGACAGCTAAACGTACTTGATCTCCATGACAACAAACAATTTCTTCACATAAATTATTTCTATATAGATTAAAAAAACATTGTACAGATAATCGTCAAATATCAATGTAAACTGACTTTAAGCTAAAAACAAATGCTTTTCGTGCATTTTTATGAACAAATTGAATTGGAAAACCTTTGAAAGCGTGTCCATTAGGTACGGCTCGTCGAACAGCTTCTTGAAATTCTTCATTACCAACAGATAAACCTGTAACACGTTCTAATTCATACGAAGAAAGTGCTGGACTTAATAAATATGATAGATGCTCATCAAACTGTGTTGTATAACCAAGATCCTAAATACATTTTAAGAAAATTTTTAAACTTCATCAAACGAATCTTATCATAGATTCTCAAAGAACTTAGAGTACAGGATCAAGATAGGAAGAGAACAACATTGTAACACATAATTAGAGCACGTCGGATTGATCTTGCGCCCGACATGGTTGAATTCGAAAAATTTCAAAGGCATTACGTACGGGTCTAAGCCTTGAACTGTGACTTCTGACTTCAAAGAACTGTCTTTGTCTGTATCTAACAGTCGTTCTAAATACTGCCACTAACATACGCCCCACACATATCTCAGACAATCGTGATGATGATCTTATAATAATCAAGTCATACTTTTAGACTATTATCCATTGGGTCAGATAAAGGGAAATTTGAGAGGTCCTACACGCGGTGTAAATTCTGCAGTCTAAACACAATTGACATGATAGAAAACTAATTCGATGTCAAATCAAGACTCCAATGGGTCTGCTGGTTAACAACCGAAGAGTATTTGAAAGTCCTGTATAAGATCAATACTTCATGTGTGTGAAAAGGCGAACTTTATTCACCTGAATCTATCGGCGACAAAAGTCAGGATACTAAACTTTTCACTGTATACTGAAATATTATTACATTTCATGCTCATGAAAATACCAAGGACATATAAAAAAGGAATCACAGAACGAGATTAACTGTTGATATACAAATTTTCATCAAGAAAGACAGTAATGTACGATATTCTTCTCAAACAACAATAGTATCATAATCTATCAATCATCTTTTTTTTTTGTTCTAAATACATATATACAAGCTGAATTCTAAGGAGTAATAGATAAGAGATCAATCGTGAGTATAAACATAATATCATGAATTAATTAAATAGCTATTCTAAACTCTTGTCTTGAATTGATTTGAGGTGTTTGAAATAATAAAGTGCCTTAACTAAGAATTTTCTAATGTTGTCAAAAGGAATTAAGTTTTTCTTTTGTTTACTTTTCTATGTTGAATAATTAAAGCTCGAATTTGTTTTTCAATATCATTTGATAATGCAATTGGATCAAGTGTATTACTCATTAAATGAGGCATCATTGGTGCCGTAAGAACAAGACCAGGAGTATTTACTGATGCAATTGCATCAGCTGACATTGCTTTCCATTTTGATTGATCTAGTAAACGAAATACACATGTATCAACATTACATGTTGGCTAAAATAAAAATTAATCAAAATTTTATATATCAATTATTACGATGTCATTTTCATACTTGCACATTTGCATAAAACAATTTATCATTAAATAAACAACCAATAGTTTTATATGGATGTCGAATATTATTTAATGATAATTTATCAAGTGGAGGATTATCTGGATCAATAGAAATATGTTGATATCTAATAAAATAAACTAAATTCTACATAAGCATAATTATTTATTTTTTAAAAATTTCTACCTATTTCCATTTAAACTCTCCCAAAAGAAAATATCATCTGCACCAATCGTTACAACCCATGAATGAATTTGATTTTTACCTTTTGTTCCGATACCTAAATTAAAATAAAACAATTAAACTCATCTATTAAACAACAAAAAATGAAGACTATCGTATTAGAATTAACATGAGTGCTTTTTATATTATTTGTCATTAGCATTTGCTGGTGAATGTAAATTTCAAGTTTAAGCTCTGCGGTTTCCCGGCCGTATACCAAGGTGGGGAACGGGGCAATAGTCGTCCAACTGTCATTAAGTAGGCCTCTATAATAATCGAGGATCGAAGATGACAGATAGCTTTCCCAATGCTCATTAACAGCGGGAAAAGACGCTGAACAATACTAACAACAAGATCTAGACTGTTCTAAAACATTTCTTAGCCTTCTTCGAAACTTGAATAGTTCTAGTACGTTTGTGAATATTCGAAATAGTGTAATTTGTGAACTGATCAAGTCATGACTTAAAGAAATAGACAATATCAGTATCTATGTGCCTATCAAGATTTATATAGTAGTGTGTTGAGATGTGCTATAAATATAATAGATTTGTATAACAAACTTATTCGTCAGTTCTTTTTTTGACTGTTTCTAGTTCCCAAAGATGGTACAACAGATGAAGCTGAAATTTTTATCAAAGATAAAACATCAAAAAACAAATAAAGAGACATGTGTTCAAAAACAACTTTAGGATAGTATAGATTTTTTACTTTATATATTTTGTATTAGTAAGGTCCACATTTTAGTCCGAAAGGAGTTGCACTGACAACTTGTATTCTTCTAATGCTAATACTAATACGACAATCTTACAACTAATAAATACATACAAACATAAGCATCAAGTCCAAAACCAAGTAATAAACTGCATAGCAGAACAGAATGATTTTCACAATCCTAAAAGAAATTTTATCAATATTTAAAAAAAATTAAATAAATAATATAAAAAATATTTACTCCACAATTTCTTGCAAGAAATGCATGTGTATGTGTCCACATTTCAGTTCGATCAGTATTACCAACAACTGAATGACGATCATAACCAATTAAACTAACAAAACGTGCTGCTTCTCGTGGTGTATCAAGTAAACGACCTGAACGAAGTGGTTGAACAAAAGAAAATACAGGATGATTAACACCATTTTCATCCTAAATAATATTTTAGTCTTCTATTATTTATTGCACAAAATATAAAACAAAAGACAAATTACTTGTCCAAATATTTTAACAAGTCGAGTTCGATGTTCTTCTCGAATTTCCAAAAATTCTTTCCACCATTGTTTAGCATATATAAGAAATAAACGTTCTCGTTCAGTACTTTTAGAATGTTCAAGATCGAGTTGTGCTGCTAGAACATCTTCTGCAACGGATTCATTTAATGGTGGAATTAATTGTAAACAAACATTTATAACACCAACAGGTAATTTATTTTCTGCGCCTAGAAAAATAACAATATTGACAATAAAGGGAGTTTTTATTTATGAAGAAGAAAGAATATTACCAATGCCATTTAATTCAAGTATTCGATTAGTTTTATTAGCTTGTGCACAAAGAATTTGACGCCATTCGAGAAAATGAGATGAGACAAGATGAATTTCGCCTAATGTATCTTTCCGTGTTAAGACAATATGAACACGATCGCAAATTGAGAGAAGAGTTTGAGTATCGGCCATAGCACCGAATTCACCTAAATGAAATCATGTTATATCTTGTCGTCATGTTATTAAATATAAAACAAATTGTATTGAAATTTGACTAAGAAAAATTGATTTTAACAATGAACAGTGTTTGTGTAAATCTCTTCGAGAGATTACTATACGTTACAAAACAACTAATTAAACACACATTGATATAAATGATCTGTGGTTTTTATAATCTAGATAAGTCAGAGTTGTAACCGGTCAAAAAAATTCAGACCGGACCGGCCTGACCGGTTTAAATCTTAGACCGGCCCGGCCCGGCCGGTCTAAAAATATTTCTAGACCGGCATAAACCGGCAGACGTATGAATTTTCTTTACATGGTAAAACTAGTTCTAGACATAGACCTTTTATCCATAAATTGATTTTTACACTTTCCTTTTCATGTATATTATCATTTTCATAGCAAACAATAACACAAATTTCTACGATTGAATATGTTCTGGACAAAATGAAGTTCTTTTCTGCAAAAGCTGATAATTGATTTAAATTTCTTCTTTTATTATATACAAAATTTACACAGAAAAAATATCATCATGATACTTATTAAATTAACAAACTATATGGCCGCATCCATACTAATTATAAAAATAAGAAGATTATGTTACGTACTTTTACTGTGTTGAATAAAAAGAAATATGGCGAATACTTATCGTATCGTACGTATATCTATCTGTACAATCAGCTTGACGGCCTACTCTCTTTTTTATTAATTTAATTAAAGATATGTGTCGGCATGTTAACAAGAATTGAATTAATATCAAAAGGAATACATAAAAAAGAAATAACAATCAATATGTGACACTGTTCTGATTATTAAGATGTTGTAAATAGCAGATAATAGAAATCTTTTAAGAGGAAATTTAATGTATAGAAAAATTTGAATTTACATCGAAAAACAAAACTTTTGCTCTTTTCGTTTCACAAATTGTAATGAACAGAAATAAATAATATTATTTTATTAAAAAATTAATAATAACACAACTTTTTCAAACCAGCAAAAACCGGTAAAAACCGGCCGGTCTAGCTGTTCAAACCGGCCCGGGCCGGTTACAACTCTGAGATAAGTCTCCAAGAAAAACCAACCATCATGTTTATCTTAATTTTGTGTCAAACTATGATTTATTAATTTAATGTATAGAATTGGAACTTGTTATCAGTCATTAACACTTGATAAACGCTCACTTTTTTTTCCTCATGATATGTTTTTACTAAGACCTTACTTAGATTACTCAAAAATTGATTGATAATAAATACTCCTGTTCCATCATCAATGCAGAACTATATTCTAACTGATGCTTTCGGAGAAAAGGCTTTTCTTTTAGCTTTGCTAAGTGGTATAACTCTGGATAGGGCAAAGGTATATGATAACTAGAATCTGGCATGACCGCTGCAATCCACGATTATGACCGTCGCTTTTGCTAGTTTCTCTCAAAATCTCATGACCGTAACTGAACTTTGGTCACGGACGTTAAAATAACCACACATCCTGCTTTTTCATTAATTGGTTAGATATTCCACAAGACAAATGAATTCATTTCTTTTACATAGATCAATTATCTGCAACTACTTTTATATACAATAAATGACGTACATAAATCAGGCATAGTATAATCAAAAATTTACATTTTGAATAATCACAATATCAAAATTTAGATGTATGATTTTCTTAGTTTTATTTCGAATGACTAACAGGAATATCTTTGTTGTACATTAATACTATTAGATTTCTTTTTGATCACATTTTTCGAACTGCAGTTGACGAAGAAAATCTCCTAAGGTGTCTTCTTCCAATCTCAATGATTTTTTTTTAACCTATAAATACTACATAGTGTTCTAATAAAAATTTTATAAAAGGGTTTGGGTTAATATTGATACATGACTAAACTAGGGAATTCTTAATACGCCTATTTTCTTTAAAGAGAACAGATCTTTGGATTTCTATAGGCAGAAAGTTTCAGATCAAAATTCGAGAACTTGATGAATTATCACTAGGAATCCAAATCTCTTTCGGTTTTTTATTTGATTACTGTGTAGCATCTATAGACAAAATAATCATCAACATTGGAAGAGAACATTTGAAGTAGTTCTTTCATAAGTTGTAAATTATTCGCTTAATTCGAATAAATTTTGTTTTCTCTCCTTCCGTCGCTTTTACTCCTGGAATGGATATATACGATCTTCATCAATAATTTCTACAGTAAACGTAAAGAAGTCCTAACAAACTAAAATTCGTTTTCGTAACTCACAATTATGATCCCGTAAGCGAAAAACTTGATCACGCCAAGTACTTCCGGTGACGCCGGAAAGTAATGCTCCTCTTAGAAAATTACATATCTACCATATACCTTTGCACTTGTGGCAGAACATCTACTATAGGAATAACATGCGTATGCTAGATTTCATTATTATTAAAAAATATTACTGAGTCTATCAAATTACTTTTTCATTACCTAATGTATTTGTTTTCATTTATATCTTAATTTTACAAGCTTATTCTCTGTGCAAACCTCATATATTATCTTATAGTTCTGAAAAATGTTGTTTTTTTTGATTGTCTATGACTATTCAATATGCTTTAAGAGAAGTGTTTTACCTTGCTGCTTATCTTTATGAAGTTCAAGTAGAAATCCTTGATTAATATATGGTTCACCAGCACATGCAAAAGGTCTTGTACGAAAACGTTGATTACGAAATAAAATTGATATACTAAATGATGATGCTAATGATGATGAAGAATAGCCTGGATAGCTTTCAGATTGTGGTTCATTAAGATAATCTAAATAAATTTGAATTTAGAAAAAATAAAGAAATTTAACATCTTCATAACGACTTTTACCAGTAAAAGCTTTTCCATTAAGAAACTGTAAATAAAGATGTCGTCTATTAGCATCATAATTAACTTGTTCTAATGGTACAGAAAATAATTGATCTGTATCAACCGTATTTACAGTTGGTTTTGATGGTACAAGTGATTGACGTTGTCTAGGAGATGGTTGTTGAGTACCAAATTGAATATTTTGCATCATAGAATCAATGATACCACGATGTCTTAATTCACGTATTAAAGTATCTCGACTAATCGGACCTGAATTGGGATGTCGTTGAGCATAATCAGCAAGAATATCACGAATTGCATTATTAATATCTGATTGTGATAGATGATTTGATATTATTTGTTTTATTTTAATTATTTCATCTGGTGCTACTGAAGCCATCGTTCAAAAGAAAAAAAAAACTTTACTTTCTTTGAATTGAATATGACATAGGTCATGATAATGAATTTATCGTTGCTTAGCAACTTGAACTAAAAAGTTATTAAAATTGTTGAAAAAATTTTTCAATTTATTTTTAATTATAACTTTTTTTATTCGTTTTCAGTAATGAAATTTTACTTTGAAAATTTTCAACGACATCTACATTAACAGTCAAACCTTCATTAAGTTTTTCAGTTTTCATTACTTTTTTCCTACCAATCAAATATACTCTTTTGAGCTTACCTTGTCTCATCTCACTCGTTTTTTAGTCATCACTATTACAATTTGTAAATAGAGATGTTGTTTTATACTTTTTTTATTATGCCAAAAGTGTTCATCGAAAATCTCATAAAAAATAAATTAAGATTTTAGCTTTTAAAAATCATCACATCAAGTTTAATAATATGTTGTGTTCAGTCGAAATTAGATTTTTCTTCATTTTAAGATTAATTTAAGAAATTAGAAACTCATTTCTTGATATCTATCACTATATTGTGTTCTATGTAATCCATTTGAGTTTAATCAAATATAGTAATCTATATTGAGCATTCACCACACTCTACATCAAATAGAAATTATTTATAGCAGAATAATAGATATTTTTCTGATTGATAGTTCTACAAATCAAACTCATTTTTGTAGGCGTTACTTTCAAAAATCAGAATAATCAAGTGTAAACAAAAGTATATTTTAATATCTGTCTTTTTTTTTTAGATTTTCATTACGAATATGAACATCTTGGCTTCAATCAAAAGAGAACTTCCCAACGAAAAATTCTATTTATTCATTAATCGTTTAATCTTTAGTTTTCTGTTTCTTTTTGTTGGTTTACCATTATGGTATTCTACTACAAGTACATATCGTGCATCATTACCTTATTCTCGTATATCAACACTTGCATCGAAACCTTCGGATTTAACTGAAACAAATTTAACATCATTTCAAACAGCATCATCATATGAAATATTATTTTATTTAATAAATAATAATGATGAAAATTATAGTTTAAATAAAACAAAATATGAAGAAATAATATCATCAACAATAGTACCTTACTTAATAAATACATATTCAAATTATATTAATTTTGATATATCAACTGAAATAATATTTAATACACGTGGAATTTTACCTATTGAAACCATACATAATTTAGAAAAAAAACAAATACCATTTTTTATTAATAAACTTGAATATTTATTACATCATTCAACAAAACATTATAAAGAAAAAATTTTTTTTATTCTATTTATACCGGATGAAAAACAAACACCAATAACAGTTGATAAAAATGAACAAAATTCAATAATTGTACCTAAATGGGGTAGTGTTATATTTTATAATAAAGATAATTCTAAAAATGAATTTGATGATTTAAATTTAATAATGAAACAATTTATTAATCATTTTCATCATTTATTAGGTATTGAAACATATGAAAAATGGATTTATTTACGTACAATTGAAAATTATAATAATGGTCGACAAACATTATTAACATTATCACAATTACTTCTTTCAATACCAAATATTGTTATTGATGATAGTATGGCAAAAAAAATTCATAATTCACTTGATTTATTAGAAAAATGTCAAGATAATAATCAACATAATGATTGTCAACAAGGACGTTTACTTGCTGATCAAGTTTTTTTTGATCCATCATTACTTAAATTACTTTATTTTCCAGATGATCAAAAATTTGCTATATATGTTCCATTATATTTACCTATGGGTGCACCATTAGCTTGGACATTAATCAATGATATTAAATTCTTAATAAATATTGTTAAAAAAAATCGTTGAAATTCATTTGTTTTTTTTTTGTCTTTCGATTATTGTACAAAAGAAAAGGACTAGAATCATTTTTGTGCGTTTTTTTTCTTCTTTTTCTTCTAGATGTCTCATCTTATTCGAAAAGTTACTTCATGTACTATTCTAGCAATCAATCGTAAGTTGATTTTATGATTATTCAACTTTTATATAATCGCCCAAAGTCGTTGCTTTTTTATGTTCTATAGGTGATGAGATTAATCCTTTTGCTTTCCATTTAAAACAATTTTACATAAGTCAATATATAAAATTATTTTATATGGGTCGTTTTAGATCAAACAGAACATATTCATCTTTCACGTGATTTTGATTCTTTACAAGAGTTATTTTTCTAAATAAATTCTTTTAGTACCTAACTTCAGTTTTATCTTAAAGAATATGTAGATAATGATCTAACTCATGTTGAACTTGCTATCAATTGATGAAGAATGAATGTGTGAAAATGAAACATAGTATTATATAATCAATTTTATTTTTATGTCATATATTTCTTTTGGTAAAGTAAATGTGAAATGATCATTCAATGAATAAAATATTTTATAAATATCTCTTCAGAAATTAGTTAAAAATCAATTTTAAAGGTTTTTTCTTTTTGTTTTGTTCTATTTTAGGCTCATCAAATGTAACTCTACGGACAGTATTACCTGTTCATGTTCGTACAATATTTTCAAATTCATCTATTGGTCTTGATAATTTCAAAATAGCTCGTGAACAATATGTTTCACGTCATGCTCCATCCATTGGTAAAGATCTATTCTTTTCTGATTTTATTTAATAGAATTTTTTTTAAAAATATAAGATAGTTTCAAAAAACGTTTTCTTGATTCTGTTAATAAACCTGATGCACAAATATTCACAGAAGATTTACGAAATATGATTATGTCAGCTGATAGTGATGAAGAAGTTAATGCTGTTATTCAAGCATTAAAAAAGTATGAGAAAAATAATAAGAAGAAAAAAAAATAATTCTAAAATTCATTCTTATTAAGATATAATACTAATAAACTTAAACTGACTGATTATCATTTTGGTTCACCTATTATGCGTTTATTATATATTCGAAATAAACCAGACTTAGCTATGCAACTTTTTATGGATGAAGTATGTTTTTTTTTGTATTGTATGGACATATGATTTTTTTTTTTTTCTAATATGTCAATATTTATTAGAGTTTAAAAAACATATTTAATGACTCTGGATCAGCTCTTATACTTTTAAATAAATTAGTTGAAGATAAACGTTATGATGATGCTATTAAAGTATTTGAATATGGAATGCAACGTGGTTTTACTACTACAAGTGGTCGAACATATCCAACAGATGCTGTTACATTAACTATTGAAGCATTATACCGACAAGTAAAAAGTTTTTATGATAAACAAAAAAAAAAAATTTAATTTCAATTATGTAGAATACAAAACAATCATTAGCAAAAGCTAAAGAATTGATGACTAAAGTCATCGAACGTGATGCAGATATAAATCCACGCACAGCTGCTATGATGGGTCTATTAGCAATTCAACATGTAATATAAACATTTTAATGAATTTTTATTGTAAGTAAATACTATTTAGGATGAACCTTCATTTGCTATGGAAATTATTGGTGCTGTTCGAGCACAAAATTTGACTACAATACAAAATATTCGAGTATGAAAAATGTTGTTTTTTTTTTTTAAATAGAATTTTTATTTTGCGAGCCAGAACAATCAGCACAAGGAAAATTGAACACACTAAAGCAAGATGAAGATAAATATGATGTCTATTGAAAGATGAATGAATATATATGGGTGTGGGTGTTAATCTTCTTTAGACGTGTGCCCAAATCGAATCACAGAATTTCTATACTTGAAACTGATCTCATTGATTATGAACTAAATCAACATACTGTCGCGCCACAAATATAGAAAGATGCATGCCGTGAATAATCAAACGGAGAATGCTCCAATGAACCGTTTAGTTTACTAAGAGATTGAAAGAAAACTGAAAAAAAATCCAAACTCATAGGATTTTGATTTTTTGATTGACTCTAGCAATAAGGAGCCGGTTTTAATGGTTTTTTACTTATAGATACTGTGTAATATTTTAATAACAATCCTAAAAGAATTTTATTCATATTGAGTTTTAGTAATCGAATTATTGTTTAGAGATTTCAAGTTTTCGAAAAACTTGGAGCTACTAGAAAAAACTTCGATAGCTAAGTCAAATCTTTATATGAAGTTAAATCCTTTCAGGATTTTTATTAGAACACTATTTAATATTTATACGTTAAAAATCATCGCAATCGGACAGAAACATCTGACGAAGTTTTCCCGTGTGTCTAACCACCTTGTCGAAATTCATCTTTCACCATTTCCTCGTCTCATTCCCTTACTGTAATTTTCTACCGATGGAAAAAATGTTGATTACTTTCATTTTTTTTCTGCTTATTTGACTTTGCGATGCTGATGTTTCGTACTCATTATTCACGAATCTGAATGTTTAGGCTATATGTTATGCAAAAATGGGACGAGCCGAAGAAGCCATAAATGTTGTTCATTTACTTGCTGATCAACCACCAATTGATAATGATCATCGTCGAGTATTTCCACTTGTGGTTCGTAAAATAAAAATATTTAAAAGAAAAATGATAATAGATTTCTCTTTTTAGTTACAACACATTAAAAAAGCTGTAGAAAATTCCAAAGATGAAGATCTTAAAACACGTTTTGAAGATTTATCAAAATTTGTTACACAAAATAATCGTTTATCATCGACAGATTTACCAGAATTTCTTAATGAACCAATTTCGTATGTTTTATTCTCGTTCTTAGACAAACATAAATCATTTTGATTTTAGTCGTCGTCAAGCAATTGCTACTGGTCGATTAGGTGTGCAACAAGCTCCTAGTGGTAGTTTTCAACGATCTGGTAGCAATTTTGTAAGTTATTTTGTATTCAAAGAAGAAACAAAACGGAATTCATCTTTTTTTTTTCTATTACTTTTCAAGCGTGATATTGGTTTTCGAGGAGGTTTCAATCAAAAAGCAAGTAATTTAACACAAGATACTCGTGGTAATAGTTATATTCGCGACAATAGATATCAATCTAGTCGATTTGGTGGTGCTAATTATGCTAGTAATGAACGACGGTATGTTAATAATTTCGAAAACGATGATGATATTGTAAATTTTTATTGATTAGTTCACAAAATCCATTTAATGAGAATGAACGATTATCAAATCGTAATAGAAATTCATCGTTAAATGAAAATTTTCGTCAAGATAATCGTATTGAACAATCAAATCTATCATCAGCACGTGTAAATCAAAGTGATAGTACTACATCATCACGTTTACGTGAACGAGAAAATGATTCAAATACTTCACGACGTAGTGGAACAAAAGTTGGTACAATGGAAACTACATCAACATCACCTATTCCACAACGTTCAACACGAACAAATGAAGATAATCCACAACAATTGAAACGAAATCGTAATGTAGAGAAGAATGACAATAAATCATCATCATCTACTAGTTAAACAAGAAGACAGACAATCTGATGAAAATACTGATATTCAAGAACATAGTTCAAGAAATCCAGCTGATTAAACATCATCTAAATATTTTCCTCTATCGTCAAAGTTAACAATAAATGTATTAGTCTTCCGTTTGTTTGTTTGTTTGTTATTTGTTATGTCGCATTGTTTTTGATTATTGGAAAATAAAATAAGAATAATCATATGCGTAGCATAATTAATAATGAAAATAAACGATAATCATAGTTATCATATTCTCTTTTCTCTATCATTAAGGTAAGTACAAACTCAAAAGGAGTTGAGATCCGTGATTTATATTCAAAAACAATACAGTGCGCGGTCAAAAAAGCATGTACATTTTTGTTTTTACTCATGAACGAATAATAAGGGTACTATGAAAATTTTCTCTCATATCAGGCTTTGTAGAGCTTTTTTCGTTGATCATTTTGGTAAAAAAGTTTTTTGATTTTCATTGAGTAATGATGATGTTATAGTCAAAATACTAAACACTGTCAAATAAAGTAGGGAAAAAAAGTTTAGCAGACTTTTAGTATTTGATTAATTTTTACGTCGTTTCACAACATCTGGCAGATGTTCTATATACCATTCGACGCAGAATTTAATGGGCTACATTTTGGTAACAAGCACTTATACTTCTATTATAGTTAATTATTAACCAATTATTAGTTAATTATTAATTAATTATTAGTTAATAATAATCAGGAAATAATCAATAAATTTTTGAGTTGTTTTTAAATTCTGACTCTTTCATATGAAAGAGCATTAAAAACTGAACAAAACTCTATAATTACTATTTGGGAGGCAACGAATTTAGTGAGGTTTTAGTGTGATTTTCAGAGTATGTTCAGTTGTAATTAGATATAGTGCTCATTATTTTTAATAAATTCAACCATGAAACGGCACATGAAATACGTGAAAACTGGCGCATTTTGAAGAGCATCACTTCTTCTTTCAAACGGCATCTAGTAAGAACCCAACAACTCAAAAATTTATTGATTATTTACTGATTATTATTAACTAATAATTAACTAATTATTGGCTAATAATTAACTACAATAGAAGTATAAGTGCTTGTTACCAAAATGTAGCCCATTAAATTCTGCGTCGAATGGTATATAGAACATCTTCCAGATGTTGTGAAATGACGTAAAAATTAATCAAATACTAAAAGTATGCTAAACTTTTTTTCCCTACTTTATTTGACAATGTTTAGTATTTTGACTATAACATCATCATTACTCAATGAAAATCAAAAAATTTTTTTACCAAAATGATCAGCGAAAAAAGTTCTACAAAGTCTGATATGAGAGAAAATTTTCAGAGTACCCTTATTATTCGTTCATGAGTAAAAACAAAAATGTACATGCTTTTTTGGCCGCGCACTGTACGACTCAACAGTACAGAAAATTTCTTTATATGATTAGTATCATACATCAAGTAGCATACTTAAAGAAAATACTAGTAAATAGAGATACATGCGAATGTATTAATCAGTAGTGGTAGCAGGAAATGTTCAATTTTTTTTACTTTCGAAGATGAGCCAGAAAATTTTCAATAGTTATTTTTCCTAGTTCCGTGGAATTTTGAAATGAAAAAAGGAAGACCATGATGGTAGAGTACGTAATGCTATGAAACTAAACGAGAATATCACCGAAAACTGATTATGAATATCAAAAATTTTCAAAAACCTATTATGTATTTCGCGAAGATAGCAGCTGAACTTATCAGCAAGTATGCCTGAGAGCGATGGTTATGTTGCTAAGATATCTTTCAAATTTTGCAGTCATCGATGGCGACGGTGACTTACGATGGAACCTCTTCAGATACTTTCTTCCGATTCCCATGATTATTTTGCCTATAGATACTACATTGTAGTCTAATACAAAGCCCTAAAATGGATTTGAGTTTCTATCGAGATTTGATATTTTTCTAGAAATCTCAGGTTTACAGAAAGTGCTCATTTTCGAATTTTGATCTGAAACTTTGTGCATATACAAAAGTCAATTAGACTAGCTTCCATAAAAAAAAATTAAAAGTATTGGTAACAGCTTCTTCAGGATATGAAGCTTTCAAAAAATACATGTTGCTTACACTATCCATGAAAAAGGTCGATTTCTCGAAGAGACTTTATTGAAAACTGGTGAATTGTTTTATAGAAGTTAATCTAGCTGAGTTATCTCTATACACAAAGTTTCAGATCAAAATTCGACAGTACCAGTTGTCTGAAAACCTGGCGCCTCAAGTGAAAAAAATGTCGATCGCTATATTAAAACACTATATAGTCTCTTTAGTCAAAAAATAATTATAAATCGGAAGAGGATATCTCAGGAGGTTTTCTCATCAACCGGTCAGCTAACAACCTGTAATGGTTATATAGTTCTTATTGATTTTCACGATTGTTTTGAAAAAGCAATAACATATTGAAAACTTCATAACTTCTAATATTTATTTCCTATCAAGTAATAAAAACAGTATATATTAATAGCATAAGTTTTATGACATGTTAACATATTATAGATGTTTTACTTGAAAAGTTGAGACTATGTCATAACTGTACTTGAAATATATAACTGTGTAATGCATAAGATAATTAAGGTCAATTGAAAAAGAAGAGAAAACAAGGACGAATAGTTGCAACACTAATCCATCACACATAAACTATTCCGTAGTAAATGAGAATGATAATGAGTGTTATTTCTATTTCTTTTTCTTTTAAGATAATTATTCAATATTTAGAACTCAATCAATTATATTTTTCTGTTGACAAGATTTATATCAATGTATATAGTGTTTTGATACATTCCAATCACAATGATTGTTTTTTTTTCTTCTTATATTTATAAGTGAAACTGCTACTATTAAATAAATAATACGAAAGCTTTTCTTTTTACGCATAGAATGACACTAAAGCCCTCGAAACAAATTGTATTGATTTAGAAAGAAGAGCAATCAACTGAGTATATAACTAAATTTGTGGTTTTGGTTTTTTTTGTTTTTTGTGTATTAGAATACAAGGTCATATTCTGTTTTCTTTTGCATTCGATTACAGAAAAACACCAATAAAAGGTAAAATGATGTCTTTTTTATTTCATGTTTGTTAAAAATACATAATGGACAAGACACATAATAATCTTGGTTAGGATGCAATATAATGCTGTGGTTTTTTTTGTTTGGGTTGTGGTTGAATGGAATAAAAATAAAAATAAATATTTAAATAAAAACTAATATGCGATATGTACAATATGAAAAGAAGCAATAGTCAAGAAAAAAAAACTAGTTAAGCACCGCTTTTAAAGAGTAAAATTGATATTGGACCTTTTGTAAAATAGATAAAACCATTCATTTCATGTGTTACATATGAACTAAATTGTCTACCAACAATACAATGCCAACATGGTGAAAATTTTTGATCTGCAGCACGTTTAAGAAAACCAGCTAATTCACGTTGATTAGTTATTTCATATTTTCGAAAACCTGCTTGAACTAAATCAATCATTTCTTGTTCATATCGTGCGGGTAAATCTGTTGATTTAACTGTTAAATCATCATTATCATCATAATCATAATAGGGACTACGTCTTGCTATGTTTTGTTGTCTATATTGATTAGCATTACATGTATTATAAATTGATGATTGATATCGATTTTGTTCATGAAGTAAATCATCATATGAACATGCACGATTATTACTACTTAGATTATAACGTGAATAATTTGGACGAAATGTTTCCGTATCATTTCCATATGTACGATACGATGATGATGATGAATAAGCTGTTGTTTGACATTTATTTCGATCATTTGGTGAATTATAATAATTATTTGGACATCTTCTTGGTGATGATGGTGAACTTGATGGAAATGATGTTGCAGGTGGATACGCACATGAATAACCGTCGAAATTACGTCTTAGAGCCATATTATTATCATTTATTGTATTAGTATCGTTATTATATGATGATTGATTATGCTGACGATGACACGATTGATATTGATAATTTGTTTCTGTTGTCTCCGTTGTTGATGGTCGGACCGGTGGATGTGTACAAATCGAAAAAAAACGATTTTATATATATATATATATATATATATATGTGTGTTCTCCTCTTTTCTTTTTTTCTTTCTGCTTCTTTCCTCGTTCTACTATCGTTAGAGTATGAGGACGAAAGAGATGAAAAGAAAAATGAAGCGCTTGTTGCTGCTATCGAGCTACATATAGATCAAATAATTTCAAATATAGGACATAAGTTTAATCGCATATTTTCGATCGATTCTATACAAAATACTCTCATGTCTAAAAAAGAGAAAGGAAGAAAAAGAAATAGAAAAAAAACCGTACATCAAATGATATTACAATAATTGTAATAATGATCAATTTTTGATAAGAACAAGAAAATATTCATTTGATGAAGACTAAAAGAAAAAAAGAGCATCTCCTTTTCTTCTCTTCTTGTTTTTCTTATTCTATAGATTAGTTGATGTTTGGAAAAGATCTCGAATATTTGTTATTTTTTTAAAACATGATATGTATTATTGTAAATGATATGCAGACTTATGGAGTCTTAGTATCCAAATATGTGCTTGATTGTTAAAAACAAAAATCTTTGTTCAATAGCATACAGAAAAAAATTCTTTGATAAAATGATATCACTAGCAAATACACATAAAAATAAAAAACGATTATCTCATTTGAAATAAATTGATAATTCTTATCAAATAAATACGAAACCAGGACATTTACTGATTCTAAACAAGATGATTGTAATGTCAATATCTTTTTCTTTCTTTTCGTGTTCGTTTTGCTTCCTATTCATTTGTAAATTGTTTCTTTTTTCTTTTCCATTGAATAAAAAATGGCATTTTATGATAACAATTAAATGAGTCTTCATCAATCATCCGACTGACACAAACATCTGAATGGGCACCATCTTTTTTTGGTCGTTTATGTTATGCAAAAGATTGAATGTATGAAAGAAAAGAAAAGATTAAAAGAGATTCAATTGTTGAATGTCATTGTTAGATAAGATTATAGTTTTATACAGTAACCTTGACAATAGTCTTGTCTACTAGCTCACCGTAGCAAGAATTTTTTCAAAGAAAAGAATTAAACATAAGCTTTGTACACCTACCTCTTGTTTGGCTAATATGCATATATACATGAAAAAGTATTACATTTCTCTGTACCTTGTTCCCATCATCGATATGTCTATGATTGTCAATATATAAATATCGTCAACTTGGCGGCGTAGTGATATATGAATCATTGACTTCTATCCATCGTTTTAAGAGTTTTGATAATAAAGACAATACGATTCTATATTACTGAAGAAATAACACTCTGAAAGAGATTTTGCCGTTTTGATTTTCATAAGCAATATTCGTTTCTCACATATTAAGCGTGGGGTAGTCGTCGGCGTGTGTGGTGTGCGTAGTTGGAACATCTACACCAACTCCCACACGTTAGTCGTTACAAACATGCAAAAACGTTCTTCTTTATATTGTGGAATAAGTTGTTCCTTATAATGAAAGAATATTGAGAAGAAACATAACCATTCTTCTGTCCTTTTCTTTCGCTTATGAGAGTGACGTGTTATAAGAACAACTTGAGAATAAAACTCTTTCGATTACTGGTAAAAGTCAAGAGAAGCATACTAAAATAATGCATTTTCATATAAATAGACAAACTATTCTCATTTCTCAACAGAAACTGATTTGATAGGAAATTCATATATATCGTTTAATCTATTGACCAATATCCTCCATACAGAAATAAGAAACTCAAGAAATTCTACAACGAGAAGGCTCCAAGATTGTTACACACAAAGCTGCTGATAGAAGCTTCCAAATTTGAATTCCCCGAGTGTTCCATTTCCAGATGATGGGTATATCCCGTCAGAATGTATGCAATCAAAATAGTTGACGAAAGAGAGCGAGAAGGCAAAGGCTTGGCGACGAATGCTATCACCATCGAAACGCTCGACAAATCAACTATAGCAATAGTCGCTTTGAAAATAATCATAATTACACATGATGTAAGAAAACAATAAAAATTTATAAAACTAACATCATAATGATGAGATTATTAAAATAAGAACTTGACGACAATTAAACTATGCAATGAGCCAGAGTGAACACAGAGAAAATGTCAATTGCTCTTTGAGTATCTGCCAAATGCAAGTAAACCAACAGTCGAGAAGTGTTGGATTGGTAGGTGATCTGATAAGATCATACAGTTTATCTGCGTGTGCCTCAGTAATTTCTTGTACCTTCTCTAGACTAGCAAACTCCCTTGAAAACATCACACCTAGAATTATGAGAGAAAGAATAGAACACACAAAGAAAGCTATAACAAAACAGGAAAGAACAAAAAAGCCAGTAGTCGTTGGATTCTTTAGATAGCTGATAGGGCCCAACGAAAACTAGTTCAATCACTATTTGTGTATTTAAGTTATGTTTTGCTGCTTTCAACTTGTTCTTATGAGTTACAAATCACGAATCGAAATATTCGATAATGTGCATTCAATCTTTGAGGATTCTGACGTATCATGATATATAGTTCTGACTTTATTTCAAATTTTGCAAGATAATCAAAACTATTACAATCATCGATGTAAAAGAATTTTACTGTTGATAATTTTAGTGAAATATACACAATACTTCAATCTTCATCAGAGAATGAAGCCAATATTAACAAAAATTTGTAGCAAATGATGATAATAATTGAATAATGTACAGAAATCTGTCATAATCTGGCTGGTCATTGCAACATATGTATATTTATGTGTCGCAATTCATAAGAGAAGAGATTTTTTCCCAATATTAAACTTGATATTGATGTTTCAAAACGATTTTATTAATACTTTGTTATGAATAATGCTTGAGTGTGGGTGTGAATGTGGATATATGCGCCAGTTTGTGTGTCTACTAGACCAGCGCGGAACATCCTCCGTAGCTATATCCATACGCACACTCACCTACACTCACAGGTAAGAAAGACGTAATAGTGTAGAAAACAAAATTTATAGAAAGCTTGGTTTTTCGAGCTCCGTACTGGACGTCAAAGAACCATATATGTCTGTAAGCGTGGGTGTCTATAATGTGGAGATCTGTATGGTGGAGAGCAGAAAATTGTCGCATAGAGAAACGTACACTGACTATTTTTATAGTGAGTTCCATAAACACGGATTAAGTTGAGTGCTAAAAGTCAAGAATATCATAATATTCAATAATAGAGATAGCACTAAGTATATGATGAATACTCATCATATTTATGTCGATGCAAAACATAGAACTAGATTAATACGATTGTGATCAGTTATGCTCATGTTGACAGCACGTGATACACACTATATCCTCCTAACATTTGCTATCTGAATACAATGTCACGCAAAAACGCATTAATACTTGGATTACCCTCTTAAGCCACTACTAAGAGAACTAGCAAAAGGTAGAACAAGACGGGTTGAAACAACTATATTTAACCATCTTGCGGACCTCTTGTACGAATGTTTTGAAACCTATAAATCTTACACACATTGCTTGTTCAAAAGTATTGATGCTAACAAATAAAACAGACTAAAATATTATCAACTAAGCTTTATTCCAACAAGTACTCAAACTGTTAATATTCGTACTCACATGAAACGGATTGACTTCGATACATTTATTGGAAGTAAGATTGATTTAATATTAAAGAATTAAACGATTTCTGTGAATCTCACGTTTTCCATCCTTCAGTCGCAAGTGCATCGATTAAGATCGTGATAATGTAGTATATGTCGAATCATCGAGAAATATGTCATTCCAATAGTTAGGACTGCACTGATTATAGAACAAATCGAAGAAGCGGGACTCAGCGTCGATTCATCAGATTGAATTTCGACTCAACATCCAAACAGGTTCAAAATCATTTTGCTCATCGACATTTGATATTCGGCTTGACTCATTCGGATCACCTCAAAGTTTCTCATCGTTAAATCAATTGCAGAGATCAGTAGAAAATTGGACTTCTAAAACGAATTCGTTATCTTCGAGATTTCACAAGGTATCATCATGACAAAGACGATGATTGATCGAATTAGGAAACACGGCAGTAATCAATTATATTCAAATAGGCAAATCATGCTTCTATCGATATCCGACGTTATGTCGATCAAGATTTTTACACTTGTTTATCTCGATCTTGCATATCGTTTTCACATCACTGCCGATTTTTAAGTCATAATAGCAAGAAGTTATAACGACAAATATGTATTTATGTTGCGATGACAAAAAAAGCAAAGAACAATGTTTTTAATTGTATCAAATAAAAGCGAGATTATAGAACTATGAACATTTTTTAAAATAAGTCAATATTATTTCATTAGTATTATTGTTGATCAAAATTCGACTGTAACTTGTGCTACTCCAGTAACTGCATCACATCCTTGATACCACAATGTAAACTGATCGATGGATGTCTGTTTCCAACCTTCAACAAAAACAACTTGCGGTGTAAGACCTCTTTCAGCCCATCTATTTGATGTCAAATCACATCGTTCCCAATCGAGTTCAGGTGATAGTATTGGTTGATCACTTCGAGCAAGAATTTTTGTTGGATCATTGCCATGCATGATCACCCATCCTAAATTATATTCACGATCCCAGTTTGGTTTCAAATGATTTGTTGGTAAAGGTAGACGTCTTGCTGAATTGTATAGAAAAAGATAATTTCCATCACGTAAACGACGTGGTTCAGGTCCAGGTTCGACTAATTCACTATCGAAATAATCAACACGTTTTTCAATAAATGAACGTTTCGTGTATGTATAATGAAGTAAATCACTTGTGGCTGCTAATGCTAATTCAATATTCGATTCATTAAAGAAGAGATATTGATGTGTTGCATTATGCACGAGTAATGTTGCTGCTTTACTCCATGACAGTTCAGGAAATAAAGGTGGATGTAAAATCCAATTATCTTTTTTTGTCGGATCTTTATTTGATGCACAAGTGGCCAATGCAGCATGAGCACTCCATTCATGTGATGGAGTCCAATAAACTGCTGTATAGAATAGATAATAACTACCATTGACGACAATAATTCGAGGATCTTCAACACCAGCTACTTGATAAGGTCGATCTTCCGAATCGATAATAATATGCTCACTATGAACATATTCGAATTCATTCTGCTTGCCATCGAGTTGTCGCACGAGAGCTAATTTTGATGGACCAACATCATAATTTGTTGTTGCATTTGGTAATAAATCTTGTACACGAACAACAAGGGCAATACTGTCATCGGGAAGTGGAATAAAGGCACTGTTATAATTGAATCGAAATTGAGATTGATTATGCCAGAATGAAATAATTGGATCGAATGATAAACGACGAACAGTAATTTTAGGTGGAATATAAGAGCATGATGTAGATAAAATAACGGACAGTACTACGAGAAGAATTGTCATTATTCCCATTCGAATCGGTGGTTATGTGTAAGTAGTGAAAGACAAAGAAACAAAATCTGATATTTGTATATGTATCGCATGTATTACAAAACACATGGATAAAATAGATTAAAGACATAATTTGCAAAGCAAATGAATGAAAATAACAATCAGACTTGACCTTTTTCTTTTACTAATAATCCATGAGTTTCAAGTATCAAAATTTTCTTTTAAGAATCGATCGATTTAAGTCTTCTCCATTTTAAATACTATCCAAGGTGAAATGGTCTATAGCGTTACTCACGCAAATGTATTCATTCAATCATGTTGCTGTGAAATTTTCATTGAATACTCACTTCTTCCTAGATAATTAATAGAGTGTCTCAAAATATTTCCAACATGTTTTTGTTTTGTATTGACATCTGTGGCATAATCTTCCATTCAACATAGTCACGAATGATTTGCTTGACCAAAATGTGAGTAACGAATTTTTCTCGCATGACATTGTTTGCTTCACTCAATGACATACTTGTTCTTTATTCGATGCAATGATCAGCAATTTCAAAAAGCTGCGCAATAAAATGAGACAAAACTTAGAATACATATTTACCTTAATTCAGAAGATAAAACTAGAGCACATATAATAAATAGATTGCTAAATTTAACCTTGAAGAAAAGAATAATAAAAGTGAAATCATTGGCAACACTAATGCTAATGAAGAGATAAATAATAAGATTGTTGTTGATCAAGAAGACGATGACAATAAGAGCAAATTTCAATAGTAAAAAAAATTACAATGAAATCAAACTCTGTACACGAGAGTCTTATTGTATCATCAAAAATATATACGAAAACAATTGACTTTTTAGTTGTTAACCGATAAAAATTTACGATTACCAAATGATCATCGTTCTCAAATTATATGAACAAATTGCAAAGACTATCACAATCTCTTTTAATCTATTGTTCAGATAGAATTTTTTTGATAAATAAATTTGAAAAACTTCTAAACACATTCATGCACTCAATTTATTTCATCATAGTTCAATGTACTTGGGTAGACATGTTGACATTCTCTTCGCACACATCCAAGTCCTCATTTATTCCATGAAGCATCTTCACAGATTTTTTCGACTAGCTCAAAGAGCAATATTTTCGTTTATAACAAGAAAGAAAATTGTTCTGAATTCGTTCTAAAGTGATAATTTGATGAAAGTAGCCTATTATTCACTCATTATTTTGTAAAAGAAAAGACGACAAACAAATCTAACGTAAATAAATATTGACGAAACGAATATTTTTTTGATAAATAAATCAACAGAAGTAGTCCATGTGCAACATACGATTTATTAGATGGCGATAGTCGTCATGATATAAATAATTCATCGAAAAAACTTGAAAAGATGAACTATAATAATATCGTAAAAATATCATTTCAAAATTCATGATCATCAATTTACTTCAAAATTGGTTTCTTTTTCAGCCAGTCAAATAATAAGCATTATGAGAAATATTTATTCTTTTCGTTTGTCTTCCATATGATTGTGTAATTCTGTGTTATGACACAATTTGTCGGCCCATATAGAATGTTTCTGTTTGGTTTATTTTCTCACTCATTTTTTCTACCGACAAAATGGCTTGTTTAGTTCACAATTCACGTTATCGTTGTTTATTTCATGCTGTTGTTAATGAACTTCGAAATGAAAAACATATTCCGGTAACTATACTACGAAATATGCCTCGTCAATGTTGTACATGTAACAATCTTGATAATCAAACACTAATAAGTGTGACTATTGATGACAAAGATAAATTGATCAAATTGAAGAAACTTATTGATCAAATAGATCGAGATAAAAAAGACAATCCCAAACTTATACTATCATTAAATCGATTAGAAAATTTTATTAAAGAAAATCGAGTTTTAGATTCAAATTTATCATCAGCATCGACAATTGATAATGAAACTGATAGACCTCATAATTCCTTATCTGAAACACAAGAAAATCTTACAATGAATACTAAAAGACCAATATTCAGAAAACAAACAAAACCTTCAAAACCGTTTAAAAATGGCAGATTTCTATTTTTATCATATAAATTTGATATTAAACCAAGTAACGACGTAGCACTTGAAGCTGTAAAGAAATCACAACGTGGTCGATTTATTGGTCGACATGGTTATATTGCATTATTAGAAGAGCAATATAATGTTCATATTAATATGATAACACCCGAAACTAGTGCACAAATTACAAAAACACTTGAAAATGCGAAAGCACAACAAGGAAGTGTTACAATTCATAATCGAATAGATCTATCAGAGGGAGACGAGGGTGAATGGATATTAGTTCGACCAAAAATATGTGAAAAACAAGCAGATACAGTTGATTATGAAGTACTACTGGATGAATTAACAAATCGATGGAAAAGTTTCTCGATAAACCAAAATCACAAAATAGAAGTGAAGAATGACGAGGAACTTGAAGAATCTCCAAATGAACAATAAGTTCGCAAGTTATTTTGTTATCAATATTGTATTTTTTTTGTTAAAGTGTTTTTTGTAATTTCATTCAATATTCTTGATTTCATATTGATTAATAAAAACATCTAATCCTGAATATGAAAGTTTTGATGAGAAATGCTTTATCACCTTATGGAATTATTTGTTTATGAATGAACCTGTTGGAATTGAATGAAAAACTTAAACGAATGACAATCATGAATGACATCGTATGGTAACTGAAACAATTAGTCTCGTTAGTAATATCATATTGTCCAATGTCAGTTTATTGTACTGCACGTTTGAGAAGTTCAACTCTAGTTTGATTGTACACTGCAACACATTCATGAGTAAATGGCTAATAGTGATGGTCAAATCTTTATATGGTAAACAGAAATTACTACTTATTACATGATATATTTAGATATCATATGATTAAATAGATTATTCCTCTTCTCTTGAATCATGCAGTCTCGAAAGTCTTTTTCTGTTCTTTCTTTTAAAAGTAAAAATACTTAGGACAGTCCAAAAGTAATGATGAGGCTATTGTAATTCCATATAAAGAGTTTTAAGAAACCTTCTTCCTATATAGTCTGATAGAGAAAACACTGCTATATTTTTCTATGTTATTTGATCATACTTCAACTAATATCATAATAATAAACTTTCGATATGATTTGTTTCGCTGTTACATGTGCTGGTAATACTAGTGCCTATTTAGTAAATATTTTGTTGAATAACTTTTGATGGAAAAAAATCATATTGACTACTAATTTAAATTAATACTTCATATAGGTCTCTCAATAATTTTGATTTTTCATGTGTAAAATCAAACTGAAAACTTCTTTCAATGATATTGTCTTGTAGAGAATAAAATTTTGTACTAAGCGATATTCTTGAATAAGCAATACTTGTTTTTCCGGAATATGATAAGATCCTTTCTTCTGAAGTAAGATTTACAGTGAATAATGCAAAGAAAAAAAAACTTCTTCGTCCTATAGACTTATATATATTTCACCAGCAGAATGTGTCATAGCAACAGAACGAAAGTTTTTTTTTCTTTCCTTTCCACACTATAAAACGTATATGAAAGAATAGGGTCTTATCATATTTAAAGAAACCAAGTATTGCTTATCCAAGCACATCATTTGGAATAGAATTTTGTTTTCTATAAGACTGTATCGTTGAAAAAAGTTTTTAGTTTGATTTTACACATTAAAAATCAAAATTATTCGAAGACCTATATGAAATATTAATTTTAAGTAGCAGTTAGTATGACTTTCTTCAATCATTTTTACGAATCAAAGGCATCATTCGATTTAGTTTGTTTTTCTCTGTTGAACGCTGTCTTTTAAGTTGGCTTTTCATTTTATTAAACCTCAAAAGTTCAAGATCTCAGTAAAACCTATGGGGCTTCAGATATCTCGAAGTTTTCGAGGTACTGCCTATAAATATTTTTGTTTTAATACACATCAGTGTGTAGAGAATTGTTTTCTCTATCGAATGGTTTATAACTCAAAATTTTTCGATGCGGAAGGAAGATCCTATAAAAACGAAATCTAGAGTGTCCAAATAATTTTTGTGCAGGAAATCAAGCAGTTTATAAAAAGCCTCAGAAACTTTATAAAAACCTTCTCGAAAGAAAAGATTTTTTTTTAGAATAAAGTAGAGGCATCAATCTATCAAATGATATAATCTATGTCAAAGAAATACTTTCTTTTGTTTGTGAAATATGCTTCACAAGACAAGTGTTAGATGGTGTCTAAATAAATTTTTGACACACTGCATACAAACTTTTTCTTTTCTCTTTTTCTTATTGTAACATTGGGATACCTTTCGATTTATAAATATATACACTTATGATTCATATTAACTTTTTTTTTCTTTTCTGTTATTTTAACAGGGCTATGCCTTCTTGTTTCATAGATTTATACATTTGTAATTTAGATCAACTTTTTCTTTTGCTGTTTTGCTATTTCAACATAGGTGCATATTTCGTTGTATAAATTTACAAATTTATGATTCATATTAGCTTTTTATTTTTCTTTTCTGCTGTTTTAACAGGGTTATGCCTTCTCGTTTTACAGGTTTATAAAATTTGTAATTTACACCATTTTTTTTATTTTGCTGTTTTGCTATTTCAACATGGGTGTACCTTTCGTTTTATAAATTAACAAATTTATGATTCATATTAACTTTATATTTTTCTTTTTTGCTTGATTTACATAGAAGTGGTTTTTTTTTTGCTTTCCCATTTATATTCGAACTCGAATTAGGCATCTATTCCATTCAATGGAGGAAAATAAAATGTAAGAAATTACTGAGTTATATTTTATTCGTTTAGCTATCATCTAACCTTGCAGCTTCTTTTGAGAAAAGTCGAATAGCTCATGTTACATTAACTTTTTTTCTTGATGAAGATGTGCTAATAGTTGTGCTAATAGTTGTGGAGTGTTTCATAAGAGAAACAAAAAAGATAATGTGCTTTTTATTTCTTTTCCCATTATTCAGCTGTTGCAGAAATTGTGCAACCTTGGAGGCAATAAAATAAAATGGTTTAGTTTAGTCATGTTTTGCGCTACGGTCTGTTAGATTATTGCGCTTGAACTTTGATTAAGTGCTATCCTACATAGAACCATTCTGATGCTTTAAGGCTCCGTTATGTAATTCTATCGTAAACGTGAGGAACTTCATAAAGTGTAGGGTACCGTTTACAGCTTCTCTTTAGATTAATGACCATTTTGAACGGTTCTCTATATCGCTTTCTGTCGTCTTTCCAGCAGCATACCATATGGTTCATGACGATTATGAACCCTTTCAGATAGCTTTTCATGAACCCTAGATAGGGTTGATAATTCTTGTGAAAGCGTGGGTGCTAGTGTGAGGTAGGAGTATAGGTGTAGAACGTTCCATCATCTACCCACTTTCATAGACCTCACAAGCAAATCAACACTCAGACACATTCCACTTCCATACCCTTTTGATACGCACCACTACATAGGTGTGGGTATAGGAGATCTATAAGGGTAATTGACTGATAAGAATATGTACATTGACACCTCTTCTTCCTTACCTTACTGACGAAAGAACATAATTTTTCATTAATACCTCTACATTATGCAATGAGATGAGAACCGAGTGGAAACAACGTGAATCGTTTTTTTTCACTTCAGCTGCATTTATGGAAAGCAATTAGTCTACACTGTTTGCTGTTGTTAATTTAGAAAAATAAAATGACTAAACTTCATGATGCCTGTCGCGCGGGAAAGCTGGCCGCAGTACAAGATTTGTTGAAAAAGATGAACTTCAACGATCTTAACCAAGTCGATAGCGATGGCAATACGGCTCTACATTTGGCATGCATGGGAAACCATAGAGAAATAATAAATGTTTTGCTGGATGCCTGTATCGTTCGATCAACAAAAAATAACTTGGACCAACGCGCAGAAGACCTTTTAACAGACGATGAAGAGTTGAAAGAGAAGTTTATACGAAAAGGTAATGATGAAGACGTTCATCGATACATTGATTATGCAAGCCAAGCCGATGACCAAATGCCCTCTAATGAAATAAATCAATTTTATACTGCCTGCCACAAAGGAGATGTTAACAAAGTGAGAAATGCATTGTTAAAGATGAATCTAGAAGATATTGATCAAATTCAGTCAAACGGAAGTACGGCTCTGCATGCGGCATGCTATTTCAATCATCTTGAAATTGTTCGAAGTTTACTTGAAGCTGGTGCATCACGGGCTATCAAAAATAAGTACGGATGCATTCCATATGAAGAGACCACAAATCCCCAAATTAGAGCCTTATTTCAAAGGATACCAGGTAACAATCGTTTTATCGGTGCTTCAGGAAAAATTGAGTGGATTATCGTGACACCCTATGTTAAAGAGACGGCAAGAGCCGAACGTCATTCTTTAATGTTCTACGCTAATCATTCATTGGAGGAATTGGTGCAACGAGCCACAAAATTCTATTTATCAACACAATTAAGTAGTGTTGATAAAATAGATCAAGTCAAGTACTTTTTCCAACAAGCGATTGAGAAAGGTGATGCAGAATACATCGTGAAAGCTTACACAGCTGAAACTGGTTTTTATTCCCGTTTGAATCGTGATTTGGCTGGTGGAGCAGAGACTGGAAAACATGAACGACAGTTTATCGTCGGTATAATCACATGCCATCCGGCATTTGACAAATATACATATATTGGCAAGGCATATAGGGGATTGAGAATGACACAGGAAGATTTGGACGAATACAGCGTTGGTAGCTGCTTAATGACAAAGTCCTTTCTATCAACGACGAAAGATCATCGAATAGCTGAATCTTTCGCACGAAATACGCAAGTTCGAATAAATCGAGAAGGAGATGTCCTAAAATTTCCAACTTTTTGTACGTACATTATCAAAAACAAACGTACTGCATTGGCTATCGAAAATATTTCGGAGTATGAAGATGAAAAAGAAGTATTGATTATGCCATACGCCGTATTTACCATTAAAGCAGTTGATCGCACTTTTCACCCTATTGATCACGATGCCAAATCTATTGTTCAAAATCCCGCACCTACACGTCGTAATGCAGAGCCTACTGATCTCAATGTTCAGCCTGCCGGCCGCCTTGCAGAGCCTGCTGGTCTCAATGTTCAGCCTGCCGGTCGCCTTGCAGAGCCTGTTGATCACCTTTCAGAGCCTACTGTTCGCCTTGCCAAACCTGCTGGTCGCAATATAGGGCTTGCCAGTCGCAACATACAGCCTGCTGCTACTCGATCTACCGCAGTTGCAGGCAGTGTTTCAAGGCCTGACGAACGGAATAACGATCTCAATGTCAATAACCAGCGCGGAACTATGTATGTTGCAATTACACTCGAGGAATGCGAGCCATGATCGGTAGACTGAATCACTATTAATATCCAAACAAACAAATATGACTCTACAGGATATTACTTCTTGTATTTGACGCGTTTTCACAGAACGATAAGCGCTTTTTAATTCTAAAGCGTAAACAAACTCAATGAGTAACACGAAACAAAAAAAGATAATAGCGGATCTAACTTTTCCTACTCACAAAAAATTTCAATTTTGGGTAGGTGCATGGTAGCTGTGGAGTTTTGATGTGTGAGTGTGGATGCATGGGGTGTGGTTCTGAGTGCTTGTGTGAGTAGGGATGAGTGTGTGTGTGTTGGTGCGGTTAGGGGTATGAGTGTAGGACAAAGTTATAACCGCTCAAGATATACTAAAGTGGTCCGATCCGATGATTGGTGTAAAAATATATGTAGACCGATAAAAACCAGCCAGTTCACAAAGATTTTTCAGTTGATAAAACCGACATTAGGTGCAAAACTTTGTTCTTAAAACCTACAGATGTTTATGCTTATCTTTTCTGAAATATTTACACTGCAATGAACCTTATTCACAATTCGCTTATAAAGTCTCGATAGTAAAAATAGGGGCCATCTCAGGGTTGTAATTGGTCGAGAATTTTCGAAGTAATTCAGCTTGATCGTTTAAAATTTTACACCAATTGGGTTCAACTGGTGGACCACTGGTTCAAAGAATCTTTCAGATCGGTAGAATTCAGCAAAAGGTAGCCAATTTGCAGAGCTATTATTAATTGGTTAATGCAAATGACTTTACAAACATTTATCTTCGTTCGTTCGCTTAAGTTTTTACGAATCTTTAGGAATAAGTCTCATATTCTAATCGTTTATATATGCTTGGTTTCTCAAAGATGAGCATGTGAACTATGTATATATAGCGCGAAAAAGAAGGAGTCATTTGCTTATCGACTAATTGTCACACTTAAAATCTGGAGTTTTCTCACTCAACTTTTACATACAAACTTAACATTTCTGTTCATACGAGAATCAAAGCTTAAATTTGATTTTCAATAAAAGATATATGAGATAAGTTTGTCTCAAGTGATAAAGTTTTGATTGTACTTTTGACACATGAAGTATACTTCACATAAAGAAATGAAAAAGTGTTCACGGACAGAAGAATATAAAACATAATTCTCGAAACAACATTCATTGATTATTTTGATAAGAAGACGCTAATGTACATTTAACGAGTTTTATCAGAAAAAAGTGGCTTACATGTAATATATTTCTTAACGTTAAAAACCGGTCAATTCAAGTATTTTAACTGATCTGAACTGGTCACAATTCTGCTGCAAGTATGTCTATGAGATATATAGTTTTGGGATCTGGTTGTTGGATAACAAGAAGAGCCACACTAACATCCATATCCAGATGCATAGTTACAGTCATATCTCACACCCACACCCACACCCTAGTTTGTTATTCTCAACTCGCAGAAGAGTTCGTTCGTATTTTTTTTTGTATTGTTTCACAAATGGACTTCTCATCTTCGAGATGTTTGAATATATTATGTCAAAAAGTACAAATAGAATGATTAACGAATTTCAATGGAGTAAAGAGCATTTTAACAAAAAAAAACACTATTGAGTTACCATTATTGTGATCATCAATTTAATGTAAAACATGGTAATCGGAAACTAAGTAATATATGAGTCTGCTGTATGAATTTAAACACACTGTTGAGTTCCCACAATCGTCTGAATTCCTATGGAATTCGAACAATATGCATGATGGTAAGAACTTTAGGACATCATTTGTGTTTCAGTTACTATGATATTGGATTTTTTGAATAATTGGTTACAGGTTTGTCTCTTGAATACCTGTATCTTCATTTCTTTCTCACTTTCTTTCTAAGTGTGGGCATAGGCATCATTTAAGTCACATTTACACATCCTTTAGTTTCTTTGATAATGTTAATATAAATAATAAAGTCGGCTTGCTGTCTGATATTCAGTACTTAAATACTGATTCATTGTGTCATAGTAGCTTAAGAACAAAGGAAGTCCCTGTTTCCATCACCTCAGAAAACTCGATTTTTGAGATTAAAGCACGAACATATTGCTTTAGTTGTCCATGGCACGACTTTATCGAAATAGTTTTAATTCTTGAAGGTTTTTAGGAAAATTTTATATATGATTGTTGAAATTATCTAAACAAATAGAGTAATCAATAATATTGGTTTGTATCTAGAATGACATAAGGGTATAGGTGACAGTCTTCATCCACACACGCACAATAGATGTTTCATATAAAATGAAATATCATATTTCTTATGTGTTACAAGTAAAAACTAACCATTAGTGTCAGCCTTTACAAAAAAATCTATATGAAAACAAGCGAATCAAAAAAAAATCAATTAGTTATTCTTTTGTTTTGAGTATGTTGATGAATAGTATATCAAAGATTAAAGGTAATCGTAGATAGTATCATCTATTGTTATGCATATTAAGTAATCATAGGAAGATTATATTAAAAAAAAAAAGAAACTTCTCTTGTATTTCTCCCAATATACTTCATTCTAGAGAGTTATTTTATATTTTAATCTATAGATAAATACAAAATTCCTTTAGATGAGGCGAGGAAGTTTTCTAATTAATTGTCCATACTAGCTAAACCATGCCTAAAAACCTCAGATTTTTCAAGTTTTAATGATCGAAAAAATGCCCTTTCTTTCATCCGAAATTGTCTTTTCAATGGAAGTAATACGAACTTTGCAACTTGGCCCCAAAAAATCTCTTCAAACAGTATAACGTATGAAGAAAGACAACTATTTTTTATTACTGTACTATTTTAATAGAACTCTCGAAATCCTATAATATTGTTTTTTTTAAATTCTATATAAAACCACAGAAAGTATCAAAGTTCAAAATCCATAAAAGTTATCGAATGTAATTTATTTCATATATTATCCCATTAATCCCATATTTCTATGGTAAACCTTTACGATGAGTCATTGATTTCTGTCGCCATCTATTCAGACTAAATAATTGTACGAGATTTATCTTTATGCATATGCGTAATATTATGAAAGCGTACAATGTACTATAGAACGAAATGAGTCATTTTCATGAAAAAATTTCTTTTTGTTTTCTAATCCTGTTAGTCGATTATTTTAGAAATAAAGGGCATAAAATAAGAGCCTATCCAAATGCATCGATTAAACTATTATTTATCATTCAATGAAATAGAAAGAAAAATAATTAATCGTATTGTGTGTTTTTTCCTATTTGTTTGTTTTTTTTTTTTGTTCTATTTCAAGACATGAATTCTTCATTATCAAAAAATATATCTAGTCGTATTCAGTCATATAAACATCATGGTAAAGATCTCGATGAACTTCGACGTCGACGAAACCAATATAATATATCATTACGAAAAGTATTGGTTTAACTCCAAAAAAAAAAAAAAAAAATTACAAGACTTCATATAATTACATTTTAGACCAAACGTGATGAACAAATACAATGTAAACGTAATCTTATTGTTAATGAAAGTATGTCAGATGAAACCGATGATGATGATGAATTACGTCGATGTTTAAATCTAAATGAAATTCTTTTACAATCTCAAAATTCTGATTTATCTATATGTTATGAAGGTATACGTTCAGCACGAAAACTTTTATCTATTGAACGTAATCCACCAATTGATGAATTAATTAATTTAAATTTTTTACCTATACTTGTACAATGTTTATCATATGATCAATATCCTGATTTACAATTTGAAGCTGCATGGGCATTAACAAATATTGCATCAGGTAATACACATCAAACACAAGCTGTTGTTAATGCAGATGCATTACCATATTTATTACGTTTATTACATTCAACATATTCAAATGTTTGTGAACAAGCTGTTTGGGCTATAGGAAATCTTATTGGTAAAATTAGACAAAAAAAAAAAACAAATTTTTTATGAACAATTCATTTTTTTGTTTTTCTAGGTGATGGTTCAAGATTACGTGATTATGCTATTGAATTAGGTGTTATTTCACCATTAATTGAATTTATACAAAAAGATATTCCAATAACATTTCTTCGAAATGTAACATGGGTTATTGTTAATCTTTGTCGTCATAAAGATCCACCATTATCATTAAATATTGTTCAAGAAATTTTACCTTCATTAAAATATCTTTTATCATTTACTGATGTTACTGTATGTAATAAAAATAAAAAATAGAATTTTTGTTCATTTTATTTATTTATTTAGATTCTTGTTGATAGTACATGGGCATTAGCATATCTTCTTGATTGTGGAAATCCTATAATTCAAGTAAATTATTTTTAATTATTTTATATTGATTATAATTATTTATTTTAGCTTATTGTTGAATTTGATATAATATCAGATATTATTAGATTATTAAATCATAATGAAATAAAAATTATTACAGCTGGTAAAGAAAATTTTTATTTTATATTTCATTTGACTTTTTTTTTTTTTGTTGTTCTATTTATAAATTTAGCATTGAGAGCTGTTGGAAATGTAGTAACAGGTACTGATGAACAAACACAATATGTACTTAATCATGGTGTTTTAAATTATTTTTCAAAATTACTTCAACATTCAAAAAATAAAATTAATAAAGTAAATTTCATATATTTTTCTTTTTCTGTATATTTTCTAGACTGAAAGAATAGAATCTAAAAAAAGGAAAGATAATATTGTCGAAGAAGATCATAAATCTGCTATCCTCTTAAGTTATATTTTCAATAGGTTAAAAACATAAAACATGAAAATGAGTATATTGTATACTTATTTACTGAATATAAAAATAAATTTCGAAGACTAATTAGTCTTACGGAATGTAGCATTTTTTTTAGTGTTTTAATTAATAACTATAGAAACCATAGTTTTTTCTTTTTTGCTAATTTATATATATGAAAATTAATAATGAAGATCGACGTGCGTTTTCATATTCTACAGAAAAACAAACAAACATATTGTTTGTTTTTTATCGTTTATTTATAAAAGGTTAGACAGGTATGAATTGTACCTGTATGCCTGCCTGGAAATTAATCGATAAATAGGGTTAACATGTTATAGTGCAAAGCACGAAAATTTATGTCGATTTTCATGCCTATTATTCAAAATACCCAAAAATGGTAGACCATATATGACTAATTAGTCCTCGAAAAATATAGTAACTTAGGAAAGTGCCAGATTTATGATCTTATCCATCGATATTTCTTCCCTTTTCTTGACCCTATCCTTTCAGTCTAGGGTCAGATTAATTGAATCTTGATGAACGTTACTTGTCATAATTAATTTATGTTAGAATTTTCTTTTTTTTTTGTTAAGTCATTTTGTCAGAGTAAAGAAATTAATGGAAACTATCAATATGTAAATTTGTATTAATAGATCAGTTTTAACATGAAAAATTATATTTTATAATGAGTTTTATCAATGAAAATATATGAGTTAGATTTCAAAAATTTATAGAATTAAAGCTAATATCCAAACTAAAGAAGCTTAGTCAACTTTAACATTGATTTTATTATTTCTACATTATTTGTTAGTTCGAAAATATCAAAAGTAATAATGTTAACACTATAATATTCAAGAACAACATATCTTTGTATGATATCATAAAAATAGAGCTCTGTAATTCTTCAATTGATATGATAATAATAAGATTTCACTGAAATTTATTTGAAATTTTTGTATCTTGATTTAACTATAGACTAGACTTCCTATTAAACTCAAAAGTTACCCATAAAGATCTATGCTTTGTTTTCGACGAATAAGCTTCAACATTCAACAAAGTTGAAAGATGATCTAAATAACTTTATAAACATCATGAAAAGATCATACACGAAGCACGACCTGATAGATCTGTAATGTAATAACATCTGAAGCTATCAAACACATTCATTGTCTTTCAAAGAACGATTCCAAAATTGCATGAATAACACTACCTAGCTATCATTTTCAAAAAAATCAATTACACTTCTGAGTCTACATCTTTTCTTATCGTACCACTTTGATCTCAAGCGAATGTTGACACAAGAATAGCTTAAATACTGTATTTTAATGTAATAGATAATTGATTAAGACCTATTTCAATGAAGAATGTAGTTTGTTCAATATAATCAGCTACGACTACAAGTTAGTTGATAGAATACTTCATGACTGAGTGTGTACTCAGAAGAGAGTTCAATGATCCAAAACAGTTAGTAGATACAAAAAAGAAAGGAAATAATCTAATCGTGAAAGATTCTGTTAACCAACTTAAGTGTAGTTCTATTTCTTCATTTGAAGCAAATTATCATCATTTTCATATGGTACTACAATAAAATACTTTCGTCATTTAACAATCGGTTTTTCGATACACAAGAAAGTCATCTATTTAGAAAATTATAAGAGTTATGATTTGCATTTTGATATTTTCAAGTTAAAATATCTGATCACGTGATTTCTGATTTATTCTCAATCAACGATCCTTACATTACAATTAACTAATGGCAAGTGTGTATTGATTCGAACCATAATTAAACAATAATAAATATTGTTTAGATTATCAATATATATATAAAGAAAAGTTTTCCTTTAATTATCTATACGATACTATAGTGTCGACATTACAACTATTGAGTTTGATGTAAATAAACATTCATATCGATGAGACGTATATGTAATGATCATTAAAACGTATTCTTATAGGAATTTTTTTGTTTTTAAAAAATTAAATTTTATTTTGATCGAATTTTTATTTAGGAAGCTGTTTGGTTTTTATCAAACATAACAGCTGGTAATCAACAGCAAGTTCAAGCAGTAATTGATGCTCAACTTATACCTAATGTTATTCATCATTTACAACATGTATGAAAATAAAATTGCTTTTTTTTGAGATAAGCTTTGTTTTTTTGTTTAATAGAGTGATATTCAAACTCAAAAAGAAGCAGCTTGGTGTATATCAAATTTAACAATGAGTGGTTCTGTAGAACAAATTCAATATGTTGTTAATCAACATGTTATTCCTCCTCTTTGGTTTGTTAAGAAATTCTTTTCTTTTCTATATTTATTATTTCTTATATTTAGTAATTTATTACAACAACAAGATGCTCAATTATTACAAGTATGTCTTGATGCATTACATAATATTCTTAAAAATATACCTGAAGAAAATCTTGAACATGTGACAAGAGAAATTGAAGAATGTGGAGGTATGAATACAAAAAAAATTTCATCAATTATTATTTTTTTCTTATATGTTATGTATCAAAAAAAAAAAAAAAACATAGGTCTTGACAAAATTGAAAATCTTCAAACATTTTCAAATAATGAAATTTATCATCAATCCTATGATATTATAGAAAAATATTTTTCAAATGAAAATGTAAGTTAAAAATGAAAATTTTAATAAAACAAAAAAAATATCGAATAGTTGTTTTTTTTTTTCTTCTTAGGATGATGATGATGATGATATCTCATCAATGAGTCAAGTTCCACGTAATAATATATTTTCATTTGGTAATAACAGTGCTAATCAAACTGTACCTGATAATAATTTCAATCAAAATAATCCACGTTTTGAGTTCTAAACTATTTCTTTTTCAGTTTATTTTTTTTTTTTCGTCTTTTTATATGCAAACAAAAAAAAAACGGTTTGTTTTGTTTTGTTTTGTTTTTTAATTCTGAACGCTCAAGACAAAAAGGAATCGATTTATGCATGTATTTGTAGAACGTTTCGAACAAAATTAGAAAAACAAGCTTTTGTTTATATACTTTGGATCTTTTGTTTTCCTTTTTTTTGTTATTATTGTATGTCATGTTTTGTTTGTGTGTATTTATGTTATTATTTTCAAGGAGACATAAAAACCTGACGTGTGAAGATAGAAAGAAATTGTTTTTGGTTTTCTTTTTCATTTGTTAAGATAGTCAGACCATTGCTTCGATTTCTAAGTCGTTTACAAAAATATTTCGAGTTGACCTGAGATTATATTCAATCAATAGAACCTAGCAATATAAGTAAATACCGTAGAGTTGTTTGAATTACTGGACTTCTATTGTTGAGATTTCGAATATTTATTGGAATTTTCCTATAGACTAAGTTTCAAGTGAAATTCTAAAACTGTAAAAAAGAAAAGGTCCCTTAAAAATTTTTATTGCTCAGGAAGTTGAATGGGTACCTTCCTATATGAGTACACCTAGTAGATCTTAGTGACATATGTGTAATATAGAGAAAAGTCGCACCCATCGTTTTTTACGAAGATTAAACGTTTTTTTTAGTGAAATGTAGGATTCCATGTTTTTCAATTTCAACTTGAAACATTGCTTACATACTGGTGTCAATTAGAATAGCTTGTATAAAAGTTCTCAGAATTTTTAACGAATTTAGCTCGTCATATAGTCAAAGTTTCAAGTTAAAACATGGAAACTTACAGCAAAAAATCATTAGAAGAGATTTGATATCCTAAGGAATAAACCATGGGTAGAAACGTTTTTTTTTTTATGATGAACATCATTTGCTGAATAGACACTTGAGAATATTTCTCGAATACTATGATTAGAATCAGATGAGATGTAAAGGACTACTTTTACTTAGATTCTCGCATTAGCAGTAAGATATTTTGAGAAGCATTATCTTGGGTTCTAATTTTTATTTCTTTTTTCTCAAGCTAATTAAAGTTTGAAAGTGATCATAAATACCTCGCTTGAAGACTTTTCATGCCATAAGAAAGAACTAATCGCTCTAGGAAAAAGCTTTTAATGAAAAATTTCCAATAAAAATACTATAAAATTCCTGTTGCAAGATTTCAGCTTGTTCAAGTCATTGAACTTCATTTCATACATTTATCGAAAATCTATCTATCATTCATAGTTCTTTCGTCTAGTGAACATAACGAGATGAATTTATCATTGAACTGATGAAAATCATATAATAGTTGATGTGTGTAAGATTGTTCTTTTCATCATTTTAGATGACACCTGGCACAAAACGAACAATCATCACATCAAAAACTACTGGTCGTCGTTATTTTTTGGTCCGTTCAGCTAATCGACCAAGTGGGCGACGATATTATGTTTGTACAAACCCAAATTGTAAAGCACGTGTAACTCGTGAAGCAGATCTGTATTGCAAAATGTAAGTTAACTATTTCTTTAAGATTGAAAAAGAAAAAAACAAACAAACTCTGATTGTTTATTGTAGTCACGCTCAAGACCAACAAGCGGGCAATGAAGATATCGCCAATATTTCAACAAAATCGGATCAAAGTAAATTTTAAATAAATGTTTAACTTTAAATATGATGTATGTTTTAGTTGATGAGAATGATATTCAAGATAACGGTGAAGTGATCGATGAGGAATCCTCAACAGCAGTAAGAATTATATATTGAGAGTCCTTTTTTTTCTTTTACATATGTATGTGATATCTTAAAGGCACAACAAAATACAACAACAGAAGCAAGTCTTACAGAAGAACCAAATGAAAGTGCAAACAATGGTATATAAGATTTGAATTTGTTTTAGAATTTTTCTATTCATTCAATTAAAATTATAATATTTATAACATTAACAAAAATTTGCTTGTTTTTTTATTATTTAGATTCTATGCATGAAGATGATGTTGAAGATATTAATGATAATATTCAAACAGATACTTCAACAGCATTTTCAATTAATTCTCATGTATGTTCAAATTATTTTTCATATTATTATTATTTTATTCATTTAGTCAAATCGACAAATTCAAGTAGATGAAGCAACAGGTGTACGTAGTTTTCGTGACAATTCTGGCCGTCGTCGATATCTTTGTATGCATGATTCATGCCAAAATGCCTTAAGACGTCAATCAGATGTCTTTTGTCGTTTGTAAGTTAATGAAATAGTGTATTTTTTCATCATAGTATTAGATACAAGGGTCATTCTAAAAAAAAATTTGTGTAGTTAATTAGACAAGGCCATAGAAGTCTTTAAGTTTGAGATAGTCTTTTGTGAAATCATTTATGACTTGTTTTGAAATGTTTAATATTGATATTTCAGTTTCGAAGACAGACAGAAGTCAATTGGGGTTAAGGTCTCGACTGTATGTTACATTTAAATATGATCTTCTGCTAAAAATATGCTGGTTATTCAAGCCTTTCTATGGCCTCGCTTTTTCACAGTAAAAATTCAAATTTTAAAGAGCAACCTTTTGTTTCTGAGTCGATACAGTTTGAAAACTTATGCTAGTCAGCTGTTAACTGTCTAACTTCTGATTGCTAGATCCTAATGGCACAGACTTGATGAAACGAAAAAAAAAAAACAATAGCAAACTTTGCTTGTCTGACCTCTAGATTCGGTAATTATTGGCTATTTATGGATTATTGTATAACGCTTGACTACTTCATTATATTTTGATCATTATAATCTATATTATGATCTATCATTAGCGATAATTTAGAATACAAAATGAAGATAGGTTCCTACGAATATTTTCAGTAAATGAGTTAATAATGCACTTATCGAGCATAAAACTTTGTAGAATTAAAAACAGACAAGAATAATTGGAATAATCGCTGACGAAAATGATACTCAGAGTGTCATCTATTTATTCGTATAGTCAATAAGAATCATCTTCAATTATTGCTGGTACAGCGATAAAAATTGCTACCAACACAGCAAGTGGGAGAATAATCTAATTATGGGTCGCATCATTACTGTTGAAAAAAAAACGTAAAACAAATGGATTAGTATATGTGGTTTGAAGGTATGAAGTCCCTTGATACTTATAGTGAATGGACAGACATAACTTTCATTGTAAGTTAAACTAATTGACTAGGGCATATAAAATCATACATGAAAAGTGTTCTCATGAGAATTTAAAAAAATGCTGTATAACTAGTCTGAAAGTTTTTACATCATTCTAAATATGTTTAAATAGAATAGTTGTATTGAAATTGCGATTTTTTTTCTCTTTTGGGAGAACAAGATGAAAAATTTTTCTCATAGCTCATATACATCTTCAAAATATTTGTTTGTATATCAAACTTGTAGACATCTATCTAATGGAAAACAATCAAATGAGAGTAAAACAAAACGTCGAGGACAAAAGCGTCATTCAGCTCCACCATCAACAAATTCACCGAAAAAAAATCGTTATCGTTCACCATTTCAAACTTCGACTATTACAGCAACGACCATAGCATCAGAAAATGGTACCGATGGTAATCAATCTGATGAATATGAAGCACCAAAAAAAGTACAAAAAGAATATTTATTGATTTTTTTTTTTACAAAATGATTTTTATTTAATAGAATACTCCACAACGTCCTGGAACAAATCGATCATTTCGAGATGGATCTGGAAAATTACGTTTTCTTTGTTCAGTATCAGGATGTCAAAGTCGTGTACCACGACAAAGTGAAGCTTATTGTAGACGGTAATTCTAATTATTTTTCTTCCTATTTTCTAATAAAATTCGTTTTTGTTTTTTACAAAATTTTTAGTCATCGACTCGAACTGGAAGTCAAAGAATCTACAGATAATAATATTCAACCAGCAACTACAAATGGTACTATCAATGAGGAAAAAAGTAATATAGAATTAATAATAAATTAAATAATTGTAGGTCTTTTCTTTTTTTTTATTCTAGTGCAAACTACAGAAGAGATGAATGTACCAGTAAGTCTAAATCTGAAGTGTCGTATTTTGTTTTTCATTTTCGTAATTCGAGTTACCTTGATAAAAGGACAAAGTGGGAGCATACAAGTACAAGTTTTGATCGTCTCGAACACAAGTTTATACTTGAGTACTTATTCAGCTCTGATAAGAGGGGTCACTTTATTTCATCATTAATAAAAGTACAACGAATGATATGAAACTGTTTTCTTTTTTATCAGTGTAATAGTTTTATTGACAAAGACACCTATGATTTTTGCATTAGATTTGATTTTGTTAGTTTTTCTGAAAAGAAGAGATAATATTATATTAATATCTTGATTTATTTGTTTGTTATTCGGTGAAAAAATTTTAAGTATGAGAAGAAAAATTGAGCATTTAACAGACGATTTTCTGTTTTTGTCATAGGTTTGATCATAACTTCATGTGCATGTCATAATTAGTTTAATGCACAATTTGAAGAATGAAGTACTATCGTTTTGTGTCCGAAGAATGTGGATCGGACGAAAAACAAGTAAACCCTAAATACGTGCTTCTCCTTAATGATGAAAATTCTTAAATTTAATGAAGAGATTTAATCTGTAATCTATCTCTCTTCTTATATGCTAAAACTGGCTATAGTAGGTGACTCATAAGTAAATAGACGATAAAAAAAAAAAAAGATTTTTTTTATGTCTATGGACTACTTAAATGAACGGGGTTGCTTTTTCTTCTCGATGATACAGAATTCTTCAAGATTTTTATTTACGAAGAAACTATCACATAGATGTTGTGTAGAATTATCACTATTGATTTCAGTAAAGAAATACACAACTGGTTGAAAGTATTGACCTGTGATATTCATCGTTGCTAAGATTGCATTTTTGAACTTTGTATAACATGTATACTACTTTAGAAATGTGGACTAACGAGATCAACTCAATCTCGATCGCTTGAATTGAAAAGAAGTTATAATGTACAATAGCTCTTCTCACTATAAGATGCATAATTAAAGAAAAAAGCGAAGTTTATAATTTGGTGAATCTATTATTATCTAGAATAGTTGCATAAAATGATTCACAGTGAGAAGATCTACCATAAATCATACACTTTGTTTAACTCAAGCGATCGCAGCTGTCTTAGTCTCGCGAGCTTAAATTTCTAAGGCAGTACATATCCTATAAATCTTTTATGTCTAATTCTAAGAATGGTTGAGATTACAGGATGAAATTCATTTATCGAATAGTGCTTTATATGAAATATATTGAAGATGTTCACGATAATATTAATCATTTCTATGTAATGCATTTTCAAGTCAAGAATCAAGTATTTAGTATCTTTTCCAATCTCAATTCATATGATTATTCTATCATGTCCTATGTTACAAAAAAATAAGTCTTCACACTTCTGGATTTAAAAATCTTCTTTTTAATAAATAAAATTTGATTAAACATTGGAATGAAACATAATCTATGTCAATAATATCGATAAATATTGCTAAGAGAAATTATTTAATTAATCATAGAAAATTTCTTTTCTAGGAAAATGATATTAATACTTCATTTCGACAAACAACATCTGAAACAGAAATTCAATCAGAAAGTAAAAAACGAAAACGTGAATCTTCAATTGTTCTTTCTTCAATTGTACCAAATAAAGTAAAACAACAACAACAACAACATCTTTCTTTTTTTCATGTCTTTCTTTTTATTATTTTTTTAGATTGTTATTGCCACAACTGCTTTACTTGATGATCAATGGGTAAATAAAAAGAAACTCAAAGAAAAAGACTTTGTGTTTTTTTTTTTTTTATAAATAGAACGAAGTTCTTGCATTTCTTCGTCAATTTCCTCAAGTACAATTATCAACAAATTTAAATGTTAATAATTCAACAACACATTTACTTGTTGATGATAGTGAAAATAATTTACATTGTACAATAACAAAAAAAATTGTTCAAGCAGCTGTACGTCATCATATATTTATATTATCATCACGTTGGTTAAATGAATGTATGAGTTTAAATAAATTTGTTGATGAACATCCATATGAAATAGTAAGTGATTCTCATACAACACTTCGTTTATCGGAACAAAATATAAATCAAATAAATAATAAATATTTATTTGGTCAAAATTCACAATATTTATATGCATTTGCTATTGAATGTCGTCAATGTCAAGGTTCAATAAATCGTAGTGAATTAATTGAATTAATACAATTAACAGGTGCACAATTATTTCAAAATGAACAAGCTGTCGATGTATTAATTGTTTTATGTGATACAAGTGATAAAAATATAAATAAAATAAAAGAAAAATATATGAATGCACCAGCATCAAATATTAAATATGTAACAAGTGATTTTTTACTTAAATCAATTATTAAATTTGAAATACAAGATATTGACAAATATTCTTTATAAAAAGTTGATGAACATATTATTATTACGTACCATTGTCTGGTGGTTTTTCTGTGTATTCTCTCTTTTTCCCCTCTCTCTCTCTCTCTTTCTGTCTTCTTTTTCTTTTTGTATGTATTGGTTTCGTTTGTACGTGAAAAAAAAAAACTTAAAATAGAAACTCTGTTGTGAAGTGTTAATGTGTATGCCAATAAATCATCTCTGATTGTTTCTTTTCTTTTCTTCTTGCTCATAGAGATCAAATATATATATATATACATATATATACATATTATTTAGATATTAGAAAATGATACAAAACATAAGAAGAAAACGATTACTAATGAATATTTATCAACAAAGGTATGTTCTTTGTTTTTTTTAGAGTTTTACAAATAATTTACTATTTTGTTTTTTTCTGTTTTTATAGGATATAACAAATTAATGATAGCCGAATTAACATTCAAACCTTAACGAAATTGAAAATGAGAATTAAATTCGATTATTTTACTGTTTTTCTTTCGATATAATGTTCTATGTATGATGTCGATTTAAGCAAGCAACAAGCAACATTTTATTTGTTGGCAGATATGGACAACTTCGATTCTATGTGCCATTTTAACATCGCATAACCCTTTCTGTACTTTTCAAATTCTACTCCAAGTGAGCTACAATCGAAAGTACAGGTTTTAATTGTAAAGTTTAATTCAATTCTAAAGATAAAGAGTCTTAATCTCTCTGATTTCATTTTGAAAGAAAAAATGTTCTTAAATTCACGTTTATCATCAATATTTTTTCTGTTGATTTTTCTTATTTTTACTTAATAAATTAGGGGTTGAACTGATGTCGATAGAAATCTGTCGACTTCGAATTCGCTCCAACAATGAGAAAATAAACTATTATGATCGAAAATATTTATTTTCTTACATTATTGATAATCATTGCATTCTATTAGACATCAAAGTTGTCGAAATATTTGTGAAACAAGTTGTTTTAAAAAACATTAATTTTTCATCTCATAAATTTCAATTTATATAATTCGATTAGTCTACAATGAGAAACTTTTTATAGATCAGTTGCTTTAATAAAATGATTTGATTCAAATATTAGATATGATGATAGTTGCAGAGATGTAATCTTTTTTTTTTATCACATAATTTCAATTTTGTTGTCTTCATAGCAACATAAATAATCAGTTAGGCAAGTTTCTTCTTCTGTCTATATCGTGACCATATGAAAGATATTACTGATCGATTATCAGACTGCTTATTTTTTCAAAAACGTTCGCTAAATAAACTAACGAACTAGGAAAATTCTGATTGAAGTTGAAAAAAAACCTGAATGAGGGGACAAATACCTTAAAAAGAATCACGTTGTGAGAATGACCTGAATATGAAGAGAAGAAGAGAACAGAAGAAAAAAGCCTACATATTTATATATACATATACTTATCTGTATAGAAGAACAGAGCAGACAGAAAAAAGGGAAAATATCATATATAAACTGATTCACGCTATAATACAACGTCGTATGAATAATAACGTAAGGTCAATTAACCTTTCAAGTGTAGACTTCATTTTTGAAGAGATGCAAAACTTGTGACTTTTTTACTAAAAGACTGAAATCAGTCCTGTATACCAAGAATCATCCAACTGTATAAGATTCTTCGATTGTGTAGTTGAGTAGAATAGTGCAGAATTCTATGGAATTTATGAAAATTTGCATTTGATGGTCAGTAATATTAGAACTTTAGTACTAACAGCTATTTAGTCAAACTATAATACTTCTGGGATTCTGTGAAATTTCATTTGATTGTAGAGATTTCATAAATTCTCGAGTATATGTAAATCTAAAATTCTTTGTTTTTTCTTCATATACCTGCATAATGGAACCAGATATTAAGGCTATGTGATATTATCAATTTAAAAGAAAGAAAAAAGAGAATTATGTTATGACCTAAAAAGGATAGGTAATAGTACTAGTTAGAATTTACACAAAAGGTCACAACTTATATTAACGTTTCCCACTGGCAAAGAGTTAAGCAAATGAATCGTTCAAACGATCTATTGATACTCAACTGTGTCAGATAATATCTTTCAGATAGAAGGATTATATTTCTGTTATGTAGCCGACAAGCATTAGTTTATTTTAACATCAATGCTGTTTTCATGATTATTGTTTATCCTCTTCCACACACACACACACATATATATATATGACAAACCGGAAGAGTTGCTCTATCGATGTCCTTCATAACGATTGTTTATTGAGCTACTTCATCACTTCAATCGTATCTATATTAGCACAACGAGACACTTATATAGTGGTCACAAAAGAAAAAATACAGAGAAACATACATCGTTAGGTCAACACTGTGAAGAGGTTATATTAGGAAAAGAAGTGAAGCGTAACAGTCAATAATCTTCACAATATGATATATAAATCGATAGACAGATATTCGATCATTTCTATCAGAGATACCCTCTTGCTTCTTTCTTATAGTTCGATTTTATTTCGCATTAATAACTATCACTGACTCAAGCGAGAGAAGAGAGAGCATTATAATAAGATAGAATAAAGCATCAAGGAATACCAATTGAATAAACAAATATCGATGAGTCAAGCAATATAACATGTGACTATAACAATTTCTATGGCAACAATCATCTTCTATTGATATTGAAATATTAATAGAAAACTGTTCACACACTATTGAGTTAGCTCGTTTTTTTTTTGTTTTTATTTCATTATAAAAATAACTTGAATTCTTGGAATTAACAAGCATCGGACTTAGTTCTTTTTCATATTTCACAGATTCACATAATTATTATCGGTAAGATTTTTTTTTTTTTTGTAAATTTTATTTAACATGAAAGAAGGAAATTATTTTTTTCGATAAAGAATATAAACCATTTATAAGCAGTATAAATCCTAAATTCAACATTTCATATTTTCTAAGTATTTGTTAAATTAAATTTGGTTATTAGTTTTTTTTTTTTTTTCTTAAAAATAGTTTATTTTAGATTATAACCATAATGGAAATTGATGATGAGGAACCTTTATTTCGTATACGATATATTAAAAAAGATATGATAGAAAACAAAGATGGCTATTGGGAACAATATAATACATATAGGAAGTTATGGTATAGACTGTGTAATCAATGTATGCAAAGGGTTCGTAAACCATCTGAATCTTTATGTATATATCATTTTAATCAAGAAAACAAATCAAAGAGAAAAACAATATTTAAACCAAGAACTTTGAAGAAAAACTTAAAACGTTTAGATAATAAAATTAAAAGAAAGAATAATAAACGCAAACTTTCATTAGAAACGACAATTGATAATAAAGTATGATTTTAAGGTCTTGTTTATTTTTGTTTTTTTTGAAGTTAATCATAATATTTAATATTCTTGTTTTAGCTAGAACAAATTGTTAAACGTGAAAATGAAGAATTAAATGAATCATTAGGAATTGTGATATCTGTTTCATCATCTCTGAACAAAAGACAAATTGTATGTATTATTTATATGAAAAATATTTATTTAAAAGTTGATTTTACATTTTATTAGTCATAGTTTAAAAGTTAAATAGGAGATCAAAATTATTGATAGGAACTAAAAAAAAACAAATTTTAATTATATAATTTTGAGCTAAGATTGATGAGTCTGACTGCTACCAATAAGTTTTTTGTAGTGATCTCGTCTCTATGAGATTCTTTTTAAGTTTGAAGGCTGAAAAATTTTCTAAAAGAGGCAATTACAACTCTAATAATGAAAAGGGATATAATAAAATTTGTAAAACTGAGTCTATTTGTTCTTTAACAATATCAGTAATGATCAGATGCTTAATCTATGACGTCAATATTGTGCTAAAAAATATTCACTCATTTTTTGGTTACTTAAAGACAGCAAAGTAAAGCCTAGATAAGTACCATTAGATTGTTTCAAAATAATGATTGTACGGAATACTATTTAGTTCAATTTTATATTTCGATTAAAACATATCAGATTCAAAATGCTCTACAATAATGTTAAATTTAAACTGTTCTAAGACATAAACGAAGGACTGTACGAAAACCATTATTTTGCTTTGTAAAAATACAATCTTTGGACTTTTTTGCAAAATTTACTGATAGATGTTCAACTTTAACACTAGAAGAAAAATCTGATCATGTATTTGGAAATAGCAAAAAATTTCTAATTGTAACTAATTGCCTTCAGTAGTCAAAAAATAAGCGAATATTTTCTTTTTTAGGCAAGACTTTCCCGCTATACGTTGTGTGCACTTATTGCATCTATTCTCTTATAACAAAGTAAAATCGATGCTTTGTTCACAATGTATCTCTATTCTATTTCACAAAGTTTAATGGTTTTTTTTAGTTAATTATATGAATTACTAAGGTTAGTTTGTACTCTTAGTGTTTGATATGAGCATTATAAGAAACAAAAGATTCTTGTTTAAAATGAACAATAATAAAATGAAAATCTAATATAAAAGTAACGTTTCCACAGATTACTTGACACACATCGAGAATTATTACGTAATTCTTCAAATTTATTTCTATTACACGACCGATTATACAAACAGCATATGAGGCATAAGTAACATGTTTTGTATCGACATATGATGAGACGTCTAGTAAATATAATAATGTTAAGATGGGTAACGAATGAATGAAGATTGTTCATGAAAATCGGTATTTATGTTATAGTAGAAAGAAAAATGAATTTGCCGTATAATTATTTTTATTGCGTTTCAATGGTGATGTGTAAAACGAATAATTGTCGTTTTTTTCACAATCATCGAATTTTTCATCGAAAGACAACATCGTAATTGGATTTGTTTCTTAGTGTAGATAACCAAACTTGAACAAAATTATAATAGAACAAGCCTATACGATTATACTTATCTGAGAAAAATTAGAAAATAAATATTGTTGTCTTTTGTAATTACACGGTCGCAAATAAAAAGAGAGTAGTGGAAGAAAAACATAATATTGAAAGTTTCTATCTGTGATAGAAAACGCAACAAACAAATTCAAACCAAGTTTTATTTTCAGATGAAAAATTTAATGAATTGACTATGAATTTCTTTGTTTACATTTCACATAAATACTGATTTTTTTTAAAAACAATGTTCATTTATATGTTAACCATCTTCACATCATAATTATATTTAGTAAACATCTAATTATGAGTAACTGCGAAATATGTTACTTATGTCCCATATGCTACTACTTGTATAATCGCTCGTGTAATAGACATAAATTTGAAGAATTACGCAATAATTCTCGAAGCATTTTATGTAGTCTGTGCAAAAAACATTCACCGTACAAACTCTAACATTAGATTTGATTTTTAATTTTATTATTGTTCATTTTGAACAAGTATTGTATTTTTTTTAAGTTATAAATCAATGAACATAAACGATATTTTAAATATTGATTTTAATTTATTAGAATTATTTACTCATATATTAAAAATATGCGATAGTACGTATTCATAATTATTTGAATTCTTTTATACTAGATTGAATCAACTCAAGACAAGTAGTCTAATCTGAACTTTAAGTTAGTTTTGTTTCAATGATTTGTTCATAGAGAATTTTATTCTTAAACTATTATTTTTACATGTCATAGATTCATTACTAACACTTTAACAAAATATTCTGTAATAAGACATTTCAGAATATCTTCATTTTTCTTAGATATTTCTTTTCACTTAACACATATAATTATATGTATACTTAGTATACAAAAATAGTAACTATATCAATATAATATTTTTGATTACTTCATCAAATATGTTTGATAGTGTTTTTCTTTTGTGTGTGAAATTCTTAAGATTTGGTGTAGAGAAATTGACTCATTATTACTATTTTACTAATCTCAACAAATGAATGATTACGTTAGAATTAAACAGAGATGAGTATAAGCTTAATAACTCGACAACGGCAATATCTGACGACTTGTGATCTTCAACAATTGAAAAAGAAGAGTTCATGGTGTCTTTTTGTTGACTGATTTTGATATTAGACGAAGTTATTTTATAATCTATTATCTTTGCAAAACATTCAAATGTAGTCCGTTTCAAAGAAAGTTGGCTACAAATCAATAAATTTCGATATAGTTTAATCAAATAGGTGTATAAGTTTATTTGATCAACATCAAGATGTGAGAACATAATCACTTAAATCATGTCTTGAGCTGTACATCTGAAGCATATGTCAAAATGAAAATAACATCGAAACGGAATACCATTTTCGAGGACTGTTTTGCAAAGATCATAGGCTTTCAAATAATTTTATATAATATCCGTCAAAAATACATTCGAAGTTCTCTTCATTCAATTATTGAAAAGTGCAAGTAGAACCTGTTGGATTCTAAATTTTCGGATTCGAATTCAACGGACTCTAATCTTAAATTAAGAGAAAAATCAGCTATTATACATTCACTAGCTTTATCATAATAATTTAAAATTTCATTATTTTCTACATATATATATATATATAAAAGATAAATTATTAACTATTTTTATTTGCAGTATCAAGTCAAAGAATTTATTACTAAATTTCATAATGAATCTCAATCAATTCAATGGACATGTGAATCTCAACCTGATTATGTCGATGATACAACAACTCATCTTATTGCTAATGATTCTGGTTCATTTACAACAATATTAACAAAACAAATTATTCAAGCATGTGTTCGTCATATATTTGTTGGTTCAATAAATTGGATTATATCATCACTTAAACAATCATTTATTGTTGATCAATTTTCATATGAAATTTTACGTGATAAACAAACATTTAACAATTCTCGTGGTATAAAACAATGTCGTTTCGATCAATTACCTGTATTTCCATCATCATGTATTATATCTGTTGAATGTCATAAAGGTATAAAACAATTGAAAATGACTCGAGATGAATTAATTGAAATAGTTGAATTATCTGGCGGTACATTATTAAATGATTATATAGGATATGAAAAATTAATTATTATATGTAATTCAAAAAAAGAGATGATTAATAGAAGAAAACAAAATAATGATAATTTATTGATAAATGAGAAAAATATATATTATTCTAAACCGGAATTTTTGTTTGATTCTATTGTAAGACATGAAGTACAAGCAATAGAGAAATATTTATGGTGATTTATTTGGGCAAAATTGAATAAGGATAGTAGAATTTTTTTTTAACTTATTTTCTTTATTAAACACTTTTCATAGTAGTTAAATTGTTGTCAATAAAATAAAGATATATTCTAGTTGGCAGATTGTTTTATTTATTTATTTTTTTTTGTGTTCTATGTCCATTGATCAGTCAAGAATGACAATATTGGTGGACTTAGTTAATTACTAAACAAAAAAAAGCACTATCGAGAAAAGCTATGACATAACGGGGAAAATCTTCGTAACTAATTAATGAATTTGCACCAGACTAAGAATAATAAATGATGTTTAAGTTACTTATGACAATAATTTCTAAAAGAAAATTTTGCTTCTAAAAAACAATAAAGAACCTAAATCAGAAGAGTTCATATATTTTTTTTTCGTCTCTTCACATTAAACTGTTTAATATAGTAGTCGAATGGAACTTCTTAAGTGAACGAAAAAAATTTCGTTGCATCTACGGATAGAGTACTATGAGTTAAGAGGAATCAGAACTCTAAATTTTCTTCTAAATACGATTTAAATATGTTTCAATAAGAAAGAGAAGAATCAATGATAAAAACATTGAATAATCATGAAAAAGATTTATAGACTGAGATTTTATTCGATATATTTTTATTGTATTTAAGCTACAGGTTTATTTTCTCATTATCTAAATGCTTCTCTGTTTTGTATTCATGTTTGACTTACAAGTTATAATGATGGAAATCTTTTTTTTTAATTTTATGTTTAATTCCATCAAAATCAATTATATCATCATTCATATCATTTAATACAATATTTCTTAACTGATCATTTAACTAAATTTACAAATATTCTTTTTTTCTGGTATTATAGTTCATCAAAAACTTATAATTGATATTATTAAAATATTTGTGAAAAACGTTTTCAATTATCTAAACTCAATAAACTATTTCTTTCATATTTACTAATAGATTTGGAATATTAAAATGAGATTATTCGTAAGATATTATCTTTATATCTATTTGATTTTCATTTATACGACGATGAAACGATCACAATTTTATTAATATTTAATTCATTAAACATAAAATATAATTCTTAATGAGACGTTGAAGAGTTAGCCAATCTGATTGGTTATCTTCGACATATATCTAATATTTGTTTGGTTCATTTAATTAGTACTTTCAGATTCGAAGAATCTGTCGATAATGATATTATCATATCAAATATAAATCAACCAAATTGTGAGCAATTTTTTCTTTTTTATCATTCAATATTTTATCTAAATTTATTGAAATAATTTTTCCAAAGGTTATTATTAAGTGATTTTGGTGATATAAAAATAAAACTCAATATACGATTTCAATTATATGATAATCAATATACTAGACTATGTCTCGATAAACTTATTTGAAATAGATATTTTTATCAAATATAAACAAATCTTCATGCAGAATGTTGTCTATTTGTTAGAGTTCGATTGATAGATTAAGCACTATGTTATTTGAACAAGAAATTTTATGGTATTGAATGAGCTTATTGATAGTTGTAATATCCATTTGTAAACATCTTTGATTTGTATGCTTTTTGAAATTTAAATTAAATAAACATAGTTATTAGATGTTTGATTTATTATCATATTAGTTATTGTTGTCTGTAAGTTTTCGACGTCTTTTTTTTTGGTAAATCTATTTAACGTATGGTATGTGTTATTCCTGACTGAATATTTTAAAATTTTTCATTTTTGTTTTTTTCTCTGCTGTATATCGAAGCTCTGAAAATCGATCAATCAGATAGATTTAATTTCAATTCTTATCCATAATATTCATTGTCATGATGAATTCAAATAGTGATTTGGATAGAACGATTTCTAAGGAAAAGAAAATTTTCATTGTATTCCAAAAATTCGGAATCTCTAAAATATAATTTTCACAAAGTCAAAACTAAATCATAATAGTTTCTTTTGATTATACAGGGTAATAGAGCAACTAATTCTTTAGAAAATGAAATGTTTCTGAGTTCTTCATGACAATTTTTGGCTGAACTACGTTAATTTTAGGAGCTTCCGTATGCACTTCGAACTATCTCTACTATCTTCTGAATATACTTTACGAATTCATGTATAAGATGGAAAATTTTTGCTACTTTCGAAAAATTAGGTTTTGATCAAACAAAGTTAAAAATCACTCACCATTTCTCAATTATAGTATATCCGATTGAGTTGAATCTTTCTTCTTTTTACACAAGAACGTGTTTAAGGTGCATAGATTCTTTTTTAGCTTTAAAATATGATTTATTGCTAGTTTTTTTTTGTCATTCTTTACGAAAAAAAAAAGCTATGATTCAAAAAATGCACTTTTGAAGGTGCTCTCCAAGTTTGGATGTTTTTATGATAAAAAAAAAAAAAAAACTAAAATAGAAGTACGCAACTCAAACAGTGTTTAGAATCTGTAAAAACAAACACTATTTACCCATCAGATGTGTTATGTCTGAGAAAGAGAAGACGAGAAGATATTTTTAGTTGTTACAACCTTGATAAATTCTAAAAGAAAAAACATCAATGAATTTTGAGTCTTTGACACCTGTTATTCTACTCATCAAGATTTATGCGTTTTAGGACTTTCAAAATTTTTTTGATGAACCACTCTTCGAAAATGCTCAAAACGTATACGTCCTCTTAATGTTTGATCACTATGAAACCATTAAAGAAATTAATAAAAAAAACGAAAATACATTATGATTTTTTCTTTCTTTATTATTCATTCGTATATGTGACATGAAATTTGATTTCATAGACAAGGTAATTAATTACTTAACTTTATGATGTAACGATTCTGAAACTTTTCTGATAATCATAAAAGAAATAAAGACTTGCAAGAGTAACTATATCAGTACCTCTAAGAATATGCCATTTATACGCAGTACATCTATAGAAATATAGGATAAAACCTTGGTTACAAAACGATGTGTCTATTATTTCACAGCAATAGAATATGCAATCACTGTATTGTATATACAGACAATCGTACAGTAGTACGAGAGTTCTTATTTAATTGATAAAAACTTTAAAAACAACAAACAAAACAATGTTGACATATGTTTTATTCTCGAGGTCACACTTTCTCAATTCTTTTTCCTTATATTCTATATTTTCTATAAACACATAATTCATACAAAAGGAGCTATGACAAATGAGAAAATAACTATTTGTCAAATAAAAAAAAAAAGAAACAGAATAAATTATATGACCAATCATTTCGTTACATATGAGTTACTCATAAAAGAAAAACAAACATATTAATATAGAAGAAATAAATTCATCTAAGTTTTTGATTATTATAAATTAATATATGATTTAATAATATTATTTTAGATGAATAATAAACAATCTCGTTTAGAAATATTTCCTGATGAACTTTTTCTTGATTTATTTTCTTATATTTCTCCAATTGATTTATATCATGTATGGCATGATCTTAATCGTCGTTTTAGTGCAATAATTCGTTCTGTTCGAATAAGTTTTGATTTAAATGAAAATACAGATGAAAATATTTGTGCATTAAATTATTTTTCTAAACAAATTGTTTTTATTCATTTACGTATATCATATGATTTATTAGATTTTAAACAATATCCTTATTTATGTTCATTAATTATTGATACAAAATTAACTAAAGAACAACTTGATTCAATTCATCCAAAAAATTTACCTTATCTTAAACGTTTAACTTTTTTGAAATGGTCAAAAGATGAAGAAATTTTAAATGAAATTATTTTTAATAGACATTTTTCTAATGAACAATATTTTTCATGGTTAAAAGTATATCATTTACCTTCTATACCAAATTATTTTATATTAACTACTTCTAATCTATCACATATTCAAACAATGATTTTTGATCGAGTAACACCATGTGATATTGATTTAATATTATCTTTACAACCAACATTACGTCGTCTTAAAGTTACTATTGTACGATGGATGTCCGATGATACAATGTCAAAAATTTCTATAACTAATAAAAATTATCAACATAAACATTTAATTCATTTACATACAACAATGAATACATGTAATAGATTAGATGATTTATATCCATTATTATCACATTTACCATGTTTACGTTATCTTTATATAGCTTGTGATAGTTTAACAATTATTGATTTTAAACAACTTGCTTTTGAACTCGTTACACGTGTACCATGGTTAGAACGTTTTAATTGTTCATTTAAACAAACATATATTGAACATATGGATACATTACGTTGTATGAGTCCATTATTTCGTCATATGAAATGTAGAAAAATAGAATGGAGTGGCGGATGGTATTATTACTGTGTGACAACAGGAAATGCATAATAACATATGGTTAACCGGTGGTTCAGAATTTTCTTTTCATTTTATTTTTTTGCTTTATTTCAATAATCAATCCATAAGTATCAAATTGTATTAATTACAGAGACTGAAACTAAATCAAATAAAAGGTTTCATAGTTGTTAAAGAAATATTTACAGACATAATCAAAAAATATTAATCAAAATATCTATATGATACTTGTCAATTCATCTCTCAATGATATATCAAATTAAAAATAGACATTTTGTTTTTTTATTTGAGTTTTTTTTTTCAACTATATGTGTAATGAATCTTCTCGGTGATATGAATAAATGATCTTGACATATACAAAAGCAAGTTATTAACAATTTATGATTAAATTTTATTATGCCAATTGTTTTCAACATTCTAAAACTCTTTTTTTATTAAAATCATAATCTATTGCTTGTTTTTACATGAAAGTTTTGTTTACTTCTCTAAGTAGTATTTAATAAAAATCGCATCTTTCATTTTTCAACTATGTTCAATGATTACTCGAAAATATTATTCTGAACGAGTAATATTTATGAGACTCTTTTAAAATGGAAGTATTTCATTTTATTGAAAACAAATAATCATGGTCAATGTGCAAGAATAAAACAACACCGTTAGATACCATTCACAAAACAAACACAATCATTTTTCTTTTCATAGATGCTTTTTAACCATAACAATACGTGTTTTATATCTATTGTATCGATTATAAAAATAGTCACTTGATAATGATTCGTATATGCGATAGATAGTGCAAACACGTCAAAAAAATATTGTCTTCAAGGATACGATGCAGAACAAAGAACAAAGAACAAATACTGTTCTCTTCCATCATTTCTATAAATAGATCAAAGCGAGCATAGAAAAAATTATTATTTCTAAATATTCACACTACTTAAATATGTCAAGAAAGAATCAAACATGGGCGTATCTGACTGATAGACCAGTTAATCAAACTGTTTTCATAGTACAAAGTCAAAAGTCATATAAGAAAGAAAAAAAAATGACGGTTTTTGTTTTAAATTTCAATGTTAAAAGATGTACATATTTTATAGGTTTACACACGATTTCATTACCAGTAGGTTTATCGGTAACATATATTCTTCGGCAGAAAATAAGATCATTTTTCTTTCAATCAACAAAAATATTCAAGTGAAGAATCAATCGACTGTAATATATAAAAATATTAGTATTGTTTTCAATTCTTAAATTATCAATAATGAAAGAATCAAATATGAAAAAGTCTATTTATGATATTTGTAATGATTATATGGACAAGTTTGCTGTGATACAGATGTCTTTGCTGTGATTAACTATCCTATAATTTTAGAATCAGTTCGTGACACTAAATATAAAATAGAATAGAACCATGTAATACATACCGCTGATGTCTCAATATGGGCTATATCGCCGGTTTTTCTTTGAAAGTGTTTTACCATGGTGTATTGTATCAAGATGGGTGAATATATTTGAAGCCTGTTGAAACTAATGAAATTGAGTTGTTTTTTCAATGCACTCTAATAATGTCGATGTGTCTAAGCCGCTTGTAATTACTAGTCACAGACGTCAAATGGACCCCACGTATGAGATGAATTTTTATTAGTAAAATTTCTTTCGAAACTGGTTTTTTTTCTTAATTAGTTTAAATGCTTGATAAGAGATAATTCGAGTTTAGATAGAAAACATTTTAGTACGAATAACCATGTACCATGAGGAAACTTAAAATTTTTTCTTTTCTAATATAGATAAGTGTCGAATCCATTGTTTCAACTTTATCATAGTTAAGATAAAAGAATAGGTTGAACATATTTGTGTCACCTATTATGGCTTTGCGTGTGATACCATTTTAATCATTTGCAATACGTAAATATGTCACATAATGAATCTTGGCCTGATCTAGTTGGTATGCCAGTTGATGGAGCTGTTCAAACAATTCAAAATGAAAACCTAGGTAAAAAAAAATGATATTCTTGTTTGAATTTCAAGGTTTAAAAATGTATATATTTTATAGGTTTAGAAGTAATTCCGCTACCAGAAGGTTCACCAACAACAAGAGATATTCGAGAGAATCGTGTACATGTATTCTTTGACTACAATAACCTTGTTTCATCGGAACCAAGAGTTGGTTAAATAAAAAAAAACATTCAAATAAACTTCTATTTTTAATAAAAACAAATATTCAAGCCGAAAATTTATCGACTGTAGTACACAGAAATATTTTTTTTTCTCTAGAAAACATTAAAGAAAACATCATGTTGTATATTTTTTCTTTTCAATTCTTAAATAAACAATAGTTAACATATCTAATATGGAAAAAAATCTATAATGAACAGAAGTCATTTAAAAATTCATATTTAAAACTACAGCTTATGTTTACCTAAAGAAATAAATATTATGAGAATGCGCAATGAAGGATCTACGGTTTGACAAAGTACAGTAGTGGCCAAAATTATAAGAACAGCTATTTCATTGTAACTATTTGCCCCTTCCCAATCACTGAACATCTGTGTAATCCAAAACCTCTATATACCTTCATGCACTGAAGTATGCTCTATTCGAATATGAAATCAGAAATTTCGATTGTGGTTGTTAAGTTCTAAAAAACAAATGTTTTCTAAAATATGTTGATTTTTGCCTGGCCAAAATTATAAGAACAAAATCGTAATTTCATTTATTTTATATCAAACCAAGGTCATTTACGTTTGAAAGTCACATAAATAGATAGAGGTGTCCCTGATGAACATTTCTGTAAAAGAAGTTTTGAAAAGTAATATAAATTACGATTTATCATTAGGTTCATTTTTCAAGCCAAAATGGCTTGAAAATGCTAATCATGTTCATTATCTTGACTGCCAAATTTATATTACAGATGATACTGAATTTTGGGTGATAAATTCGAATAGAGCATCTTTTTTACTACAAAACAAGACATTTGCGAGCTCCAAGTTTCTTATCGTTATGGAGATATCTTTACCAACAAATTGAGTTCACGAAAACAAGCCTTTTTACGCTTATTTCCCATGCAAAAAAGTCAGATAAATTTGTTGGTAAAGATATCTCCATAACGATAAGAAACTTGGAGCTCGCAAATGTCTTGTTTTGTAGTAAAAAAGATGCTCTATTCGAATTTATCACCCAAAATTCAGTATCATCTGTAATATAAATTTGGCAGTCAAGATAATGAACATGATTAGCATTTTCAAGCCATTTTGGCTTGAAAAATGAACCTAATGATAAATCGTAATTTATATTACTTTTCAAAACTTCTTTTACAGAAATGTTCATCAGGGACACCTCTATCTATTTATGTGACTTTCAAACGTAAATGACCTTGGTTTGATATAAAATAAATGAAATTACGATTTTGTTCTTATAATTTTGGCCAGGCAAAAATCAACATATTTTAGAAAACATTTGTTTTTTAGAACTTAACAACCACAATCGAAATTTCTGATTTCATATTCGAATAGAGCATACTTCAGTGCATGAAGGTATATAGAGGTTTTGGATTACACAGATGTTCAGTGATTGGGAAGGGGCAAATAGTTACAATGAAATAGCTGTTCTTATAATTTTGGCCACTACTGTATATTGAAAGCGGTTATATATAAAAGTTTTCTATGGTATAAATATCTTTGAAATGACTAACTATTTTATAATTTCAAATAGTTCATGATACTAAATATGAAATGGAATAGAAACTCGCTATGTCTGTATTCAATCATAGATAATTGTCGGATCAATCGTTTCAACTTGATATTAATTAAAATAAAAAGATAGACTCAATATATTTTTATTAACTATAATCGCTTTAGTTGGAAAATATACAGTATATGCATCACCTGTTGAATAAATAATACAAAAAATATTCACATTTAACTATTCAGTAAAGAAACTTTCGAGTGTATTCGAGACATAAGAAACAATGGTGCATATCGGTCTTTATTATTCATGATCAACATAAATAATGACTGATTCTTTTGTTTTTCAACATAAAGAATTGGCCTTGAAGAAATAATTTTTGTATTTATATATTATAAAAGTAAAATATGTATGACATTATAATGATGTTTGTCAACAAACGATGCTAAATATCTTTTTAACGTCAATGAAGTAAGCACTATATTCAGTTTTTTTCTGTTTGGATTCCCTCTATAATTTGTTTCGATTTCATAAATGGTTGTGATAGATATAGAATTTCAGTCACCTGTAAATAATAGGACTCTTCAAAGGAATCAATCAACAAAATATGGAAGTTTTGCTAGAGACTCTTTCTGAGTTAGGTCAGTTTAAAATTTTGTCTTTGGGAATTTTAATTGACTAATATATATTGTTATTTCGGTTCATGAACCATTTGTAGTACTAAATTTTATCTAACATACTATTTTTGTGAGATACGAACTAAATATTGTGATGAAGTAGAGAGGGAGGTTTGGACGTTTTGTTACTGTGGTGCTCTCAAATATTTCTTTTAAAAACAGTCAACTCGATGCACAGATCGCTACATTAAACTTTGTTTACTCTTAAAAGAAATAATGCAAAGGAATGAAGGTTAACCAAATAATACAATGAGAATTTGGTCTTAGCTGATCAGTATGAAAATACGTTGCAGATAAATCAGTACTAATCTCGTAAGAAGTATCGATAGAATAATGAATGCTTTTGGTTTTTAACAGTGTCTGAGACAGTTCATTTTATCTAAAATTAGTTTTCTTAGGAATTACCTTAGTTGTCAAACATAAAATAGACTTACAATTTTCCCTCGAAAGAAAATAACATAATGACAGACGTGTTCATTGTTATTAGTCTATTAAAAGTTCGAAAAACTTACAAACATTTAGTCTTGTGATTCAAATAGAACATTCAATGAAGTATCTTTTGAAGAAAACATCAAGGTTTTATCACGTTCATGAAGAGAGTGACATACAAAAAACAAATACTGTCGTAGAACTTTTGTCACACCGGATTTCAGAATAATAAAGTATGTCTTGTGTCCACATGTTTGTTTTGTCAGAAACGAACTTTGTCTCTATGACAGAAAAAAATATACATATTATACTGCAATGAAGAAGAACGTATGTTTGAATAGAAAAAGCGAGTAGATAAAGAAAATTTTACCAAAATCAGTACAAGAGAACTAGAATAAATTCATGATCACAATAATTCAGTTAGAAACAAACAGCGTAATTAAACAGAGAAGATTAACGAATTCTACAACAATCTTATCACTTTTTTGCCTGTTCTATTTTCTAGCTATAGAATTGTTCTTTTTTTTTCTTTTAATAGTAGACGATTATTACAGTACACATAAATGTATCACAGATACATTTTTTTATGTCGAAGGAAATCACACAAAGCAAACGGATATATTCTTAGAATAGTCACAATGATTTTAGTTTAATCTATTGGTGTGAATTTGTTTATTGATTTTGAATTTGGAATGCTTGAAATTTTATCCATACCCACACACTCTTAAACCGCTTACAAACATTAGTACGTTCTTCAAATAGATATCATTAATCAATTATTCAACATAAAGTTTCTTAAATGATTCTAAATAAACATTTCTTTCATCAAAAGCAAGAACTCAATATTTATTGTAAAATAGGAGTAAATACTTATTTATATCATAATTGCATTTATCGTCATATAATAACTTGTTGTTAATGGAGTATCTCAAGAAGTATGATCATTTGCTGAATGACACATTTTAAATGTTGATGTTGGATGACTTATTATTTGATCTTTGTATACAGAGAAAAAAAAAATCTTTCTTACAATTGAATTGATAGAAATAACAAACCAATTATCATTTTATAATCAAACAATAGTGGAATAGTTGATGCTCGACTATTATTCAAATTCGAGAAGAATGTGCCACAGTTGATGAATCTGATTAACAAATCGCTGGATAAAAAAGAAAAAATTATTGCATCTTCTTTTTGTTTTTGGTTTATACGTTATTTAAATACGAGTAGAACTTATTAACCATGATGAATCATGTTACTTAGGTGAAGATACGTTATTAAAACTCGATTGTATGAGAGAAATAACATCAGGATCAGATTGAATCTATCCGTTAGTAATATAATCATTGTCACTAATACATAGAATGTTATTTTTTGTTGTGACTGATTTTGAATAGAATCAAAACAAAAACATAGTTGAATTCATTCTTCCTAGACAAAATAATCATATCTTGCTTTTATAAAAGATTGTTGTTGTTATTATTGTTGAACGGTATCATTATTGAATAATCACAATAGTACTGGTCTTACTCTTTGATAAATATAAAACTATTTAGTTCAAAATTTTTTGTGTTTATTGAATTGAGAAGATCATCATTCATACACTTTCGATGAAACAAATTCAAATGTTTAATCGCTTTCTTACTAAAAAACCTTATTGAACTGTAGATTATCAATCATGCTGATTATGAATATGACTATAAGCATTACTTTTAGGTATTTATATGCTATTGTCGAAAGAACTATTTTGAAACTAACGAACATTTTGCTAATATCGTAATGAATCTGTACACATTATAGATCAGATCACGATGTCTATAAGATAATAATCTGTTTTCTTTTCCACGAAGGATCTTTACATAAAATAATATTATCCAGAAAATTGTTACATACAAATATGGATAGCTATCTCGTACATAAATTGAAACAGTTGTATTTTTATTAAAAAAAAAACAGATTCGTGACAGAAAAACTTTCGGTTCTCTAGACAACTTAATATGTTCTATAATCAAGATTGATCAAAGAAAATGTTCTGTCAACGATTTTGTTAGTCTACAAGACCAGTAAATATTGACCGAAATGGATATCTCATGTTAACATTGAGAATTAGCATGAATCATAGTCATTAATCAGATTCAAAACATATTTTCATTAGTGTCTTATAATTTTAAGTTATAAAAAACAATAATATAGATATGTCTTTTTTTTAATAGATTCTATCAGATTTATCAAACCTACTCGACATGCACGTCAATATACTAGGTGTAAAATCCTATGTGGAGATAATGGAACTGCTTTATATCTATTGTTAGTTACATTTTTTTATAGATAGTTGTAAATTCTTCCGTCAGTCATACCCAATGGTCGATAACTAACCGAGATTGCATCTACACGTACTTTCCACCTTCAAAACAGTGCTTCATCATGAAATGTCGATTGACACGTCACTCTCAGTGAATCTAAATGTTATGCAAACGAATCTCAATATTTCTTCTTGTTAGAAAAAAATAATTATACCTATATCGACTGATATTACAATGGATCAGTAAAGAAACTCCTCAGTACAGCCTCTTTGGAGTCAAAATGTGCAAGCCACATATGTTTGTTAGTCTCATTATATTAAAACAAAAAAAGTCAAGTAAAAAATCTCTGACATATTATAGTTATTTTTTCAAGAATAATCGATCGTCAGAAGGATAATTTGTCTTATTTATTTTTGTATTTCGAGCAAAATTTTTTTTTCTATTTTTACTAGGTGCTCTATTTTTTGTTTGCGTTGTTGCTTTTTTATTAACAGAGTACAAATATATTCCAGTCATTCAACTTTCAAGGAAGACTGGAATGTTCTAGAACAGATCAAGCCTTGTTGTCAATATTGTTTAGCATGGTTTGCCATTGTCAAAGAGAGCTCTGGAAAAGCAATCTACCATCTGTTGTGCTCGGCTATTATGACAACGTGCTCAATAATCATTGACCTTCTTAGTCGCATTTATCTCATTTTGTTATTTTTATCGACGTCGTTATCATACTTTTTATGTCAATATTTTGAGATAGATTTATTGTTTAAAAAAAATCTTTTGCTATGATTGCTTATATTGTCATTATAAACTGAGCTTTTTATACTCTCAAGTTATTCTAATATAGACGCATATTTGAGAAAAGAAATGCTTATTTTTTTTTTATATCTATCAACAAGAGGAAACAGATTGCCATGACGAACAAACATATTGTTGAAGAGTTTTCACGCAATGTTACTTTAACAAACCTATTAAAATGAACGAATAATAAGGCAAACATTTTCTTTTATAGTACATGATTTTATTAAAAAGAATGAAAAATAAATCAACTTTTTATTTTGCTATTAATATCTAAAAATATAAATTTTTCCTTGAAAGCTTATTATCATATTTAACAGTGAGCACTTTTTTTCTGAAAATTATCTTCAAAGTTATTTCATAACATCAAATATTTATTAATGAACATTTAAAAAATCTTGCCATTTTTTTTTTGTCATTCATCATTCATAAATTCTTACTCTAGATAGTAAAAAGAGAAAGAAAACGAGAACTAATGCCTTTAAGAAGTGATCCATTTTATAATAATCGGTTGTATAAATTACTTTCGAATCGAACAATGTATTCGAATGAACTTTTACAACAACTCAATTCATTACTTCATGAAGAACCGGAATTAGCTACATTTGATCATCCCAAAGAAGGTTCATATTTTCATATTATTTGTCGAAATTCAAATGGTCAAGAAAAGTAAATATGCATTTATTTGATAGTATTTATTGTTTTCTTTGCATAGTGTCGCCTTTCGAATGATTTATGCATTGAGTAATGCTGGTGCCGATCCGAATGTAACAAATGCTAAGGGCAATACACCTTTGCATGAAGTTCTAATGCGAAGTTATGCAGATACTGAATTTGATTTAATACAGGTATTTATTTTAATAGAATTCTTAAAATATCTATTTCACATAGACGCATAATACTATTTTATCATTAACAGAGAGCCAATTTTCCGGTGACCTGTGTGAAAAATAAATTATTAAATGATCTATTCTTTCTTGTGTAGTTATAAATTGGTACTTTTATATCAAAAGAGAATGTCGTTCTAAAATTTTGAACGACAAGTTGTTATCAGTAATTCATGTGAACAGTTATAGATTTTATGAAATTAGCTGAAATTACACAGATTTTCTCATAAGACTCGTAAGTTTCTACCGATTCTGAGCTTCATTTTTTTTTTTACATTCGATAAAAACTAATGAGAGCTTTAGATAGAACTATTAAAACGGATCAAAAAAACGTTATCAAAAAGTTGACAATAACAATGAATACTCAATACTAAAAAAGTCATTTTTGACATTACGATCTAAGAATCGGCATATCCCTTTCTCGTCAGTTAATCTATGCGTATCGGCTATTGACAAAATGGCAATGTGTATATGTTTGTATACAATAAATATTTTTGTTGAGGCTTTGTTTCGTGTCGGAGTTGATCCACGTATTGTTAATCATGAAGGCAAAATAGCAAATGTTTATATTAAAAACAATTCACAATTAACAGCTTTATATAAAGGTTATGGTGAAGGTATATGGGCTGCTATTGAAACAAGTAATATACAAGAAACAGAACGATTAATTAAAGGTAAATCAATAATAATTTTTATTTTAAACTATTCTTAAATCAACATTAGGTTTTATTAAAGTCGATTGTAAACATAATTCAAATAAATCATTATTAGATAAAGCACGTGATCTTAATTGTACATCTATTCTTAATATTCTTGCTGATTATCAAGTAACAAATGAATTTCTTCATTCAATATTAGCATGTGATTGGAATCGAACATTAATTATATATAAATATGAAAATATATTTTTAAAATTCAATTCATTTGATTCTATTCATAGATTAACATGTGTTCGTACATGTTCAAAATCATTATTAGAATATTGTCTTAATACACATTCATCTAAACCATTTGAGATTTTATTTAATAACTCATCAATAATAAATATAGATGTTAATATATTATGTACGGATGGTTTACCATTTTTTTTTCATTGTTTTAATAATTTTATTTCAAATGATATACGAAAAATTATTTTATTAAATTCAAATATGTATATAAAATCATCAAAAGGTGAAACATTTTTATTTTATCTTATTTATTTATATAGAAAAAATGAAAATAAAGAATATTTAAATCTTTTTATAAATATTCTTTATCATTATCCATTACTTCTTACTCAACGTAATCAACAAGAACAAACTATAATTGAATATATTGAATTTACAACATCAACAGTAATTTATAATAAATTAAAACCATTTTATAATGCTATTATGGATATATTAATAATACAATTGAAAAGAAATTTTATTATTAAACAATTTATTTTAAATCATTTTGGTTATCATTTATTAATATTTTTTCAAAATAAAAATTTACAAATGACAACATATGTTTATGATCTATTATGCTCATTAAAATTATATAAAGGTTTACCTGTTTTAATGAAGGACTTAATACAAGCTATTATAGATGACGATTTTATGAAATTAAACAATATTTTTAAAATTAAACCGGATATTTTCTATGCGAAAGATTCATTTGGAAGAACATGTGCACATTTAGCTGTACTTCATCAAAGATACATTATGTTAAAGTAAGACAAAAAATTTTAATTGAATGATCTTTGTGTTAAGACATCATTTCACGATAATACTGATAATTAGGAATTTACTTAATTTATTTCATCATTGTACACAACCACCTTGATAAATGAATCACAGAAAACAATATTTTGAATCTAAGGCATATTGATTAGAATCTATAATCAGCATTTTACATATCTGATTGGATCAATTTTCATTGTCTTGTTTACAAGAGTATGAAATTGGACTTGACTAATACTATATTGTATCATTCGATTGATAATTTGTTTGCCAAAGATTTTCTCGCATCATTTTCTAAGCAACATATCACATTTTAAATAAATTTTTATCAATACAAAGATATTGATAGATGAACAATAATGAAGATAATGTTCAGACTGATGCATATGCATTTATATACAATACGATAATAAGTTAGACAAAAGTTTTCAAAAATAAAATTAAGATGAGATTATTAATAACAAGCCTTAAATTTTATGCAGATTATATTTTCAAGATAAATAAGATTTTAATGTTCGACATAGAGTCCTGCAAAACAATTTTTCATCGAGCTTCGAATCTCCCTTGTTCCATCAAGTGATTAATCAGCTCTTAATTCAAAAGCACGGATCAAACAAGTTTGAGAACTACTAGGGCAAGCCAAATTCTATCTCAAGGTTTGTTCAAATAGTGTCTTTGGTAGGAATTGATTTCTTCCAATAGTTCAGTTCCTAGAATGAAACTAATCGAAAAATTTTGTACTAGTTTGGCAGTAATATTTGAGTAACAGAGCAAAAGCCTTTTATATTTGAAAGTGCCTTTCTGAAAAATAGAACCAAAATTTTTTGAATTGATCAATAATTCTCAAAAGAACTGTTTGAACAGTTTAGTATAACTTAGAGAACCTTTTTCAATAGATTCGAATAGTTCTATGCTAGATTTTTGTAATGCTAATGTTCTACATATGTTTTCGACATATTGTAAAAGCATAACTTTTTATTTAGATTCATTTGTGATAATTGCAATGATGTTATTGATACAAGAGACAATCTGAACCTTACATGTTACCATTATGCATGTATAATGGATGATAAAAAATCGATTGAAATTCTCGAACAATCCGATGGCAAACAAGTAAAAAACTTTCGTTCCTTATTTGATTCTTTTAAAGAGCAAAAACGTTTTTCTTTAGATTCTTGATTGTATGAATTTCTATCCAAATGATTATTTACTTAATCGTGATTTATGTTGTAAAGAATTTCATACTCAAGATTTTCCAAAAAATGAATTAGAAAAAAAATCATCAGCAATCAGTAATTATTTAAAATTAGCTTTTTATTCAAGTTTAAAAAAAGCTATTGAAAATAATTCTATTGAAGATATTAAACTAATTAATGATAAAATCATTCATATGGGTTTTCATCTTAAAGACTTTAATCCTAATTCATCTTTAAATGATTATATTCAAGGTCAACGTTATATTCCATTATTATTTCTTGCACTTGAACATCGTTCAATTGCATCGATAAAATGTTTAATTGAATTAGGTATACCATTAATAGGTCAAATGTATAAATCAAAGTTTACTATGAATCAAAATTCCCAATCGAAATCATTACGTACACAACCGAAAAAATCGCAATGTATTGATGTTATTGATATAATCAATAGTTTAGAAGATGATATTGAACTAAGAGATATTTTTAAACAGCAATTCGTGCCAATCGAAACCAAACCCAATGAAAATTTGGCAAAAATAGAGCAAGAAAAAGATGTCAATTTAGAGAAATTATCAAAAAGACAACAAATAATAAAAAATTTCTTGACAAAAATCGAACAAAATGACAATGAAAAATCAAAAACTTGTATTTTACTTTGATAAACTGATGTATATTGTAAAAATTTTTAAATAAATGTTTTCTTCAATTTATCTTTCACAAAATTACATTTTAGAAAAATGAAAATGAATCATTTCGAATCTAGTTTGGAAGAAATTTCTAATGATATCTTCGAAAAGTGTTAACTCATGTTTTACATTCAACTAATCAATCCGTCTTTGTGGACCATCAAACCATAGTTGAATAAGTCACGTGGTTGGAAAGTGTCTTTGAAAGGTCGATAATGATTATTTTCCATGTAAAAAAATATTATAAAAGTAGCGATTTATGGGTGGATGTGAATGTGGAGTGTCAGCGTGGGATGTAAGTGTGCCTGTTGGATGGGCATCTAGGTCTGTATGTGGATGCGGTTAGGTGAATTTAAGACTCGCATCCAGATCAGTACTTGCACTCACACCTACACTCATATCCACACACTAACACCGATATCCATAGTCAATACCATGGACATACACTTACTCTTTCTTACCCACACCTACACCTAAAACACACACACCGGGTGGAAATAGGGTGTCAATGAGCAAAATACTAATATTGAAAACCTCACATCTACACACTAAGAGTTGAGAATAACTGGTTAAACTTGTTTTTTATCAAGTGATAGGGAGATCTATTTTCGATTAGTTAACGCGCAGCCACATCCACACACAAATGTATCACTAATATGTCTAAAAAACGAATGTTCACACCATTACTACGAATAAATGTTACACAAACAGATTTATTATCCTATTCGATTTGAATGTAACAAAACTGGAAGAAAAGTGTGTTTAATCTTTATGCTCTCTCCAGCATAAGTGGTTGTTTTGAAAGACACTTGGCGAATCACTACCATATAGTCTGACGCATGACATATGATCGATTGAACCATAATTTGACCTGGCAAGCTCAATGCTTGAGTTTGCTGGAAGACAGAGCGCATTGTCTTGCCATCATGCTAACTGCGGATCATAAGGTTCAACAAGAGCCACACACTTTATGGATGAAGGACACCCGTTAGGAACTCTCCATCTCCATGACAAGCCTATATTGTAATTTGTGCAGAGGTAATTATTGTCCCATGATGCTGTGGTGTCTTCTACCATTTTGACATACCACCAACCGTTGATGTGTGATTCGGGATCGAACCGAAATTGAAGCTGTCTAGCATTGTGTATAGATGGATTGGACGGGTTTATGAAGTTATCTCACAATGAACAACTGCCGATCTGTTTAGCTACTTCAATACCTGTAGCTGATGCAGTATCATTCAATGAAGCTGACTTCAAGACTATCATAGAACACGCAAAAATAATTACCTGCAACGGTTTCACATGCATACTTATCCCTTCCACAAAATGTAACATAATGAAAGAAATAAAAGGCACTCTTATATATCAGATTATTTAAGACGCAATTAGATTTCATTGGTTTCTTCCGTTAACGGTATGTAGACACCTACTCCATTTTGCGCCCAGCGATTTGTCATAAATAGTGCCACTGGTACATGGCATTGCAGGTTAGTAAATGATTTTTTTTCTTACTTGAAAATATTCGTAAAAATTGATACACTCTAAATTGATTCCAAATCTGGATACGCTGATAAAGCATCATGTGAAATTTTTGGTAACTTTACGAAAGCAGAATTTCGAAACATTCCTATGCATGAATAAAAATCAAGATACTGACGAGGTTGCGTTACATGCTTAGAAAAAGAAGAGTCAAAAAAAGGAAATTAATTAACCTTCTCATATTCGAGATGCTGCTTGCAAAGGATGCCATTCGGTTTTTTACACTTTTTGGCTTCCTCCCTTTTGTTACCTTTAGTCATTTTTCGTCAATTCCCTAATTTTCCTCTATTATTCGTGGTGTTACTCTATCAAAATTGATTTGCGTACCCAAGTGGATCTTTTTTTCTGGTTTTCAGTTATAAGTTTTCCGTCTGACTATATAGTCCGTTTGTGCGATAGTTTTTTTTAGTTCACTGTTCCACATACTAAATTAAGTTAAAATACAGAAGTATAAAATCTGGACAAACAGATAGATCTTTGTCACAAGTTGTCTTCAGCGTTTGACCAAAAGCAAATAAAATGCGTTCATGTTGTGTGTCATTCAAAATTAGAATGAACTAAAGAAAACCTTCAACTCCTCATCGACGTTTCGTTGGTTGATATCAATAGACATGCCTAAAATTTTTTCATCACAAAACACTTTCCAGAAGGCCATCGTAGCTTGAAAACCTGATCATGATTTTACAGATAATAGAATTTATATTTGAGCAATGATTTCCTTTCTTTTCGTTGTCCCCGGAGGATTTCGAGTAAAGGAAATCTTTCACAACAGAAATGGGTTCATGATTATTGCAAAGTTTTCGATTGCGGTTGAAGAAGAAATAGGCTGAGAACTTACAAGAAAGTGACGACAGTTTTGCAAAAAGTTCTTTGACTCGGTTCTCTGGAAAATACCAAAGAGAACATGCTAAAATCGTCAACTTTCTGTGAAAAATTTGCTTGACTGAGAGCGTCGTCGTTTTGATTTCTGCGAGAGACAGCTAGTATTGCACAAGTATTCATTCTGTTAGAAATTAGACATGATTATGAAAGCCTCTACATAAAGTATTATAAATCTAGTAGAAAGCCGAAATTTTCTGGGAAGAGAAAGTTCTGTCATCTACTTCCTAACTGCTAATGCTGAGTTGATATGTGAAGTAGAGCATCTATACTGTTACGTAAAGCAAGAAGAGTATGACGCCATTCACAGCTGGACCTCATCCCCGTTCTTCATGCTATTCTTAGTTATTTTTTTCCAAACTCCCTTCTCCCTCTAATAAATAGCGTCCTATTCAAAGGCCTCCTACCAATTTTCTTTTTGAGTTTATATTGATAAACAGGAAATTAGGGACAAAAAGATGATGCATATGTGAATGATTTCTGACACAGTCAGCAGAGTAGTGATCGAGAACAGAGGCATAGAAAGTTGGGATTACTTTCTCCTAACACTGGAAAATTAGGTTTTTGTACATCGGCAGCGACAAGATGCCAGTTTCATGCTCAAGTTTTGATTAGTCGTCTGCCTGCCCTCATCAAGCTCCGAAATTCCCCTTTCAAAGCTTCTGTTTCTGGACAGTAAAAGATTCAAGTGAAAATATTTGATTCAAAGTAACCCAAAATCACATAAAATTACTAACATCGCTGGATATCGCGAAAAGTATTTAAGCACAGTCAATTACAAACATATCATTTGTAGTCACTTAGAAACATTACTACAACCTGTCAAGAGATGTCATTTCATTGGTAAAAAAATGAAGTATGATTGATTGGAAACAGTCAATCAATTGTTCATCCTGTTGAATGAAACGATCATTTTCAGATAAATTCTCTATAGTACGAAAATCAATGAAAAAAATGTTGATAACACAAAAACAAACAACGACAGTCATGGATTGAGCTATGTATTCATTTATGGTTTACTAAAACTGAAATGACTCCCATATAGTCCGAAGATGAAAAATTCAAAATAGATATTGACTGACTATATGATAAATCGAGAAATACTTTGATCATTTGTAGAAATCTACTAATGAAAGTTAAACGATCCTACTACGAGCTTCTACTCCATTTATTGCAACACTGCTATTCTATTTCGATTGGTAGTCAATATCGGAATAAAAAATAATGCACAATACACGAACACAAAAATCATCTCAAATATTGTGCAACTGTTCTTTTAGTCTCCTGACAAATATTATCTTACATATATTTCAAAAATACACTATACAGCATATTCGTTTGGTGAACGCGAAGCCTAGTAAGCAGTTTTCAAAAAGTTTTAGCATCATGCGCTATGGACAAGTCTTCAGAGTTGCACTGCTCAGGCGCATAAGAAAAAGTCCTATGTATTAAGGATAATTTCGAGTTCCAATCGCTTAACAGATCGAATATTTTTTTCTAGCAATAAGTTCAACTTTTGAAATGATATCTAGTGCTTTTAATTACCATATTAATGAAATTCTTTTGATGCAAGTGCTTTTCTTGAGATTCTTGAATAAGAAAGTGATACACTATGGATAAGTCTTGACATCTGTACGCATCAAGCATACGAAAAAAAAAGTTCACTCAAGGTAGTAATAAAGGAGAATTCAAAATTGAGAACTGATTTGTGATCCACTATTGAAATACCGTTGACCACATTTGTAAAAAAAAAATATCAATAACTCACAGATAATGAAAAGACAATGCTGAAATCAGAACCGACATTAAGTTTGGACTCGCCATCCTTGATTATCTCTTCAAAAAAGCTTAATAAATAAATTATCGAAATTCTCATCTAATTAATAAAAAAAAAAAATTGTTGATCTTGAATTCATATTCTTCATGCTTGATTACCTTCGGTCAAGTTTTATCGACAACATTATTTTAAAAATATTTTATATTAGATATTTATTGTTTATTAATTATTAATAGTCAAAAATTGACTTCAGATTCGAATTCTTCGCTTTCGATTACCTTTAGTACAGTTTTCTGGAATTTTAATATTACTGATTATTTTATTAATTAATAATTAATTAGTTATATTAAATCTGACCTTCGAATCGGATTCTTCATGCTCGATTACCTTGACCATAATCTTCTTGATAACATTATTTCAAAATTATTACATACTAATTGTTAATTGATTATTAAATATCAATACTCAAAAACTGACGTCGGATTCAGGTTCCTCACTCTCGATTATCTTGAGGTTAAACTTTTAAGAAAACTAATCAGACTAATTATTAATTAATTATTAACCTAACTAGTAATATGAAAACTTACCTCATATTTGAATTCCTCATGGTTCATTACTTTTGATCAAGTTTATAAACAGAAGCCAATTATTGATTATAAATTACTTATTATTATTTAATAATAAACAATTGGCCTCGGCTTCTGATTCCTCACCTCAGTTTAGCTTCGATGAAACTTTATCCTCAATTAATATCATTTGAAATACAGCATTTTTT